GACCTAGATAAAAGGATCAATGAGTTCTATCAAAAGGATTTGCTGGTCAAGCAGCAAATTTTTAGCATGATAACAGATCGTCTGCTGCTTTCCGTTCAGAAGCTCAATACAGCCTCGCTGATCTGGGCAGAGATCTGTCAGATTCATGAAGGTAAAATGGAGCTAGTACAGATTGACCTACGTCGTTGTCTGCAGGAGATGAGGTGCAATGAAGCTGGGGATGTCAAGGCCCACTTCACTGAACTCTTGAGGTTGAGAGAGTCACTTGCTGGCATGGGCTCAGTGCTCGATGATTGAGACTTCCATGCCATTGTACAAGGCTCCCTTCCCGAGTCGTATTGCCCCCTCCTATCATCAGTAAATGCTGCTGCTAAGATAATGAAGAAGCCCCTCACCCCCAACAAGCTCATCAGCATTGTGACGGAGGAGTATGAGCATCGCCAGCTCACAGACCGTCACCCGACGAAGAAGGGAGGAAATGCCGCACTGGCAGCCAAGGGCGGTCAGTCTATGAAGTCCCGCACCTCAGGTGCAGCGAATGGAGTGAACACAGATGTTACCTGCCTCAACTGCGATTGAAAAGGCCACTATAAGGTGGACTGCTGGAGACCGGGTGGTGGAAAGGAAGGTCAGGGTCCGCAACAGAAACAAGGCAAAGGTGGACGTACCCAGAAGCAGAACACCAGACTTGGCTGGCATAGCAAAAGGGTTGAAGGTACCTGTTGATCGCCGTGGAGCCATCATGGACTCTGGCGCTACCTCGCATTTCTGTCCTGATTGATCAAAATTTACCAACTTTGTCGATATAGCCCCCCAGGATGTTCACACTGCAGACGGTTCCACGCTCAGTGCGATTGGTCGCAGAGATGTGAGCATAGACTTACCTCTGGGTGATAAATGGATGAACATTACCTTGAAGAACGCCCTATATGCCCCTACCATGGCATTCACACTCATATCCACCAACCGCATAGCTGCTGCAGGCCTGGTCGTACTTTTTGAGGGCCACATGTGCAAAATTCTATTGCAAGGCCCCAAGCGCAAGGTAATCACCGAAATTCCCCAAGTAGAAGGGCTCTATAGCATTGCAGCTCGAAAGCACTATGCACACACAGCAAGGACGAAACTCACAGTCTCTCAACTTCACCATGTCCTCGGCCATATTTCCCAGACGGCTGTGCAACAGTTAGTCAAGAAGGGACTCGTTGAAGGACTGGAACTCGACCCTACCTCGTCACCTGAGTTCTGTGATGCATGCATGAAGGCGAAGTCAAGCAAACGCCCATTCCCGAGCGAAGCAAAGAATAGAGCGCTCAGCTATGCAGAGCTCATGCATATGGATCTCTGGGGCCCGGCCCAGACCACCAGTCTAGGTGGGATGAGCTACTATATCAGTTTCACGGATGATTTTTCCTGTGAAACGAGGGTCCATTTCCTTAAGGCAAAGAGTGAAGCGCTAGAAGCTTTCAAGGACGCACCTGGCTCATCAAAATCCAGGCGTCCGGTTGTGGAAGATCCGTTCGGATTGTGGCGGAGAGTACCTTAGCGAGGAGTCCGACAAGTACCTGTGGGAGCAAGGAATCGCACGTCAGTTAACTGTGCATGATTTGCCTCAGCAGAACGGAGTTGCTGAATGCTTAAACCGTACCTTGGTTGAACTTGCCCATGCCATGCTGCTCGCGAAGGACCTACCCAAGTTCCTATGGGCCAAGGCTATAAGCTATGCGACCTGGTTGAAGAATCGCCTGCTGTCGAAGGCCATCCCCAGTCATACGCCCTATGAGTTGATCCATAACAGTAAGCCCAACCTATCCAATGCCCATGAGTTAGGTTCCGCTGTCTATGTCCATCAGGAGCACACAGGCAAGCTGGAGGCCAGAGCGGAGGAGGCTCTGTTCGTGGGTATTGACACTGAGTCTAAAGGTTTCAGAGTGTACTGGCCAGCGAAGTGACACATTTCAGTCGAGTGAAACATTATGTTTGCGCCGGTAGCTGAGGTTGTCGGAGAGGATATACTGGATGAGGGGGAGTCCGTCAATGCCGATTCTAATGCAAGAACGAACAAGAATGCACCTGCAAATAGCATCCAGACTACCTCTCCTTCCCCATCCCAGCCACCTTCTACCCCGCCCAGACAGCAACACCAACATCCTGAGACCCCACTCACACCACAGATGACCCGAGTACACCCGCCTCCAGGATACTTTGCTGCCCTCAACAAGGGAGAGAGAGCAACATTAGCCGCCGAAATCTTCAAACTGGAGGACTCAGCGGAGGAGCAGGAAGAGGTTACTCACCAGTACGCCCTAGCGGCTGTCCAACCCGAGCTGGCAAGAGGCAGTCGACTATGAGATCAGTCAGCTGGAAAAGCTTGGAACATGGGAAGTGGTTGACTCACTGTGTGGCGCTAACATAATCCCATGTCATTTTGCCCTGGCTACCAAGCGAGGACCAGACGGAGAGAAGTTGAAGCTGCGCGCCCGTCTCATGGCGAACGGACAGCATCAGCAGTATGGCGTCGACTACTTCGACACATTCACACCTACCTCCAACATGACGACCATCTGGACCATGCTAATGATGGTGGCTCAGCGCGACTGGGAGATACACCAGGTAGACATCAAAAGTGCATACCTATATGCGGATGTCCAAGAAGAGATTTATATGAGGGCGCCACCTGGGTACTTGAAGGAGGGAGAGAAGGGAAAGGTGCTGCGGTTGAAGAGAAGCTTGCCAGGATTGAAGCAAGCAGGGTTTGAATGGGCAGAAGAACTGGCCGGCGTTTTCCTGAAGATTGGGTTCAGTCACTTGAAGGTAGATCAAGCTGTTTATTTTAAACGCACCTCGCAGGAACACATGGTTGTGACCATGTCCGTCGACGACATGGCCATCACTTCTAGCCATACTTCCCACATTCAGCGGTTCAAGTCGCAACTACGCGAGTTCTTTGAAATCTCTGACTAAGGCGAGCTGAGTTGGCTTCTGGGTTTGAAAGTCACCTGCAACTGCGTCACACAAACCATTAGCCTGTCCCAGAAGGCATATATCGACACAGTCCTAGAGTGCTTCAACTTGACTGATGCAAAGAGCACTCAGACACCTATGGATGCTGGCACTATCCTATCTGCTGACCAGTCTCCCTCTACTCATGCCGAACTGCAAGCCATGGCTGACGTCCCATACAAGTGCACCATCAGTTCTCTTATGTATGCCGCTACCAGCACTTGCCCAGATATTTCCTTTGCAGTCGCCACCCTGTCCCAATTTATGTGCAACCCTGGAAAGGTGTACTGGGAAGCAGCAAAGCACATCATGCGCTACCTAAAAGGCACAGTGGATTATGAACTCACCCTTGGCTCCACAGATGGAGGTCTTGAGGCATTCGTTGACGTGGACTGGGCATCCCAGCCCCATTGCCATTCGATGTTGGGTTACATCGTATTGCTGAATGGAGGTCCCGTCGCTTGGAGTGCATGTAAGCAACAATCAGGCCACCATTGCCCTCGCATTGAACGGAAAATTCCAGTCCTGCACTAAGCACATAGCCATTTGGTACCATTTCATCCGCACCCACATCAAGGACGGCACCTTCCAATTGTTCTACTGCCCCAGCGAAGACAATGTGGCGGACACGTTCACTAAAGGTTTACCTTGCCCCCGTCTACAGAAGCTCAGAGCTCAAATGAGCCTGGATTGTGCTCGAGGGGGAGTGTTGGACTCCGAATGATCCGAATGATGAGTTGAGCTGTCTGAAGGATCCGAGATCTCAGTGCGAGCGCAATAAAAGGAGTGATGGACGAACAACACTTTGACGTCAGTTCATACCAGTCGTATATTCCATTTCTCAATTATTTTATTTTTCGTTTCCATCCTACATACTATAAAGTTATGAGCTGGTCCATATGAGCATCTCAGTTCTGACTACAGACTGAGATGTGAGTACCCGTTATTTTACAGATGCGATACAATCAGTTAATGAGTCTCTAGTATTGTTTTAACTAGGTACATGACTTGTAATAAAGAGTTCTGACTACAGACTGAGATTATTGTTTTAACTAGTGTCCCTCCCATCCGCTCGTACCTGTAACTCACTACAGAACCCACACCATCACACCTGTGAGAGCTCATGCCACTAGGAGCTTGCATTTTCTAGACTGACGACAATGCTTGAGTAGCGAGTCCAGAGGGCGGTAGGAGCTACAAGGTCGAAAGAGAGGGAATGAAGTTAACACCTCAGGCAGCAGTTCTCAGAGGCAAAAGGTAGGCTTTCAGGCCAGGTTCCTATGTTATGGGAAACTGGCCTGAGAGGCCCTCATCCTCCCAATGCTAATTTTAGCATGCATTCTAAAAATATCTGTGCACCTCATTGTCCTCCTTCCAGGATGCCCAGGTGCCTCCTCAGTGCTCACCAGTTTGAATCTTGCCTTCCAGGATCCTTTCTCTATCAGTGTTACATGCATCTGCTCCAGGTGCTCTCGAGCCTCATGTGGTTCGAGGTCTTTCTTACATCGGTGCAAATCCTCCCGTCCTTCTGAGTCGTAGAGTCACTGGAGGCAATGCCTTGTAAGTTATTCTTTCCCTTAAATTTTGTCTCTCATATACATAATACACCTACAACATTGGAAACCTCTACCATGGCTCCACAATCCCAGACTCGTGTGGCCCAGCTGACAATGTCTGGATTAGGTGCCCAGTTTGTCAGCCCATGAAAACCAAGAGACAAGTGCAAGACTCAAACATTAGTCGAACTCCCAGGTCAGAGGGAAAAGCAGTAAAAACTGGTGGCAAAGTTGGAATCTCTTCTCTCAGGAAAACACGATCCAGCTGAAATGTCTGCAAGAGACTTGTATGATACACTTCCCACTCCTCCCTTACCCGAAGAGCAGATGTCTGCTGATGCTGCCGAAGACTTGTTCCCCTTCCATGATGATAATGGGCCTTCAGACATTGACCCTCAAGGCCCTTTGCCATCACCAAACGCCTCCCAATTCACCCCAAACCACCATCTTCTGCCGGACATTGCTGCTGCACGTTTATATGATAACTGGAAAGCCCTTGTACCCACACTCGTTGATGTTCATCTTGACTACATGTCGAGGACCATGGGTAAACCTCTCGATTCAGCCCCATCGATTATGTATGCATGTTGCTCACAGAAATGCGCACTTAGGTGGACACCTATGATCTGCTTATTTTTTGATCATAAGTATTCCAAACCACATCCTGAATGTACCTCAAACACTAAAATCATTTAAAGACTTCATCTCCATTGATGTTATGAGTTGCAGATGTGCTACTCCAGCTCAAGTTCTTGTTTCTCGTGGATTATTCCCGACTGCTCCATCCCAGCCCCACATGTCAGTGTCTATCAACCTGCTTGCTTTCTATTGATCTCTCTTTGAGCGTTCATGTGACGCCGTCAATGCCCTTGCCTCCACACTTCACACACACTACAGTTGGGGACAAGCAAAATCGACAAGTATGGTTAACCTTTCCACAGCCTTCTGAAACACCTGTATAACGACATGCTAAGCATAATTAGACTATTTACAGATGTACAAAGTACGATTCAAGCTGCCGATCACGATGTTGTGGTCACTCAGACCCCAAAATTTGGCTGGTACCTCAAACTAGTGCCTAAAATCTCGAAAAATAGTGCAATCGACTCCATTTTCAAGCCTGAGTCTGACCCTGGGGTCAAAAATGAGGAATATCTAGAGTTTGGTCCCCCCAAAAATTAATAAAGTTGCACTACTCACCCATCTGAGTCTGCTCATGGCACACTCGAAAAGACCCAGGCGAAATACTCAGTTGTCGAACCAAGACAATTCTGAACACAAAGTCCGAGTCAATGCCTTGAAGCCCACTGTTCAAAGGCACAAGAAGAACTTGCGAAACCAACCTCAACTAACAAGGTTTTTCAACAAGTCAACCCTGGCACCTGCCCGAGATGCAATGGCAGGACCAGCAAACATAGCCAGACATGTGTTGCCCATGGTGACTGCGCCAGTACGCCAAACAACATTATCCATGCTGCAACCAGAATGGCAGCAGTATTCAAGTTCATTGACGATCCCACGTGCCTGCTCGTCATCCGTTCTATTGGATCAGGCATCATCAAATGATGAACTGGAGCCCACAGAGATTATGGACTCGGATGAGTCAGCTGAGGAGGTGGAAGATGTTGATGATGAAACTTGGGAAGACGAGCTGATGCTTTCAGCAGGAGGGGACATAATGAAATTTTGTGATTGGAGCGAGATGTGTGAAAACATCAAATCAGGCCTAAAGAAGAACAGCAAGAGCTTATTGCTGGTGCACATCAATAAACTCACCATACTCTCAAATTTTGCAACTCTATGCATCAAGGGATGCTCGCGGATACAAGCTAGCATTGGGATTGCTCGGCAATGGCATAAAGGCGAAGGAATTCACTTCACACGGAAAGTGCAAGCACTTGTTCGGCATTACCAGATATTTGCACAGCTGCCCATGGAGAAGCGAGGTGGCAAGGCTAATGCCCACTCTTGGCTTCATGATGAAGCTGTACAGGCATGCACCTGATCTTGGTTGACTGCACAGAAGGTTGGCAGTGTCACTCCAAAGAAGTTGCAGCATGCCCTCACTTCGGCAATTTTTCCGGACCTTGGCATTCACCCAAAGCAGCCACTTAGTGTGCACACAGCTCAATGCTGGCTTCTCAAGCTTGGATGGAGGCGCATGATGGTCCGAAAAGGGGTGTACATGGATGGTCATGAGAGGGATGATGTAGTGAAGTACCGCAGAGAGGTCTTCTTACCTCTGATGGCACAGTACGAGGCCCAGATGGTTCAGTATGAAGGGCCTGAGTTGAAAAAGGTTGAACCACATCTAAAGCCTGGAGAAAAAAGGATTATTGCACAGTTTCATGATGAATGTTGTTTTCACGCCAATGATCAATCCAATACTGCATGGTAATGTACACCCCATCAGCTCGAATACTCATATTAACTTACAATGTTGAATCAAAGGTTGCGGTCTGGTGAACAGCCCCTTCGCAAGAAAGGTCGAGGATGACTAATCCATGTTTCTGATTTCATCAATGAAGAAGATGGCTGACTTATTCTACAAGGTCAAGATGGTGAATTGGTTTGAGATGCATGCAAAATTATCTATCCAGGGTCAAATGGTGATCCTTGGTGGGACAGTGCCCAGTTCCTCGAGCAGGTCAAAAATGCAATTGATATATTCACGCTCGCACACCCAGGCTGCCAGGCACTTTTTGTATTTGATCAGTCATCAGCTCATGCCTTGCTCCCTCCCAATTCATTGAAAGCATTCAAAATGAACAAATCAGATAGAGGCAAACAACAAAAGCAGCACGACACGGTGATACCAATGAACAACCCCAATATTTCCGTCCGTGGCAAAGTCCAGAAAATGACAAATGAAGATGGCACCCCCAAAGGTCTCCACTCTGTCCTTACCGAGCGAGGATTTGATGTCAGACAGTTGAAAGCTAAATGTTTACCTGTCTGTCCTTTCGAGAGCAAGGGTTGTTGCATGGCTCGTCTTCTTTCACAGCAAGACGACTTTGCAAACCAGGAGTCAATGCTCGAGACCATGATCAAGAAGACAGGCCACCTATGTATCTTTTTACCAAAGTTACATTGTGAGTTGAATCCCATTGAAATGGTGAGTGGCCTGTCAAAGGTGGATTCAGATGCTGAGTTTGTTGATAGTACTGGGGCTGGTGCAAGTATCAATACCAAGAAACACCAAAAAACAGTTTTGGTGAAGCCAAGAAAGCAGCCGAGCATTTTCTCGATGCTTTCCCATTAGAGGTCTTTCGTCGTTTCATCAATCACTCGTGGCGTTTTATGAGTGCCTACTGAAAGGGTTTGACTGGGGAAGCTGCAGCTTGGGCAGTGTGAAAGCAGAAACAACACCACTCGGTGTCTCAAACTGCCATGGATTCAATTATGGCTGTTCTTAACTAAGATTCATACTATTATTTTTGCGCTCCCAGTGTCTATCAAATAAAGATTTACCCCAAAAATTTGGCCATACCCAAAAAACACGTGGGAAAATTCAGTTCAAGGCATTTTTGAATGTCTTTCGACCCGTAGAATCGATATCTGAAGGCTGTTTTGTGCCAAAAAATTTCCTTTGTCCGCTATGAAAGTTGTCGATTTTGCCTGTCCCCAACTGTACCTCCGTAGAGGTTTTCGAATAATGAACAGCAAGGTATGTCAGTTCAAGCTTGATTGCCTCATATCTAATACAGCGTAGGGTGAAGTAATTCAAGAACATTTTAGGCGAAGTCTCGGCCAAGCCATTCTATGGTTTGACATGCTACAGGTAGAGCTTGAACGCCAACTAGAACACACTGTTCAAGCCTGTCAAGACAATCTAGAGGCTTCCTGAGAGGCTCCCGAGCATCCCAAGCATCCCATATCAGCTGTGCCTGATGTACCAGTCGTTCCACATGAGCGCTGTGCCACGATACTTAATCAGCAATGTCCTGCCTGTTTTGAAGGAGTCGTGTTTGGCCGAAAGCTGGAAGAGGGCGGCAATATTCACGTGGCTACAGATGGGAACTTCCACCATCGACATCAGCGTTCGGCAGGTGATTCACCCCATTTTTATGACCCTTCTTACTTCTTGCTGAAGGCACAGGTTGATACAATTGGCCATCATATTGATCAGAGTCGTAAGTCTGCACCAAAGCCACATGCACCGCTTGTGCACCATGAGGCTATTGATCTATGCGAGAACTCATATAAGGCCGCTAATGGAAAGAAGCAAAAAGCCACCATGGACAGCTTCGACGACACCGGAGTTATGGCTTTGATATGCTGCCATGACATTCCCCTCTTTTTTGCCAACATCGACACTCCAGGCGAGCAGCAGAAGTATGCTGTTGCCCTTATTGATCATCTTTTTACCCTATTACCTCAAAGTGCTACAGTCGTCACTCTGTATGATGTCGGATGTGTTCTTTCACGATCATTGAATCAGGCGAGTCATTTCAATGATTCTTTGAACCCCATTGCTGATTCATTTCAGTATAATATACTTCCTGAAACTGTAACAAAGCGCTTGCGATTCGCAACAATGGCTATGCATGCCTATGGGCATGAGTGGTCATGCCAGCTTGTATACAACCCACAAATATGTGAAGGCCTTGGCCTTTCAGATGGAGAAGGCACCGAGAGGCTGTGGTCGAGGTTCATCCGCTTGATAGGTATCCAGCGCTCTTCATCTGTACGTGTCCTTAAATTTTGCTTCATCTCTACTGATATTCAAATGAATGTAGAGACAGTATCGGTTGTGGCTAATTGACCGCCAAGCTGCCGCCATAGGCCTTGAAATGCGCGCAGACCTTGGGGATTGGATCCGACATCAACTCAAATGTGGAATTGATGAGCAAGGGATGACTGCACAGAAGACCCTGAATGGATGCAACACCACAATTGAAGACTTACGACATCAGTGGGATTTGCAGCGACAGTCTCAATTGTCCATCTGTGCTTGTGTGTTCAATTTCCTTTACCTTGCCCAGGAGCCTCCTGAGCATCTCTGACTATGTTCTACAGATGCACCTGCTCGACTCGAGAAAGAGCTAGACACTGTGCTCTCCTTACAGGGTGACCTCGATGTCTCCGACAAGGCACTTCAAGCAACAAGCGAGGTGATTTTAAAGGGAGATGTATCCCAAACTATGCTCGATGCCATCAAGAGCCTTGAATGAAGTCACCAACGTCTCATGGACAAAGTTGATGTACTATATGCTTCCCTTAACATTAACGACAAATTCCCCAAACTTGAAGGAATCAACATTGAATTTGTTCAGACACTTCTCTTGGCACGAGACCTCAAGATCAACATTCGGAAGCATGCAATTGGGAGTTTCTTTGAGTGGGACAAACTCAATTGTGCTGTTGGTGGCTCACAACAAGCATTAGGTAGGAGGTTAGACTTGCACTATGATATGTGTTAATGCTGTCCAGGCACGAAACTTCACCAGCAGACTCGTAAGGCCATTTTGAAGCGGCAACCAGCCTTGCTGGCCGCACTATGTAAATTCAATGTGTACTGTGAGCGCCTCGAAGACCTATATGAATCAGGTTGTGGTATTCCCCTTCCTACACCTCTCCCAACCAAGCTGAATGAGCTACGTGATGATCAAAGTTTGATGGAGGACATTTGGATTGCACCTTCAGTGGGGGAGGTTACTCATTGGCTGGATGATCAGGATGTCCATGATGGTATATGTGCTATGTTAAAGCATGATAGATGCATCAAGGAGAAACAACATCTTGGGTTAGAGGCTGATAACCTTTGCAGGTGGTTTGGTGATGAGCTCGCTGCAATAGAACTCGCTCTGCAGTTGCCTCAAAGTACGTATTCTGTCTGTCTGCTTACATCTGTCTTGTGTTAATTCCTTCACAGACATCAGATTTTCCATTCTACTATGCCAATGGCAAGAGCATCTTGGACATCTTCAAATTTGTTGGTCCAACCCGCTTGCCTCATTGTTACAGTTTGAGTCCCAAGAAAAACATGATAAGTCATTAGCGATGAGGCTCTCAGGTGCCACCCAAGCAATTGCTCTTCGCTGGATTCCTGAAACCTCAATATCATGCACTACTCCTCTGGAGGATGACGAGGATCCGGAGATCATCCCTGCTTCTAACGATGTTCCACCCAAGCAAATTGCACTTGTCGACGTCATGGACATTGATACCCCTGACAGCGAAGATGAAGAAGACATCAATATACAGACTGAACATCACGCTGTCATCACCTGGCATCCGCCAAAGGTAAGCGGATTTTTCATTCGCAGATTTGACAATATCTTCATTATTTATTTGGCAAGTTGTCATTGACTCAGTACCACTGATGAATAACACTACTGTCATTGTTCCTGGAACCATCGCAACCAGAACTTGTCCCGCTCACAATGGATTCCTGCATCAGATTTTCGAACCTAAGGACATCAAGATCCTCGCATCATGTACCGCATTCCTGAATGATGCACTCGTTAATGGCTGTGCAGCACTCATCTATTCTGAGTCTCTGGAAGTTTTTTCTACTGTAGAGCAATATGCAATCATGTCCACACACGACCTCCCTGTCATATCCTGTACCTCCAGATCCGGAATTCTGGAACCCCACTACTAAAGTCCGGTCCTCCGTCCTGTTATTTCGCCCGGTGCTCCGCTCTCATCTCTGGACTCACCCCTATCTCCTTTTAGAATAGTTATTGCTCTGGTTACCAATTATGTCCTTTTCCACTATGCTTACTGATCCGTCCATTCTTACTTCATTTCCGACTTCACTGCTTTGATCCATTATACTTACTAATAGACTTTCCACATGCTTCGTACATAGCCCTTACCTTTGCTGACTGATTTACTTACATGATACCTACAGTATATAAACTCTTGTAATACTCTGGAACTCCTCAGTTCGAATATCATCTTAGTTCTGCTCATTCCTGCAATCTCCGGACTTGAGTCTCATCTCTTGTCCACCTCCGAGTCTTAGGGGTTAAACCTTAGGACTAATTCTCTGGCTCTACCTTAGGGTAGTCTAACCTCTGTTCTGTTTCTACTCCGGACTTCCATAGTAGCCTTGCTCCGCTCCCACATAGTCTTCCGGAGTTCTGCCAAACTCCACTGAGATTTGTCCTCCGGAACTCCCCGGACTTCCATCGGACTTCCCCTCTGCCCCTCGGAAATTAAGGGCATGTACTTGGGTAAGGGGCACAGCGCACGAGCTGAAGCCAAAGCCCTTTGAGTAACCTCCCCCTTGAGCATGACCTTAACACTCCCCTGCATTTGGTACAATGCATCAGATGACATCCTTTGGCGGAACATGTCATGGACCTGCTATTGGGCCAAGGATGTGTGGATCTTACCAGTTCATAGACCCTCGAACGCTGGTCATTGGGTACTGTGCATTGTGCACCTCGAGAGCAAGGAGCTCCACCTCTTCAATAGCTTTGCAGAGCAACAACCTTGGGAGAGGGATATCAAAGTGAGTACCATATACCTCTTTCGTTGTTCATTAAGACCAAATACATCTAGGACATCATGAAAATGATCTTTCGACTTTTCGAGCTCGCTTGACAGTGCAGACACACATTCAAAGTCAACTTTGACTTTGACAGTTGGGTTGCATGTCCACTGATAGTAAGTGTCGTCAATCAGATGAGTATCTTTGTCCTTATTTTATCTCAGACAACAGCTGTTCAGACTAATGGATATGATTGTGGTGTATGGGTGCTTGCAATGATTGCAGCAACATTGCGTGGATGTCACTGTATGGCTCTGAAGGAAGATGATATGTCTTTGTTTCGTCACTACCTACGCACACTTGTGTAAGGACAGTATGTCCTTTATGCACTGACCTAGCTTCAAAATAAAGATGCTCGAACTCACCACATGTTCAGTGCAGCCATGTGACTCACTGATGCGAAGAGCTCAATTCTTTGCATCTGAGTTACAGGGATACATCCCTCTTTAGCCTTCTCCATTTCTTACCATCATCCTACCTTGTGCTCTCCTTCCACGATACCCGTTTCCTCACCGATATCTCTTTCATTCCACATGCTCTTCAACTCGTTTCAGATTAGTACAACTCTCTCACACATATATAAATTGCCCATGTACTCTCACTTTCGATAGCAGAATCCCAGATGCTGATTCCCCGCTCCAAGCTCAACCGGAAGCCTCACAGACACTCTCTGTCCTATATGTTTTGTTATACATCTCAATTACCTTTGCACTCGTCTCTCTTCCGCTTCGTTTCATTACATTTCCCCTTTGAACTCACTAATAGCCTTACACTTGTACTATCGATTCCTGTATTCTAAGTGTGTAGCTAAATGTATGGATTGGGTCCGCAATGCATCTTCTGAACCTCAGTGTGATAGAAATGAATCCTGCGTGAACGCCATTGGAAGAGGCATTGAGCCATCTTGCAGTGTCTATCACAGTCCTCCATCACAGAAATATAGTCTTGTAGTACGAACCATTGCCCTAGCAGCATATCAATAGCATCTTTTAACTCTATACAAAGACCTTGCATTTCTCCTGCATTGTACTTCTGGGCGCGTTGGTGTAACTCCTCCCTTTCCAAACACAATTGCCGGCCATGCATGACTTGGATAAGGTTGTCTGTGAAGCGAGCCTCTACAGGCATGTCGGCTGGATGGGGCATAGTGTAGGGTGGATTGGTGTCTCACTGCGGGAGCTCTGATTCGTTGATGTTGTTGGCACTTTGGAAGGCACAGTGAAATAGATTGCTGTTTGGAAGGGGAGAGGTTGCAAGTTCAACGAGAGCAGGAGGCAGGCATGGAAGCTTAGATGATATGGACAGCTTTGACGAGCCTCTGTGGGTGTGTGTTTTAGTGTAGATTTGTGAGCGTCGAAGTCGACAAGTAGCTTTGCCCCTTGAAAACAGTTAGAATTGGACATACTGCATGCTGTAGCAACACATACCTCTTGGACTGTGCATATTGTATCTTCTGTTTGTTGAGAGCAGCAGTCTTCTCTACAAAAGTGAAATATTTTGCTTTCCAACCCATGAAGTCAGTAGAGGAGTGCAAAGAGTACATAGAAGTCCATACAATTAGTTTACTCAAAGTCTGCTCATTCAGAGTCCTTCAGTTTCTCACATGAATCCTTGGGAGATATTGGTACCAATAGAACCGGCATAGTAGAGAGAATTCAAAAATCTCTGTCCGAGAAATGTGTACAAAGACTAGTGCAGTTGGGAGATATTTTTTGTTAGTCACGAACTTTACACACATTCTGATTGGCCAATTAAGTCATCACAGTGATCATACCATTACCTCAATGCATGCCTTTTAGCCCTCTCAAGCCTCCCATGGGCTGTCCTCAAACTCATCCTTGACGCCCTCCAGAGCCTCCCTGATCATCAATGGCGTCTTGTTACAAGATCCTGTTCTGAGTCTATTCTTCGATTGTGGCAATGAATTCTGTCAGCAGATCCCATCACAATATATGGATTCTTGTCCTCTCCCTCGGGCATATGAATATGCTGGAGGGACATCTGGATGTTCCTCCTCTCCCCTCAAAATTTTCATCTGCAGCAACACACAAAAATCTGAACCGCTGTTGTGCTTTGCAAGCCTTAGGTGTGATAAATGTGAGTGCTGTTGCCTACTCAGCTCTGTCAATCCTCATTGGAAGTCTTGTGCAGCATCAAGACCATTCTAAAAAACAGTTTTGTCAATTGTCATTGGTAGGCACTATGTCCTGCTCACCTGGACAAACTTTGGACTGATCCTATGGCACCCCAGCACCTACACCTCCTAGCATCAAAAGATCGATTTTTGTTTGTCACATCTCACAGCCGAGTATATTGTAAGACCCTTTCACTATTGCACATCAAATGCATTGCTCATCTTATCCAGGTTTTGTGCCGTTTTTGTCTATCATGTTCTCGACCGTTTTTCTTACATTTTTGGCTTCTCTCCAACAAAGTAAGACTGACTATCCTTAAAACAAGTGATCTGACTGTGATTGTGCTCACAGCCATGGCTCAAAATTATGTCCCAATGGATTTGCCATGGGATTTTCCACATTCCTCAGTGCCCTCCCTCGCAGATCCCCTAGATCCTCTCCCTGAGCAATTTGGGGGAGGTCGTCAAAAATCACCCCCTGCAATGCAGACTCCTATGAAATTGCGCACCCACATCAAACCTACAATGCGTGACTCCAGTCTTGTTCGAAAAAGTGCACTAGATTGGAGAGCCCGGCTGGTTCCGGGCAATGGGCATGGCATCACTGAGAACCAGGTGTCTGGTTCTGTGCTGGACTATCAGGACACATCGGCTGCCCCTGAACAGTTGCCACTTGATAATGAGATCTGCAATGCTCCTGATGATTCAACTCAAGGTCGGGTGACCCTGCAATCACTCAGGGTACCTCCTCACAGTAATTCCGAATTTACTAGACAGAGTGTATCACGTGAGAGGCAACTGATGGGCCCTCGGGGGCCACACTTGATGCTGGAGGCACCTGATCATGTTATTCTTCCACAGCCATCCTTCGCCACTATGCAGGGACAGGAAGAGGCTCTGATGCAGTTTGGTGGTCAACATCCGCCCATCCACAATGACATGTATCGTCTGATTGTTTAAGATCACTATAACTTTCCATCACTCAAAGATCCTGCCCCATCACGGCACCGCTTGTGAGTGATCCACCATCTTCTCACATCCCAACGCAACCTAGCCTCAATATTCCTTCAACTTACGTCATCCCTCCCACTCCTGCCAAGCCCGTGGATGGTGAAGGATGGTCTTCAAGTTCAGGAGCTGCTGCTGTCGGCAGGAGGTCAGACGAGATGAACACTGCCATGGATGAGCACTTTGAGTTGATTGATGGCATCATCAACCAGCTTGCATTGAAGACTGGTTTTTCTATGCAGCAAGTTCTGAATCTATTTCTGAAGTCTCACAGCCACATCCACAATGTGATAAACCACTGGAACGTCTATGGTCAATACTTCAAATTGTACCGTCTGCAGGAACTTGAGAGAGCTGGCAAGGACGGAAATATGATCAGTAAGTCTTTCTTTTGTTAGTTCCGTTGACTTTTATTCACACTTGTCATAGTCACTTCAGCAATCCAGCAAGAATGTTATGGATGCTTTCAGACTGCTTATCCTGACACCTGGCAAGAAATCCTCGAAACATTCGACGAGGCATGGACCTTTACTTGGTCACCTGTGACTGTCAGGCAGCGTTCACAAGAATTTGGGAGGTTGACAAGGAAAGTGACTAGCTTGGTATGTCTTATGTTATCCAATCTCCTTGTGCTGATGAGATCTCCAGTTGGATTCTGCCACTGTGATGCATGGCTTCGAAGCAGCACTAATCATGTGTGGAAAGGTAGTCAACCAGGATGCGTCGATCAGTTACATCCATACGACTCCCGGTGCAGAAGAGGTACAATCCACTGATCTGCATATCCATAGACTAACAGTTCTTGCTCATCACTTCTCATTGCTTTAGTTTTGGGCAACACATTGCCATGCCAATGAAGACACCATGATTGGACACTTCAGATCACACGTATAGTAAGTCAATCATTTCCATTGAGTATCAATCAAGGTTCTAATTAGACATTCATCAGTCACCTGGCATCCCTTGCTGTTGTCGAGGATGCATATGGTGAGGACTCATCCAGTGAAATAAAGCCAGCACTCAAGTGTCAGATACCCTTACCTCAGCACACAGATGCTCCGCAGGCAACACAAGTTGATGGAGAGGCTTGGGAGGCTCCCAATGGCATTGACTGGCAGATGCTGCCTGATCCTATTCAGTGTATCAAAGTTGGAATAACTTCAATGTTCCGTAAGCTTGTTCATTTTTTGCCTGATCTCACTTTGTTGATCTGTTCACAGGCGACCTTGGTGGGCATTTGATAGCATGGACAGGTACTTTCCCCTGGAAGCTCCTCCACAGTGAGCTGGTGCGTCACTGCTACATCATGAGAGGCTATCCTGAGGACACATTAATGTCGGGAGAGCCACGTGCTACAGTTGCCCGACCTAAAGGTGTCAGTGACCTCGATAAACGAGAGCAGGTCATACTTGCAGATGCATTGTGATCGGGCAGATTAATCATTGAAAAGCAAAAGACGCATGACTTGGGTTCGTATATAGTACTGATTCATTTCCAGTATGAATGGCTAATTGTTCTGTAGATCTGACGACTCTTGTTGTGGGGGGCGAAGCCCCTCCTGCAGGTTCAATGTACAATTGTGGCCGTCGCATGCTGGCCGATGGAACTATTGACTGTAAGGGACTTCATTGTCTTGCACCAAGTGCAGCAAGCACAAAGGTCACTCGCAAACAGAAGCTTGTGCCAGTCGTAGAGGTCTGACATCCTCCTCCACGTCCATTCAAGATTGTCAAGGCTCCAAGCAGACAGCGGAAACCAGCACAGGAGGTCATTTCCATTGACATGTCTAGCAAGGTACAGGCCAGCTCAGAGTCAGACTCTGAAGATGAGTACCAAGAAGAACCTCTCGAGGGTGTGGACTCAGAGTATGACGATGCCATTGCCTCTCGTAAACACAAGGTTAAGGCAGCTAGAACCTCCCACTCACATAAACAACGTGCTCCTTCAAGTGACATCAAAATTGTTGACCCGCCATGCAATATGAGAGGAGATGTCAAGGGCAAGGGCAAGGCCACTGACCAGGGCACCTGCAAAGAGAAGAAAACTCGCACTGCAACAAAAAACGTCAAATCAGTGCGTTATTGCTTGGTCACTGCTAGTGTTGCCGCAGCTCAGCTAAATCTGGCTCAGCTTGGTGGCTTAAAGCATGAGTCATTGGGAAAGAAATTCCAGGCAATTATTTGAAGTATTGGATCATGTAGAGTTCATTTTCTAGTTCCCATAGCTGTGCTTTTCATTGGGGAAATGTGCTTCAAATCCCACAAAAATACAATGGAAGAACCGGCAGCTTGGAGCTGTGGCATCAGGAAAAACTGTTCCACTCTAGAGAGCTATATAGATAGGGGTCCAAAAAGGCCCAACTATAACAGCTGTTTTGGCTATATAGCCCTATAAAGAGCTCTATAGCAACACTGATTTTCATCCATTTCTTTAACCACTTCAATAAATATAGTAGCTTTTATTTGAACTCATTTTTCCAATGGCCCCTTGGGAAAATCAAATTTGTTTCATGCAAGATTACACCCTAATACAGTGTTTGATATGTGTACTTGGTGGACCAGTTATTTAACAAGAAACGATCACAACTATCTAGTACATTTTCTGATCTCCAGTCATCAGGAACATGTCCAGCACCAAAACAAGGAATAAGTTGACAAGTCTGACGGATACTGCTGAGAGGAATGATATTGGCTGGGGCCATATTACCATTCCTTAGGGGCATCTTCTTCACCTGATACATAAGGTGGTCTTTCTCTGGTGCAGGTTTAAGTGGAGTATACCATTGGATATAGGCCAGGGGTTCCGTTGGCCAGTACTCTGGGGAGGCAAAAGCACCATAGACCTGTTTGGGTAGCTTGAACTATAAACGTAGTCTACCAATTCTTGTACCTGGATTCTATAATAAGATTTTAACAAGAAAAGTAAACAAAATCAACTCACCTTGAAGGCCTGTGCCTTCACACTCATCAGTCCTCATCACCACAACTGTATCAAACTGTTCCTGACCATGGGGGCCCCTAGTCTTTGGGCATGCTCTTACCCAGTCATTTGGTCCATGGCCATCCACCACATCCTCCCCCAGTTCCTCCAAAACAAACTTAAAACCATGGTATACGTCAAGCTTTTCAAATGGAAGCTGTGTCATCTCTAATCTATTTTGCCCCAAACCTTCACCTATAGCCCTGCTCCTCAACTGATTGAGATAAGTTTTGAGGTCTGGTGTCAGTCCAGGGCAGTGATGGGCGTCCATGATATTTTGAAGTGATTGACCGTACTGATGGGGCCTTTTTGGTAGGGATATGTGAGGTTGGGGATTAGTTTCATGTGAGTTGGGTGTTTCGCCTAGACTATCCAAGTATAGCTGGAAAGACAACACCTTCTCATACCTATCCAGCCAGGAAGCCATTTGTGGATGCTCATCCCTTTTATTGGTAACCCTCCAGGCGTCCTTGGCAAAATCAATATGGAGGCACTCAAAAGCCTCAGTATTGTAATTGTCAGTAGCACCAAACATGCGTATAGAGTTGATATAGTGGGTGAGGCTGTGTATTTTGGGAATATTGAAGTGGTCGCGTATGCCCAGCTCAATAAGCATGGACTTATGTTTGTGAAATGTGTCCAAAGCATCTTGAAGATAGCCTAGGGTGTGATCGTTGTGAGTGGGGTACTGGGCTAAATAGATGAAGTCTAGTAGGGAGCGGTAGGCAAGTACAACCCTTCTAGGAACCTTTCCCACTAAGCATCCCAGTAAGATGCGTGCCATCTCTTTTCTCTCTCTACCAGAGATCTGGGAGAGCTCACTCCATCCTTTCTGGAAATGACGCACTCCAAAGCAGGGGGCAGCGCTTTGATCCTAGCATCTAATTCTGAGGGATGCAGGAAGTAATCGCACCAGGCAACCATGTGTTTGAGTATTCCCTGATAGAGCTGGTGAAGGACGTCAGGCGTCATGGAGAGATGAATGTTGGAATAGGGAAATCCTTCCCAGAATGGACGTTGGACAGTACCAGAAACTCCCTTGGATTGACAGAGCGAGTGAAATTTATGGAGGTTGTGGGATTTGGATTTGGCGTCCTTGATCTCCCCCATGGTCCATGCTTGAGTGCGAGGTTCTCCAGGCATATTGGAACCAAGCTCTGAAGCTGGGCTCTGACATTTGGGACAAGTCCTGTACTTCGCACAGGTGACCAAACACTGTTCCGGATAGTTGGCCATGTAACAGGCAAGAATAGGGTGTATCCTCCTGACCTTTCCATCTCCACCTGCCACGTCCATCCCAGTACACCCAGCCTCCTTTAAAGGTTCCAGGATTGTATGCATAGAGTCATGGAATAAACATTGGATTCTGGACGTTTTCTCCTTCTTGGAGAGTTTGGAGTTTGATATCTTGTCCACAGAGAGGTAACCTATTAGGATACATGCCTGTTGGGAAGGCTTACGCCTAATGGCTCTAGAGATGTTGCCAAGAGTGAGATACACTAGGTACGCCAATTTGCTGCCAGAGAATTGGGTTAGCTGCGTCTTATCAGTCGCTATGATCACTGGTGCGACCACTGAGCCTTCTGGTAATTGTTCCTAGAAATAGGTGAGTTGTTGTTATATGTCGATTGAATTCATATCAGCTTACCTGGAGCGCATTCCACCACTTTCCCGTCCACATCTCACTATAGATCCTATTTTCCTTGCTTTCATCAGAGAAAACCTTGCAAGGCTTGCAGACGATGGTCTCTGCATGAGCAGGATTTCCCAGTAAAGTGCGTATGGCTTCTAGTGGGTCCCTATACTGGACCATGTGTCGTTCCTCTGGATCATCTGGAAAGGACAGGTAGGTGGTGTGCCAAAGCAAACATGATGGAATAGTATTGATGATTTGATGCATAGCGCATGAGTTGTGAAATGATAAGCCAAGGTTCTGAACAACCTGTTTGGAATTAAGCGGTGAGTATGATAAGTAAAGTCACATATTACTCACCCCTGGAATTGACAGCAGGCGGTCAAGAGATTTATGTCCAACACCTTCTTTGGTTGCCCACTGGGCTACCCTCCACTCAACCTCAGAAGCAAAGGGTGAGTATTTTTGGGAAGCAATGCCATCCATATCAACATCACCGTCGCCATCAAATTGAAGTCAGTCCCCAAGGATGTGCCTATGCCAGCTCTCAACAAAGGTTTCGCCCTCCCTCATAATAGCACCTGCAGTTGGGTGCTCTACCACCACTCGGTGATCTTCATCAACATTTAGAACCCTCCTTGATGAACCTTGAATGGGCTCTTCCACCTCTGGCAATTCTGATCTTGCTGGAGCATCATCTGTGGGAGGCCGCATAGGTATGAGGTCAAATAACTCTTGGTTTCATGCTTCCTGAGCATCTTCAGGATCCCATTCATCAACCCCTCTATCCCCTTCATCCACGTTCATGTCCTCCCCCTCCTCAACCAGAGCGTCTGGGATCACAGCATGTTCAAATGTACCTAGATTCCCAAGATCCCTTAGCTTTCCCTTATGATACCATCAGCACCCTTTTGCCTGTCCCATATGAGAAAGGAGGCCCTTAGAAGTTTTGAAGTCATGTTGTCCGCATGCGGGGCACATATGCAGGGCCATGGTGGTAATAGGTGAGTGTGGGAAATAGCACAATGTTATTGCGGTGTATATCTTATCAAATGTTTAAGACATCTGGTGTGTGGCTGCATATTAAGCAGAGTAGTGCGTATTCTTGAATCTGTGCAATCTTGGAGTTGGGGAAACTTGAACATGCCAGAGACAGCGTGAGATACCAAAATTGATGAAGAGATAAATGTATACCTTGCTCCAGGATAATCTGACCAGTTTGACAAGGCAAGACGCTAAATGAAAACCACCAAGGAAGAAATGGGAGATCACGTGCTCTGAACCAACGATGTAAAACTAACTTGAAGTCCAAATCCCCAACAGTAAACGATGGGCGCTGGTGATGGGTATGGGGATGACGTGTATCAATAAGAGATTCATCAGCTTAAATAGATGAAGGGGTAAGTATCATACAACAACATAGTATAAAGATATCCTCTGCGCGGCAGGTTCAAACTGATAACATGAGTGATACTTTTAAAAGAGAATTCAAACCGGTGCATAGATTAGTTCTTCCTCTTCCCAGACGTCGATGCCTTACCCGGGACATAATCTTCATCATCGTTGCAATGAGAACATGAAGTGCCAGACTTCTTCCCAGCTACACCAACGACAATGGACTTTTTCTTGCCGCCATCACTGGTGCGGGACTTCTTGACCCGGTTGCTAGTGATGGACTTCTTGCCCCTGTGGGACTTCTTCCCACCTTCATTGGCAAGTGAGTTCTTCTCACTGGCACGGAACTTCTTCCGTGCATTGTTATCGACATCCTTGGGAGCCTTGCATTTGGAGGAACCAGCCACAGCATTGGAAGTGTGATTGGCAACAGGATCAGTGACGGTGCCCTCCTCGGTAGGCAGGTTGCCAGTGGAAATGGTTGCAGGGGGGTGAGCACGAGAGGATTTCTTGATGACGACTCTACTAGGAGGTTCATTTATGGGTTCTGGCTGGACGTCACCCTCAGGAAGCTCACTCGTTGCTGCCACAGCATTCAGCACCAAGGAGATCTTGAACACTTTGGTGGGTGTGTACGATGCTGCATCAGTGGGTCGGAGGGCTAGCTTATCTTCTGGAATGCTCCTTGAGTCGATGTCATCACCGACCTCCGATTCCAGGAGGGAGAAAAAGCTGGCATGTGATTCCTCCCACGGTGATGAGGAGGCGACCTCTGTTATGGCTGGGGTGCCTCTATCTGAGTGTTCCTCTTCTTGTTCCGCTATCTTGACCATTTCAGAAAGAAACCCAATCATCTCCTCATAGGTGATGCTGTGGTCCAATATTTAAGAAGGCATTCAAAGTTAGCTTACACCCAACAGTAAGAAACAGTATATTCCTCACTGCATCAAGATCGTGCATGGTATCATACTGATGAAATAACGCCTTGCGCATTTTGTCCACCACAGGTTTGAAACAATCAAAATATGGACCTATGTGGGATGCTATGCGTGATTTCCATAGAGCATCCTGCTTCATGGTGGTAACCTTCCACTCTGCAGATGATCTCCAGTGCTGCTGGTTCCACCAATGATCCACCAGCATCGTCTCCTCCAATTCCTCAGCGGACTTTTGCTTGCTGGCCTCATGGAAGGCGACCATGATGATCACGATCACATAAAAGAATGATTCAAGATCATCACGTACTTTGTGAGGGCAAAATTGTTCAATGGCAGCTGTGTACATCAAACAAACTGAGATGCGGGCAGTGTTTCCCTGGAAAGACTCAATTCTTAAAGTTATATGAAACTTGGGTGGGACTCTACTCACCGTCTGTTCCACTAGATCAATGTTGGAGTTAGCAGCGCCAGCCCAAGACCCAAATTGGTCCCAAGGATCAGAAGTTGACGTCCGTCGGGCATCAGGGTCTGATTCGTTATCTGTGGTGAGTGTTTGCCATGATGGTGCCTGTGCCAGCACCCTTGGCTGCTGTGGGCGAAGCGTCTTCAAGTTGCGTAGCTGGAATGGTTCAGGAGAAGAGGGCATTGATGTTAAGCTGGAGGCTGCGGACATAGGGCTGGAGGCAGGGATGATGGGCTCAGCCTTTTTGGGGAATGTGCAGTTGAGAGGTTGGAGACATTGTTGTACTATGCATAGATCTTGACACTCTGCAAAACCCCAATCTCCAAGTTCACCTCCATCATTACCAGTTTCTGTTTTGATGTATAAATTACCAATGTGGATGTCACGGTGCAACACCTTGAAGGTCTGAAACACTTCTCTGTGCGCTTCAAGGATAAGTTAGAGAGATGATTCATTGAACCAGTGTCAGAACTCACCAATGACGCAATCTCTTAGGGCTTTTTCCAACCCCGCCCTGCTCTGGAACGGTGAAATCACCTGAATAGAATGCGCTTTAATCAACAGCCTGACATGAACATGAGCATGAAAACGGTGCTCTAGCTCATGACTGCGGGCTTCAGATGCCATCAAAGCAAGCATACGAGCTGTGCTTGTACAAGAAAAACAGGGCGTCAACACTACGTATTCTTCCACAAGTTCCAGAATATTTGCGATCCCAGCAATGACACGTAGGATCTGACCTTCTGTCATCTTTCAATGCACATTGTGCCAGGTATCCTTGACAATGAACGATTCCTTGGTTTCCAAATGATGGACCCAGTGAACATTCGATCTGCGACCAAATAGACTATCTGTGAGATGTATTTGAGCATCCATGGCATAGTTTAATCAGCAAGACTCGGGTAATGAATTTGTCTTGTCCTCCGGTATACATTGCATCGCCATTAACCGAGGACCATGGCATGGTGCCAGCTGGGCGCTAATATTGTATCCCAGCCAGTGGGGGTGACAGTATGCAAGACAGTATGCCATACGGGCAAAACATGTCCAACCCGTCGGATGGGTGATGGAGATTGCCGCTGAACGCATCAAACCGCCACAATCATACCTATACAAAGATCCATTCAATTCATTGGACTAATACACACTTTAACATGAACTCATATGTACCTATAGATGATCATGTTATACTTCACGAAACCTAGTGCGATAACAAAGCTTCTGTTGTCCTGGGATCCAAAGAGAATGGCACTTTTGACTGCAAAATTATGTCTAAGTTTCTCATCAACATCTATCAGTGACTTCGTACCACTGATTTGATCACAAAGCTCATTCAAGCTGGCAGCGGTGTTCTTCTTCGACTTCATTTCGCTGAAGCTTCAAACGCATCTCTAGTTGGCACTTGTATTCTGATCAATCAAGGTAAGGTCTAGTTTTCGATTTGCTTGGTGGCCGCCAAGTACATTCGTGCTGTATTTGGCCATCCAACGCCGACGCGGAGCACCAGATCCTAAGGCTTCACCACAAATCTCTGCAACAGCATTAATAAACCCGCCAAACTGGCCCTCCAGATGATGAGTGAATGCATCCAGGTTAGGGCAGTCCCGCCAGGCCAGTTTATCAGGGCTGAAGATGCCTTCGTCCCTCAGGTGATTTTCAGCATTTCTAATACACCATCAGTACCACAAAAAGCCAGAAGGTAATGTGGTGCTTACTTCCATGGAATGTTGTTGGAGCCCTTGGGCATGCATTGTTCAGGGAAAAGATTCTCAATAAAAGCTGAACAACTGGTCAGAACTGACAGAAAGATGCAGGATGAAAGGTTACGCACATTGAGCGCCATATCTGTGGCTTGTGACACCGGCTGGTTTACGCCATGCCAAAGTCCCGACGAGCCCAATCAACAAACCACCCATCAAAGTGTGACTAACTTCTCGCCTTTGACATTTGGAATAAGTACTTGCGTGTCAGGAAGTGGGCACCTCTTGCAACTGAACATGCAACGTCAAATCAATCAATTAATATATGGACCGCATGGCCCCATTCCTTTGGCCATTCCAATGGCGCATTATTGGCGGTCCAATGGAAGCACCGCAAGAACCGTATTGCTGGGCATGCAATGTGGGGTGCACGGAGTTGGTAGCGTGGAAAACTCTGCAATGGCATTGCACACTTTCCCACTGGCAATTCCAAGCACCTTCCAACTTTGCACCCTATGGAAGCGCGGACTGTGCTGTCAACTGAACATCAGCTGTTCTTTCTTTATTTATTTGATGGTGCTCACCAACTTCCCCATGAACTTCACCCATTCCAACGGCTTATCAAAATTGCGTGTTTGCTGTCCACATCGCTGTCCATATCGCTGCATGTCAATGTTGCACACCCTGTTGGTTTGCAAAGCGGGCTGGAGAATATTGATGGTGGAACCAAAGGTTTGTGACATCACATTGGGTGATGCTGATAAGGGCTGACAGTTATGTACAGATGCAGATGTGGATCAACAACACGTGAATGTCGAGGAATGTAGGGGAAGAAGGCGAAGAGGTTCATGCTCCCGTGGGGCCCAAGCGTACGTTTGTGCACATGCAAGTTGGAGGGCAAGGAGAAACCCTAGGATTAGAGGTGGGGATAGCATGGAAGTTATAGTGGCTGAGCTTGGGGCGGCAAATCTGGACTCTCAGACATACAACCCACATGAATGGGGGTGGGTTATTGCTTCCTCTAGCGCTCGTTCCCTCTCTGAAGGTGATCCTTTACTCTGTTCCTTATTGGAGCAATGCATGGAGATGGGGAGTAAGGACATTGCCATCAGTTTTAAAACAATGGTGACCCACATGAAATTAGCGGTAAACATCCAGCAGTAAGTCCTTACATTTTTTAACTCTTATGTGCCCATTAATGTGATGGTGTTTAGCATTCGCACTATGAGGGCTCAATCTCTGCAAGACTTATATGATGCAGAAATTGCCCCCCTTCGAATCAAGTCCAGTTACCACACCTTCCAGCATTGGCATACAACCGGGACTAAGTTTGCGGCCCTGGCGGGCGGCAGTACTGTTTACTTTCTTGTCTTGGTGGCAGGTCTAGGCCTCAGGACATCACTTGCTTCCATGCCGGGGGACCTTGCCTGCCATCTAGGAAATGCCTTGAGGCACCCAGATCCTGGTAAGGACATCTGCAATGCCTCATGTTTTCTATACTTACCCCAAAGCAGATACCATGATTGGATGCACCATCATTGACAAGATAATCCAAGTCATTCATATGCTCAGGAGCACGTTTCCCATAACAATTGATCCCTTGTTTCCATCCACTATTCTGGCCTCACATTCTCTTCCTTCTCTGATTGACTGCGCCAACATTGCCACTTCAGACCTTTTCTTCAACTCCTTCATTTTCAAGTGAGTATATAATATATTTGACATCTTTATTATGACTGATGGAATCCAATAAGCATGTTTAGATTGGTAGAGCGTTCCCACTCACCCTGGGATGAACAATGGTTTATTAGCTCCGATGTTTCTCAGCAAGATCCTTCAGTCCGTATTTTCACAGAAGTCATCAACACATCATATGATGGAAGCCAGTTGGAGAACAGCAAAATTCCGATGCCTCAGGAAAGTGCAGTGGATACAGTATGGACTGAGCGTGAACGCGAGGTTGTAGCAAATGTGGAGGAGGTAAACAATGTCGACAGCCTATGGTCAAAGGTAATGTTACATTATTCAAACTGCTGATGAAGCTGATGCGCCTAAGCTTGAGAGTTTTTATGTTGGTGGAGTGAAGCCCACCGATTCATATATCTTTATACCTAACTCATTAGTGAGAAGGTGAGTAGCTACTTTCTCTACATCATAACTATGGGCTCACAGCGGTTAGGAATCAACTCAAGCTACGCAACAGCGATCAATCGCTGATGGCGTATATCTGTGGCTCGCTTCCAAATCACTTGCGCTCCTCTCTGATGAGTGATCTTATTCTTTCCTTTGGCGACGTGAATATCCTTATCGACAAGGACACCAATCAGGGTACACAAGGAGATTTCCAGGCGGTCCACTTTTCATGGTATAATTGACATGCTACTAGGGTGAGTACCTTGTTTCAGGCAGATTGGTTTTTGAGGGTGAATCTTATCTTAGAGTTTAAATGCTCCAACACATGTGCAGCCATACATGTTGGAAAAGGATGATGTTCGATTCAATTACTCTCAACTGGTCCCATACATATCGTCTGAAACATTGAAGAACCAGGCACTCTATGAGGCGGTGTTAGCAGTGTTTACAGATCTCTTTGAATGGATAAAGGAACATGTAAGTGTCATTGTTTTTAGAAGCAAACACCAGTTGATGAATCTTCATACATACTGCAGCTCAAAGAGAACCTTCCCGCAGAATATGAAATCCTTGTTGAGGTAGCAAGAGAACTTCCCTGCAACAGCGCATCACCAGTGCTTCCATTTCTTTCGCTAGTATTCAACATAAATGTGGCTACAAAGGGCCATCGGGACAGCAGGGACTTCGACCTTTGTTTGGTCCTCCCGATCGGTAATTTTAAGGGAGGTTTCCTTGCTATGAAGGAGCCAGGGCTCGTAGTGGAGCTTCTGCAAGGATATTTCATCGGTTTTCAATCTGCATGGGTAACTCATTTCAATACTCATTATCAGGGTAAATGTGCTTCCATGGTCCTTCATACGGACAAGGAAATTCAACATTGGGCCAGGAATCACAACGGTTGGGGTGATAATTCTATGCTGACTACTTTCTAATTGGATCTTGGACATCAGGAAAATGTGGTAAGGCTATATAGCCACCCATAGCGCTATAGACTGCTATACAGACTCCATAGCCCTATAGCTCGTATAGCCAAGTGCCCAATTGTGCAGGCTTACTACACCAGTGTATAGTGCTATATAGCTCTATTAAAGTTGCTATAGCTGGGTGGAACATACCACAACTATTGTAGCTATTATAGCTCAAAACACAAAGCAAAAATTTCTCTTAATAGCTGTTTGTTGCCATGATAGTGTTCTCAAAATTAAAAAAAAGCGAAAATTCCAAATTATATTTCAACTACTACAATACATGTAAACTAATAACTACAAAACAGGCAAAAATGCGAAAATTACAGGAGGAAGAGGCAAGAGAACTAGAAGGAAGAATCAGAGAGGAAAGATGAATACAAAAAAAAAGAAAGACTTACCAAATAGTGAAAATTGCGAAAATTCTTGAGGGAAGAGGAGGGAAGGGAGCTAGAAGGAGAGGATCAGACAGGAGGAAGTGAGAGTCAGAGAAAAGACTTGCCAAATGGTCAAAAATGCGAAAATAGTTGGGGGGAGGAGGAGCAGGAGGGAAGAGAGCTAGAAGGAGAGGGTTAGAAAAAAGATTAGTCAAATAGTCAAAAATGCGAAAATTATGGAGGGAGACTTACCAGAGTTCAAAGCACCAGCACCAGTACCACCACCAACAACATCAACACCAAGAGAAGGATAGAGAAGCAAGAAGAAGAGAAGAGAGGCAAAAACTCGAAAATTGTAAGAAAAATATGGAAGATAATCTAATGGGGGGGCAGTGGGGGGGGAAGGAAAGAATGGGAAAAGACTTGTTGGTTGACCGCATTTTTGCTTACATAAGCAGTGCCAAACAAAGCCACAACACAAGACTTGGTGAATTTTCGAGTTTTTGGTTAATAGGACTAGGATTATGACAGTAAGAAAAAGACAATGAAATTGACTGTTAGCATTAGGATTTTGAATACACATAAGGTGAATTTTCGCATTTTTGCTTACATAAATAAGGTGTACCTTAACACTTTTGAACCCTTCAATTCCAAGTATTTTCCTTATAACTCACTAAGATCTTGACCTATTGAAGTCATTAGACTATGGATAGACTTCCCTTGACAAGGACTACAACTTTGATTTAATCGAAAAAAGTTCCCATGGTCAAGTTGCTTTCTTGAACCCTTCAATTTCGAGTATTTTCCTTATAACTCACTAGGATCTTAACCTATTGAAGTCATAAGACTATGGATAGACTTCCCTAGACAAGGACTACAACTTTGGTTTTCATCGAAAAAAGTTCCCACGGTCTACTGGGGTCTATAGTTGTTGAAATGTTTTACTTCTAAATACACTTACCAAACTTTATGGTAATATATAGACTTTCATGATGTCTATACTGGTCTATAGTGCTGTGATAGCTTGCCATAGACTGTATAGAGCTGTGGTGTGCTATCGGGGCTATATAGAGGATGGTCCTCTATATAGAGATATAGTTTTTCCTGATGGATGGCCTGAGCATGGGAAACACATGAAGGTATTACATTTTATCTCAACCTTTCATATTTTTGCTTAAGAGGTCTGTAATAGTTTGCGTAATCATAAAGTTTGTTTGTTCTCTCCTCCACCAACTATTTGAGCTTGCCTTGCCTCGTGTTCGCCTAATGAGCACCAACCACCATATTACACCATTGCTTACCCTTCAATCTAAACACAATGGACATCCTCAAATAACCGACACATATATAAAGTTGCTGGATGCTCCACTATCAGTCCTCATCAGCAGTTGGCTTGCTTTTTCTTCACCTCTCCTTGCATCTTGCCTTCCTGACCCTCATCCTTGCCAACATAGGTTGATGGCCAACACTAGACGTCCCAAGGCCAAGACCGCCAATGCCTCACAGCCTGGCATACAGAGGATTGTCAAGCCAAAACCAAAACTAAAACCAAAATCGAAGGCCAAAGGTAAGAAGGTCAGGGAGGCAACCCCCTCGGAACCAGAAGGGGAAGAAGATGAAGAAGAACACAATGGTTCTGATGCTGATCAGGTGGCTCTCTTGGAACGCCAGCTGAAGACAAGGAAGAAAGGTCATTCTGGGGATGCCTGACAGGATGAGAGACTGGAAGGTGAGTTATACTTCTATATTAGTGCACCTCTAATGTATTATCACCCAGCATCAAGGAAATGCAGTCGGGACATGCTGGATGAAGAGGGTGAGGAAGATGACGAGGAAGCCAGCAACACTGGGCAAAATGGCAGATGCAGAGTCAAGAAGGCACGAGCTCCCTTGGATGAAGAGGAAGAGGAATTAAGACACTTCATGTCAGAGGGGGATGAATTTGGTGAGGAGCAGGAAGAGGATCAGCTTGATCAGGATGAAAATGAAGGTGAGTAGTGTAGTTTTTTGATCAAGATCAAAACTTCTCATATCTGGCTGCTGTAGAGCTTGACATCCCTCAAGACAAAGATGACTACCTAGGTTATGATCTCGACAAGGCAAGCATCTTATCTTGTAGAAGCCTGGGCTGACTTGGACTCAGATGGAGGTGGAAGAAGATGATCATACTCCTTTCAGGAAGTCTAAGAGCAGCTCCCTCAAGTCGCGTAGCGCAACACCTGCAGGGTCAGAGCTTGGAAGTAGGAACAGCAAAGCACTCAGGGGAGCTTTTTCAAGCAAGGTAAGCATATAACAATCAGAGGCGCCCTTCTCACACCATATATTACCTAGGTCGCAATTCTGGCTTCCTTGGGCCATAGGGCACTAAGAGTTCATGTGGCCACAGTGAACGCTTTCCCGTCATCCCTCCTCAAATATGAGGAATCCTGGAGCTGTCTGGTGGATGCTGTTGAAGATGTGAAAACTTTGAAGGCTGACCTGGACAAAATTCAAGCAGATACAGAACTCAAAGAGCGCGTCATCAATTATGTATGTATGTCCCCAAGAGTATGTATTAATTCTTATAATTCATGTTCACAGATTTGGGGTGCTTGTGCTCAGATGAGAGGGGAGCTAGTCTTCAAGGCGCACCAGAAGGTTCCTAGATCATACTCTATTCCAGGTAGCATGACCGCTCAACAAGTTACTGAGAGTGTTCAGTGGATGATCAAATCATGTGCTTTCATGTATGGAGGCTTGAATGTTGTGGTAACTTCAACTTCTTATGTTGGAACAAAGCTGAATATTTTTAATGATAGGCCAAAACATTTGACAAGATGACGCCTTTCTGCAATCCTATTTTCAAAGATGTCTTTATTTCCCAGTGGTTTGGTGTCAAGGGTGAGGGAATACGCTTTGCTGATGCCTTCAAGCACATCCCCAATACCACTTTGGCTCTTATAGCCATAGTGGTGAGATTTAATTTCTTCATACAATCCCGTAATTTAATTAATGTAGGTTGAGTGCGCCCTCAACTCCTGGCATAATGGAACAAGGTCCTAAGTCAAATTCAGTGAGATGCAATTCCGCACAAGGTGAGTAGCTCTTTGCTGGTTTTGTGATCCTAACACCATCTCATACACATCCAGATATCAATTTTACACCAACAAGCTGGAGCACATGCAAAAGGACTGTCCTAACTGGATGAAACAATTCAAGAAGGAACTATATGACAGTATTTGGTATACGCATTCTTTCTACATTAATATCTAGCTTCTAATGTACACCAACAGTAAAGAATCTGGCTATGAGTTGCTAGCACTTCAGATGGATGATGAGGGTAGCGGTATTGAGGAGACCTATGCGGACATGGAAAAATCAGCTTTGTCCAGGATGGAAGGGAGTGGTGAAGGGAGAGTTGATGATGATGTTAGCACATGACCCTCTTAGCTTATATACCATTTTCAATATAGTACATTGCAATGATCTATTATTGCTTTTGACGCCCCATGGATAAATAAAACATTAAGGGAACTGTTGCATCTATTACATCTCTTATAGCTTTTGACACTCCATGGATAAGCAAAATATTAAGGGAACTGTGGCATTTATTACAACTGTTCTAAGCAATTCTAAGCATAGCACCTCTAGAAGGTATGGAGACTGTGGATGCTATGTCAACTATGGGGTTTTGGTATATTTTGTCCAGCTATAGCAGCTTTAGAGAGCTATATTGCACTCAATAATAGGCACTTATCTGTAGATCCTATGGTTGCCCTGGGTACCTATTGTGACTATATAAAGCTATATAGAGCTATATAGCAAAACAGTTTTTCCTGATGGGCAACACTAGTCACTGTGGAATCAGGCTCAGAGCAGGAGAAAATGCCTGGTAAGCAAGGCTTTCATATATAATCCTGTCATACTGATCAATTTCCTGTTCAGAACACAAGCCTCTATGCCTTCGTGATGGCCCAGAGCAGCCTTTGGAAGCACCAATTTAACGTGGTGGGTCCAAATAATGATTTATGTGCTGGACTCAGCTGATAATTATTTAGAGCACCCCAAGCTGAATAAGATTGTTCTGGGTTCTGAGCAAGCTGCCCATCATGCTGCTGTATACATTGAGGGTATGCGTGGAATAAATGCCACCAATGAGCTGGCTCGGGGGATGAGGGAGAAAGGGTCCAGCAGGGGCGTTAGCACTGCTAGAGAGGGTGTCAACGGAGGTACTGGTGTTAATGGAGGTTCTGGCGCCAATGGAGGCCCTGGCATCAATGGAGGTTCTGACACCAATGGGGGCTCTGGCACCAATGGAGGTCCTGGCACCAACGGAGGCTCTGGCACCAATGGAGGCTCTGGCGCCAACAGAGGGTCTCAGGCTGACCCTGCCATGCAGCCACAATTGAGACCAGCTGCAGATGCACCTGATGGTGATGCTAACTACTCACACATGCATTTGCCTACACCCCCCTCTCCATCACCTCAGCATCAACAACCTCTGGAGTGAGATCAGCTGAATCCAGCTTTCCAAGCCCATCCCCCACATGGCATCCAAGAATGTGCTCTTCCGTTACCACCATCATCAAGTGGCTCCATGGACGCAATGTCGCATGTTCATGCTGTGTCTCAGTTCCAAGTCTCGCAAAATCATCATTATCCTCAGGCTGATCAGCACCGCATTGAGCAGATAGACTATTATCAACATGGGAACCAGCCTGATCAGCATCGCAAGCAGATCGACTATCAATGTGTCAGCAACCAGCCCCAATATCACCAAGACATGATGTACACACATCCTCCCGCACCTTATACTGCTCGTGCTGAAGCTCATGAAGGCAGAGCTGCATCAGGAAAAACTATATCTCTATATAGAGGACCATCCTCTATATAGCCCCGATAGCACACCACAGCTCTATACAGTCTATGGCAAGCTATCACAGCACTATAGACCAGTATAGACATCATGAAAGTCTATATATTACCATAAAGTTTGGTAAGTGTATTTAGAAGTAAAACATTTCAACAACTATAGACCCCAGTAGACCGTGGGAACTTTTTTCGATGAAAACCAAAGTTGTAGTCCTTGTCTAGGGAAGTCTATCCATAGTCTTATGACTTCAATAGGTTAAGATCCTAGTGAGTTATAAGGAAAATACTCGAAATTGAAGGGTTCAAGAAAGCAACTTGACCATGGGAACTTTTTTCGATTAAATCAAAGTTGTAGTCCTTGTCAAGGGAAGTCTATCCATAGTCTAATGACTTCAATAGGTCAAGATCTTAGTGAGTTATAAGGAAAATACTTGGAATTGAAGGGTTCAAAAGTGTTAAGGTACACCTTATTTATGTAAGCAAAAATGCGAAAATTCACCTTATGTGTATTCAAAATCCTAATGCTAACAGTCAATTTCATTGTCTTTTTCTTACTGTCATAATCCTAGTCCTATTAACCAAAAACTCGAAAATTCACCAAGTCTTGTGTTGTGGCTTTGTTTGGCACTGCTTATGTAAGCAAAAATGCGGTCAACCAACAAGTCTTTTCCCATTCTTTCCTTCCCCCCCCACTGCCCCCCCATTAGATTATCTTCCATATTTTTCTTACAATTTTCGAGTTTTTGCCTCTCTTCTCTTCTTCTTGCTTCTCTATCCTTCTCTTGGTGTTGATGTTGTTGGTGGTGGTACTGGTGCTGGTGCTTTGAACTCTGGTAAGTCTCCCTCCATAATTTTCGCATTTTTGACTATTTGACTAATCTTTTTTCTAACCCTCTCCTTCTAGCTCTCTTCCCTCCTGCTCCTCCTCCCCCCAACTATTTTCGCATTTTTGACCATTTGGCAAGTCTTTTCTCTGACTCTCACTTCCTCCTGTCTGATCCTCTCCTTCTAGCTCCCTTCCCTCCTCTTCCCTCAAGAATTTTCGCAATTTTCACTATTTGGTAAGTCTTTCTTTTTTTTTGTATTCATCTTTCCTCTCTGATTCTTCCTTCTAGTTCTCTTGCCTCTTCCTCCTGTAATTTTCGCATTTTTGCCTGTTTTGTAGTTATTAGTTTACATGTATTGTAGTAGTTGAAATATAATTTGGAATTTTCGCTTTTTTTTAATTTTGAGAACACTATCATGGCAACAAACAGCTATTAAGAGAAATTTTTGCTTTGTGTTTTGAGCTATAATAGCTACAATAGTTGTGGTATGTTCCACCCAGCTATAGCAACTTTAATAGAGCTATATAGCACTATACACTGGTGTAGTAAGCCTGCACAATTGGGCACTTGGCTATACGAGCTATAGGGCTATGGAGTCTGTATAGCAGTCTATAGCGCTATGGGTGGCTATATAGCCTTACCACATTTTCCTGATGTGGAGTGTACCGTAAAGGCAGTGGACCATCTGGAGCCTCGGAAACCTTTTACCAGGACTCAAGGAGCTATCGCAATGATACTCGGCCTATGTACCCCCAAGATACTGCCTATCATCAAGAGTCTTGTTACCCCATCTATGCTGACAATGCTCTTAACTTACCTTACTCGTCATCTCCAGCTCCTTCTGAAAACGGCTACATGAGTGGGCCTCCACAATATTGATTGTCGGTACATCAGCAGCATCTAATTCTTGGCATAATTCATCCCATGCATCCTTTTTGTTTTGCTTCTTGCTGAAAATCTTAGTGCGGGTATATATGCACATTCTTGGCGTCATCTTTACTTTTGATTGTGTGCACTCAATGTTTCCGTATGTTCATATCTCACTCATGCTTGCTTTGATTGATAGTGCATGACTGCCTTCGATAATAGTTTACATATGTACATTTGTATTTTCCTATTCTGATAAATCAGAAGTGTCCAGTTGAACGAAAATGCTTCAGAGGTTCACGAGGGAAAAGTCACTTATTGGTACCAATAGAAACCTTTTGGGTACTTACCACATGATTTTTTCATTGATTATCGATGAATGCGTTCTTTTTCTCGCCACCTCATTGATGTTCAGGTTCTTCTGCAATCAATGGACTCCTCCCTCTCTAACCACACAAGTATCCGTTGTGTTGATGGATTTTGCCAAACTCGATGACATTCTTGAACGCATCACATCGCAGCACAGGCTGCCAGTACAGGAGGTATTGGACAGATGGTTAGAGATGCGACGAGTCTGTGTTCCCGATGGATGGAGGCTTCTAGATGGTATACCTTGCATCATTGGAGGCTTGACAGCACTTCTTGGTAAGTGCGATGGTCAGATCATGCGTAGAAGTACTAAAATTGGTACAGGGACACTTGAAGGGTGAGGATGAAACTTCCCCTGGAAGATGCTACCCACTATTCTAGCCTGTCGCGGCTGTATCCTCCAATACTACCCAGAAAATATCCTCATGCCCAGTGAGAGATGTGCCACAGTGGCAAGGAGCAAGGGCATACATGACCTCTCTCTTCGTGAACACTTGGTCCTCGCAGATACCCTCAAGAAGGACACACTCACTGTCAAATCTGTCACCACGCTGGATGCCCACAAAGATCTTATGGTGTTGTGTGTTCCCGTCATGATCGGAGAAACACCTGTAGGAGATCCTCTGATCATTCATGGGAGGCACAAGTTTGCCAATGGATGGATCAATAGGCTTGGCTTGGCTAGTCCGGATGACACCTCACCATCAAACTCTCATCCTGCATCATCTCATCAGCGGAGACCCCATGTTTTCATAGAGGTAACACTCCCCCCACCCTCCTGGAGGTTGAATGGAACAAGGGAACACTCACCAGTCCTGGGTACCAATGACTCCAGTGAATGCTCACCAGTCCTGAGTACCAACAACTCTAGTGATCTTGTCCCACAGATCACCTGCCTTAGCCCACATGCTATGGCCACCGAAGATGATGGAACGGTTGAGGATATCATTATCGAGGACAAAGAAGCCACCGTTGAGGATGAAGTGGAAGTTGATGAACTTTTGGGGTTGCAAGAAAGTAATGTAGTTGTGTAGTGATCTCACCTCACGCAGCACTTTTCGGTGTGTTAGGAATGTCAGGATATGTTTTTTGTTAGTTGTGAACATTATACGAGCGTTCACTGAGAGGCACTTGGGAGTCTTGACGCGACGCGACGTCTGAATCACATGACCTTGTTTACCACCTCAAGGAGGTTTCAGGCAAGTTGATGCCACACTATTCCTCCTCGTTCTCATTACCCTTGATGCCTTCACTATCTGGCTTTAATCCCACTGACTGCATCAGGACTACTGTTGTCAAACTCACATGGTACATGACAGACTTTTGACACTGTTTGCTGACATAGTCCATGTCATTATCTTCTAGTGAATGTGTTATGTGAACACGAGCTGTGAGGAGAAGCCTGTAACAACCTCAAGAAGCAACAAAAACTCAACGACAGAATCAAGATATGTACCTGGATCACCGATGAAATGAACCCCTTGCTCCTCCTCACTCCTCCTCGCTGGAGGTTCTATGAAACACACCATGGTCCTGAACAGGATCTAAGGGGAGGCCTCCCTGTGGAGGTGGGCTTTCAGGCAGGTTACTACCTACAATGAAACCTACCCTGGAAGGCCTTTGGTACCTTTTCCAAGTGGTGCCAAGGGTGGAAGTTAACATAAGTATGCAGTCCCCCGCCAGCAAAAATGTGAATGATGTAGTGTAAAAGATGTCATCTCTATGCATGACTTTGTAATACCTGGACTCTACATGTCCATCATAGTGGCCTCTGGAGCCATAAATGGCAAGGGCAAGGATTTTGTCGAGAGTACCACAGTTGTCAATTGCGATGATGCAAGGATCGTCATCGAGCAATTTAAATCTGTAATCACACCAATCTGACTTGTTGTAAGTGTTGGAGGAAGGGTTGTTGGGGGGGAGGGAGTTGATGAAGCAGGTGATATGATGAAAAGAGTCTATGACTGTTGAGTACTGACATTTTGAGGCACAGACCAGGAAGAGGAAATGAGATGTCAGAGTGAGACATTGTGAGCACAACCAGTCTATGTGACACACGATGAGGTGACGTCAGCCGAGACATACTAATATATTACCTATGCTACCATTTATTTGTATTGCTATGCTAACTACTATAAAGTAGTGATGTGCACAGCCTGGCTTCAAGCCCTGGGCCAGCCCAAGCCGGGCACAAATAGGCTGGGCCCAGCCCAAGCCTAAGTCATGGCCTGAGGAAGGTTTGGGCCTGGGCTTGGGTTTTGAAAAGCCTGAGCCAGCAGCCTAAGCCATGGCTTTGGCATGTTCAGTGGCACTGCCGTAGAAACCTGCCGGAGGTACATTTCCCGACTCCATTTTTGTCTTTTTCCAAGCTTCTGACTTGCATCTCTTATCAGCTTTGACGGTCCATATGTCACAGTGAGTCACCATGTCTTGTGCTTTGGTTGGTTGACATTACTCACATCACAGTCAAAAAACCTGCATTGTCCAATATATCCAGCAATTTATCCTCTTTTGAAGCCTTATATCTTGTGTGTTGCTACAAAACAGCCGCAGTGAGCTACCAGTGCTATGTCCAGTGCTTCATGAGCTCAATATAACTCACTCCGCTGTCGGAAATGTCTGCGACAACAATATACCACCTGTTCATACTACGAGTGGCATTTGCATTTGTCTGCAACTGTCGCTGCTTGTCTATACTACTTGTTTGTACTTGTCTCTGCTGTCCTGCGCACATTTGCGCCTGGTGATTGTCTTTTTGTTCACCCGAGACTCATTTGCATTTATTTCCGCTTGTTCATGCAATCTAGGTGCGTCTTGTTTCACTTATCTATGTATGTACATTGCTGACAAGTATCTACATTCGTCTGCACTCTACCTCTGCATTTGTCTGCATGTTTTTAGCGTGCCTGCATTGTTCATGACATATAGGTACATTTTATATGTCTATGTATGTATGTACTTGCTTGTATCCACTTGTTCACATTGCCATCGCAGAAAATTCAGCGTGCGGGCTGTGGCTTGCTTGGGCCCAAGCCCTGGCTTTGGGCCGGCTTGGGCTCACGGCTCAGGCTTGAATTCTGGCAAGCCTAAGCCCCTCCAGGCCGAGCCTAGGCCGGGCCGGAACATCACCACTATAAAGTATCGAGTACCGCGTTAGAACATCTCAGTCGAGTATCTCGAGACTGAGATGTAAGTCATTATTATTATTTCCCTTTACTTATAACGAGCTAACATACCCGTAGTATATATTCTTACCAGCTCCTTGTTCGTCCCCACTTGCATAAACTCGCTTTAGGTTATGAGCCCTGTCTCGACCATGGATACCACACTCCCCAGCACCAGCTCTAGCCTGTTTAACATCCTGAAGCTTGCCAGGGACAGCTCAAACTGGATCACCTACAAGGAAAGGATGTTAACGGCAATTGGTGCACGAGGTTTGATGCGGTATACCGACGGTCGGGCACTCAAACCGAGCCCCTTCAAAGTTGACCTTAAGATGGGCACATTAATGAAGTCTGATGGCACCATGCCTACACAAGCAGACTTCGACAAACTCGATAAGAAGCTAGATAACTATTATCAAAAGAACTCACTCGTCAAGCAGCAAGTTTTTAGCACAATCGTGGATCAGCTTCTGCTGCGCATCCAAAAGCTAGAGGGCACATCTGAGGTCTGGGCAGAGATTTTCCAGATCCACGAGGGCAAGACAGAGCTCATTCAGATAGATCTGTGGCACTGATTGCAAGAGCTGAGGTGCGACGACAGAGGAGACGTTAAGGCCCACTTCGCGGAACTGCTAAGGGTCCACAAATTCCTTGCAGGCATGGGTACAGCGCTTGACAAGCGCGACTTTCATGCCATCATCCTAGGGTCACTCCCCGAATCATATCGCCCTCTCTTATCATCCATTAGTGCAACCGCAAAGATCACTAAGAGTCCGCTCACCCCTAATGAACTTATCAGCATCATCACAGAAGAGTATGAACATTGCCAACTCACTGATTGATGCATGACCAAGAAGGGCGGAAACACCACACTTACTGCCAAGGCAGGCCAGAATAAGACCTGTGGGTCTACATCCGGAAGCCAGCCGAATGCGGACATGACCTGTTTCAATTGTGATCGAAAGGGACACTACAAAAGCAACTGCTGGAGGCCTGGAGGCAGGAAGGAAGGTCAGGGGCCAAAGCAAACTCAGAAGAGGGAAAATCGCTCACCAAATCAAGCCACCAACGCCGCAATGCAGGACAAGTCACACGATGAGTACACTTTTGTGACTTCAGACCTGGCAACCATTGCAAAAGACTTGCACATCCCACTCAAGCGCAGGGGGGCCATAATGGACTCAGGCGCTACCTCCCATTTCTGTCCCAACCGTTCCAAATTTGTTAACTTTGTCTCTATAGCCCCACAGGATGTTCATACTGCAGATGGGTCAGCAGTCAGTGCGATAGGATGAGGAGATGTTAAAGTTGACTTACCCTTGGGCAGCAAACGCACCTCTGTCACATTGAAGAGTGCACTATATGCGCCCAAGATGGCTTTCACCCTTATTTCTACCAACTGCATCACTGTGGCGGGCCTGGTGGTACACTTTGAGGGCAAGATGTGCAAGATCCTATCGAGTGGCCTGAAGAGAAAGGTCATCGCTGAGATACCCCAAGTTGAAGGACTATATGCCGTCCTCAGTCATCAGAGGGAGCACGCTAATATAGCCAAGCCAAAGCTTGCTGTCTGCAAACTTCATCGCATACTCGGACATGTCTTGCAAGAAATGGTCCAGGAGGCGGTGAGGAAAGGCCTGGTAGGAGGTGTCAAGCTAGACTCCACCTCCAAGCCAGAGTTCTGCAACACCTGCACCAAGGCAAAAGCTACATGAAAACCTTTCCTGAAGGAGTCAGTGAATTGCGCCAAGAGGTACAGCGAGGTCATACACACAGATTTGTGGGGACCAGCTCAGACCGAGAGCCTGGGCGGAAGCCTCTATTATATGATGTTTACTGATGACTTCACACGTCAAACTGAGGTCAAGTTCCTCAGGCAGAAGTCCGAGGCACTAGAGGCCTTCAAGGCTTACACGTCGTGGCTCTTGCGCCAGAAGGATGGGAGTCGCATCAAGACCCTTAGGTCAGACCACGGTGGGGAGTACTTGAGTCGAGAGTTCGACCAGTACCTACAGGATGAGGGTATTGAGAGACAAGTGACTGTCCACAATTCGCCCCAACAGAACAGCATGGCAGAGCGCCTCAACTGAATGTTGGTCAAACACGCCCGGGCGATGCTGATTGCCCAGGATCTCCCTAAGTTCCTGTGGGGCAAGGCCGTCAACTATGCGACATGGCTGAAGAACCGCTTACCATCGCGCACAATCCCCAGACACATGCCTTACGACCTCATCCACAGCCACCCACCTTCCCTTGCGCAGGCCCATGAATTTGGATCCATGGTCTTCATGCACGTAGACCATGCAGGCAAGCTTGAGGCTCGAGCCGAGGATGCGATCTTCGTAGGGGTTGATGGGAAGAGCAAGGGCTATTGGATATATTGGCCATTGAAGAGGAGGGTTTTGGTTGAGAGGAACGTGACGTTCCCACCCATGGAGGTCGTGGTAGGAGATGATGTCCTGAACAACGGGGAGTCCATTAGTGCTGATGTACACACTAACAACGAAAATGTACCACACGTCCAGGCCATGTCCCTCCACAGACTCCAACCAGACCAACTCAATGACCCAAAACTCCACCCGCACTGCGATCGACCAGAGTCCGACCACCCCCAGGCTATTATGCAGGCCTTAACAAGGGACAGACGGCATCCCTTGCAGCTGAGGCACTCTTTGACCCCCAAGTATCAGACTTAGCTGATGAACCAGAGACCACTCACCATATTGTGTTAGCAGCCGCTGAGCCCGAGCCAACATTGCAGCAAGCCTTGAATGGACTGGATGGTGTTGAGTGGCAAGAGGCGGTTGATTATGAAATCAGCCAATTAGAGAAGCTTGGGACTTGGGAGGTGGTAAATGCACTGTCACGTGCTAATATAATTCCATGCCACTTTGTTCTAGCCACCAAATGTGGGCCAAGCGGAGAGAAACTCAAGCTACAAGCCCACCTTGTCGCAAATGGACAGCGTCAGAAGCATGGCATCGATTATTTCGATACATTTGCCCCTACCTCTAACATGACGACGATCAGGACAGTACTAGGGATGGCAGCTCAACGCGACTGGGAAATCCACCAAGTGGACATTAAGAGCACCTACCTTTATGCCGATGTCAAGGAGGAAATATACATGCACACACCACCAGGCTACCTGAAGGCAGGAGATGAAGGAAAGGTACTGTGGTTGAGGAGGAGTTTGCCCAGAGACAGTACCTGGAGCAGAGTCAACAGACTCTGCAGAGACAGCGGAGTCGGGGGGAGATGCGGAAGCTGCTGCAGGAGTAGCCGCCCTGGTGCCTTTCCTTGGACTGCGCTTCTTGCCCTTATCGGAGCACTCTTTGTGGGCTTTCTTCTGAACCACGACTCCCTCTGCTGAGGCAGAGAAGACACCAGTGAGCTCTGCTGCCAGCCGTTTCCTGTGTTGTGGTGCTGGTGGAGGGGGCTGATCAACTGGGATAGGCGTGAGTGTAGATGAGCCATTGGCCTCTGTAGCTAAGTCGGATGATTGCGAACCAGGAAGCAGTGCCACATTGTTTGTCGAGGGATCTATATTAGTATTGTCAGACATCTGAGCCATAGCGGCATCAAGCCTGCTAGTCTCCCAATCTCCAAACTCAGCATCTGAAAGCTGACGGAATTGAGTGAATTAGTCTCCCGAGCATGGAACAAGACATGGAGCTCGTTGCATGAATTGATGTCCCCTGGACAGCAGAATTTTGACAGTGGCCAGTTTTTGAGGACCACACCATACTTCGCAGTTAAATTTGTGTTGAAGTTTGTGTAATACATACACTGGACCTGCTTGGGTGATGCTGCTGTCTCTAGCACGAGAGAAAAACAACATTGAGGGCTGATAGGAAGACTGGAGAGAGACAATCCACTCACAAAGCTTTTGCAAGATCATTTCACTCAAGTTCTTCTTCAAGTCAAGGACCTCTTCTACATGTGTTTTCGCAAGGCCTACACAGTCCAAGTTAGAAGGTGCAATAGTATATAATGAGGAGGTGTCATACCTTGCACACCTGCAACACAATATCCTTCGAAGCGGAAAGCAAGCGTTCCTAGTGAAGTCTTCAAGCAGGAATCAAAAAACTCTGCTGCACAAGTGGTGTTGAAAATATGAGGCTGGTTCCAGTGTTTAGTGTCTCCTTGTACAGCAAGTAAAATGAACTCAATGCTGGTACGGCTATGCAAAGTCGTAAGCTAGAAAGAATAATCAGTATCGTGGTTGAGTAGAAATGAAATGAATCTCGCCTCACAGTCCACCTTCTCGAGGGTCTTGTTAGCATCCGCCAATGCGCTTAACATCACATTATGGGAAGATAATTCCTTCATCTCATGATGTTCCTTGATGGACTCAATGACATCTTCTGTTTCAGCAGTACGCTGGTCTTCATCCATCTCTTGCCATCACACACAAATTTGTGGCATGAGCTTGCAGGCTTTGTGCCGTCTTTCGCCAGCTGGTAACACTGAAATTCTATTGTGAGTTCAAGGGAGATAGCAGAAAGAAATAATGCCAGTACCTGAGTTATGACGCTCAACTTCCTTTTTTATAAAAGCATTCCACTTTGTAACCTTGCGTTGACCCATTAACCGCGAACACTGCATAATTTCCTCAAAATAATAGTTGATGGAGTGTCGACCAAATTTTTCATGGAGTAGAGTGGCTTGCTCCTTTACAACATCCCTAGCAGCAGTAAGAGCCTCTGCATACTTGTCACGATTCTTCTTGCATCCAGCCTTTAATAAGGCCTTCTGGGCCGCAGTTTGCTTCATGCACTGGCGGTGTTGCCACACTGTTCAATTTTTGGTGGTCGACATCTTGCACATTGTCAATGCATAGCGAGCAATGACATTACCTGCCTTCTTGTGTGGAGCCATGACGGTTGTGTGAGCAACGAATCGTACATGTAACATTGAAACAAAAATCCATTCACATGGTTTTGACAAGTGGCAGTGAGCATGTAAAGCGAAAAGCAGTAAGTGGTAAGTGGTAAGCTGATATGACAAGTTGATGCGAAGATGCGAAGATGCGAAAGTGATACATCATCATTCATCAACACCATCAGCTGCGATGAGTCCCCAAAGGAAGACAGCTTCAGCCATAGGCATTCCCTTGGCAGCAATGGCCATCACAAACTCTTGACATGAAGAACTCATATCATGGGCATGAGCAATATGAAGTAAAGCCTTCAAAGTATACCCATGAGCCTGAAGATACCAATCAGTAATAAGACCAAAAGATGGGAGTGGTGTGTCGTCAAATTGTGGTTGATCAAGAGCACCACAGATGCCATCAATCTCACGTATGTGCTGGTAAATAGCCGTTGGTGTAGATATTGAGGCATTGGCAGGTATTCTTCAAGCACGTGTGGGATTTTGGGTGGGTGACAGTGGAAGATGAATGTTAGACGTATTGCGCGCATCTGCAGCACATATAAATCTCAACTTATCTAGAATACAGAGACTTACCAGTACCTTGAGATGTAGGGTTTGATGGAATTCTAGTAGATCCATCTCTCAATGAAGCTGAGTAGAGAATTGGGTAAGGAAGAACAAAGGGTGAGGGTGAAAAGATACATACCATTGTCAAGAGAGACTTTGAAGCGAGAGACTTTGTAAGGTAGAAGCGCGTGGACTTGAGATATCGGTAGCATTACCCAAATGATGTGCCTTCATGATAAGAAATTCCAAAGTGGCAGCTAGACTTGAAAGCTTTTTGAAGCAGGGAGAAGAGAATCCTGTGATGGCACGGTGACAATCCTCCCTGTAGATCAGTAAGACTTGCATTGGATGTATGCAGCGAACAAAACTTTACCAAGACAAGAAAATGCCAGACTCGTGACCGATTACAACTATGTAGAACTTTTTGGATCCACTGAATAGCCCAGCTACAATAGGATCGTGGTAGAAAGTGAGAGCAGCATTGATGTGTGTGGTTTTATCTGAGATATTCTTCATGATTCCCTGTAGACTTGACTGAACCCTCGAGGCCTGCATATATGAGTCGCATTTGAGGGCTATAGGGAAAGGCTCGCTCCAGAAACCGCAAGGAATGAAAGGTCTATGAAGAACCAATTATCAGCAAGAAGTAAGACCGTGTACAATACATATATACACCTTTTTTTATAAACTCCCGGGTTCCTCCCACCAATGATGGCCCAATGAGATTCCATAGATGCTGAATATCTGAACTATTGATAGTTGAATGTTGAATGTTGAATGGTCAGAATGGTCGAGCAATTGTGTTTGAGGTGATGAGGTTTGGGTGTCAGTGGTGATTATTGATTATTGGCTGATTGATTTGCAATCCACTGTTTGGCTGACCAATAGCTTCATGTGCATGAAATTGCGTTTGAACACAACACAATTGAGAATTTGCGACACATGTAATATACAAATAGTATCAAGGATGCAGTGCTAGATCAGACAGGTATTCTACAAGTATCCCAATGTCCCTCTCCACACCATCATCCTCATCAAATGCATCCTCTTCCGAGTCATCACTCTGAGGCTGCTCCGAGTCACCCTGGGCTGGTGCTACAGTTGATGGTGCTCGGTCACTGCTTGTCCCTTTCCTAACACCACAGGACTTGTCTCTGCTGAATCCAGGAAGAGAATGGGTCTGATTAATGCATGATAACAATTGGCTATTAATACGATGGCGGCAAATTGAGTGTTCTTTCACAGCTACAAAAATCAGTGAGTTAGCAGCGTCAAGTGCTGCAAGGACACATGTGAATTCCTCATTCTCGACAACAATTGCTGTTTGCAGGTGGCGCACTTCAATGTTGCAGTAGACAATCTCTTTCTTCGCACGTTGAATGTGGAGATGCTGCCGCATGGTCTCACGAACTGCTGGCTTTGTCCATGGCTTGTTGCAGATGTCTTGGCAAGTTTCATGAAGGAGGTTGAACTCGTCGAGAAAGCTGAAGTGTGAGACCTTGCTCCACTCAAGTGGTGGCCATGGTGGCCGTAGCTCAGATGCAGCCTCGTTGTATTTCTTGACAGCATTCTGAATCGCTCGGCATCAAGTTTGAAGTGACTTTGCAATATGAGTCCGCATCTTATACACTGTAAAATATGTCAGTGAGTTGTCAACTGAAAGTTCAGTGATAGACTTACCTGTTCGAGAGACATTCAGTCTCTGCAACTTGAACAACCGCTGCACAACAAGATGCTGAATATTATCCAGTGCTTTATGATACTTGCATAGTGTCATGTATGTAAGAGTTTCTTGATACTCTGCAGATAAAGGGGACCACCAATTTGCGATACTGAGCTTCGGTTCCATAGAAATGACATTGTGTTGAATCGAAGCGAGTCGTTCAGTAGCGTAGTGTCGCTGCATCTCCAATTTCGGTGTCTGGGAGAGATTAACAGAATAGAAGTTGGTCTGTGAGGGGGCAGAAAATTGGTAGTTGTCCAGTGCAGAAGAAACAAAGCGAGCAAAGCTCACGGATGCTTGAGACCTGCAAAACTCATCAATTACATGAACATCATGCTCACAAAGCACTTACTCAAGCTCTTGCATCTGTTGAAGTAGCTCTACATAGACAATGGCATGCACATCCCACTCAGGTTCCTTCCCAAGTGTTTGGAAGTACTGGATCTCTTCTGACCGCCAGTTCATGAGGTCCTCTTCTTGTATGCCTAGAGAAGACATAGCTTCCCTCAACATGATAGTCTCTGTCGAGATCACTTGTTGTGCTTGCCAGTAATTGTTAAGTAACATTGTGCCGAGGTTTGAGTATTTGTCTTCATCCCACTGCTTGAAGAATAGATCTAAGAACACATGGCGATGGTAAGGGCTGGCATAGCGAATTACAGACGCTAGAGCATTGGATGCACTAAAAATACTCTCAGCAACACCGAAGTCTTCCAGACCAGCGCCTTCGATGCCAAGTGGGTGATGTTGAGTTTGGCAAATGTAATTGTGTGCATAGCCATGAAATGCGTCAATGCACAAGTGTGACTGCTTTTCCATGAAAGCAGGACCTAGGGAAGATGCACGAACTGTAGATGCAAACCCACATCCAATGTCATAGGCACCAAGGGTGTGCTCCCCAATGACATCCAGTATTTTGGCAACTATTGCTAGAGGGTACTTCACTCTACAGTAGAAAATAAGTGAGGTAATGATGATAAAAAAAGAAAATATGTACAACTCACCACTTTTAATTATATTGGCATACCATAACATGCTCCCGTGTCTGCAGGCAGCAATAAAGATACTCGTCTCATCAAAGATAGCCCACATCTTCTTCTTGTCATCATCAGCAGCTGCTTTCCAGTTTCTGCTGCAGTCTTCAGCTATAACTTGTGCACTTGAGACTACAGAGTCATCTTCTTCAGCTTTTGGAATGATGGGATGATCGTCAGGGCCATCAAGTGTGGAGCGAGACTGAACTTCATTTGCAAAGTGATCAACGAAGACACAGGAGAGTAGGTAATCACTCTCGGCATAAATATGTGTGTCACCACACTGTCGGTCACCGATAGTCACCATGTGCTTGGCAGAGTTGCCACCATCCATGACATACATACATGAGTATTTGAGTGGTGGCTCATCATCAAGTTCATAGGAGCATGGAGGGCATGCATTGAGTACCTGCCAGTTGGGAGTATCATGGTTAAGCACTGTTTGAACCCTTCGTTCAATTTCATGAAGAATAGTGAGATATAGGTCAAAGGTGTCTGCAAGCACTGTGCAATAAGTGCGATGATAAGGCATCTAGATTTTATAAGCATGAACATATGACGTTAGTGAAGGCCTAAATACTAAATGATGGCTTTCGCAAACGGAGGAGGTGGTAGTGTTCGAGCGTACATAGTGATATTGCAATCAAAGAGTTGTGTGGTGCGTTACCCAGGAAGCCTTCAGATACAAGGGCCTCAACAGGAGATATGGTATCCTCGCCTCAAGGAATCGTAGCGCATGTGTCCACCGTGAATATGTCAACAATGTGGATAGTGAAGGACAACTCTGGGGCAGTGGGGCACTGTGGTTGAAGAGAAATGCCAAATTGTAATGAATTCCACGTAAGATAGGTGTTCACGAGTGTTGGAATCAATGGTGCCCAGTTGGCATTGATAGATTGAAGCTGATGTTGCCATGTACAGCCATCATGGTGCTTGTGATAACCCCATCTGAGAATGTTTAGAATGATGTTAAGCGTGAAAAAAAGAACGAACTTACAGGTGATCAACAAAGTCGCGGATGGCATGTGTAATTGTCTCGTTGTGGTTCATATTCTCAGGAAGTGGCTCAATCTCTGTGTCTCCGTAGTCCACCCATGCTGTGTCATCATCACCATGTTCAGCTGGTTCCCCACGCATGTCGTTGAACGCATTGATAGTCTCATTTGAGAGGCCTAGGTTCTATCAGTATGTAGCAGTAGATAAAATATTGAGAGACACACCTGCAATTTCCAGTTGATAACGAGTTTGGGCAGTAGCAGCTGCCTTACTGACAGCTGCTTGTGAGAGAGTTTGCTGTTATGCTACCTTAGTCCTATCACCCACTGTAACAATCCAAACTTTCTGAGATAGGCCTTTAGTTCTGGTAGGAGCCATGGGAGTGAGGGAAAGAGAGGCAGAGAACATAATGTACTTACCTCCAGGTTTAAGTAACTGTGGGCCATTTAGCGGCGCAGTAGGTAGAGCCAATGCAGTGTGTTTGACATAAAAGATGATCTAGATCATTGTGGGAAAATTTGGTGAAGAAATAAGCAAGATACTTGAGCTCAATGTTGAGGACAGTGAGCACAAAGGTTTCGGATGTTGCCAACGATGTGTGGTTAGGGTGAGGCGCAGTCTCGCCTAGTTTGGTATGTTTGTGCTGGTTACTTGTTGGGGGTGGCAGACATTGCCAAGGGACTTGGAAGTATTTCTCGAAGTTGTAGATATCCACCATTATCGAGCTATTTATTGGCAGTGTAGGGGACTCAAGTAATCCATTCTAATTAGAATGGTGTACCCCTGGGACTTTGGCATTCTAAATAAGGTATGATTATGTGAGGTTGAGGTGGTTCATATAGCTAGAAACAAAAAATGCGAACCTATTTTGTATTTTTCCATGCATATACTGTACCTATTGATGTAGGGTGCTTCAGGGGGTCAAATAAAGATGGTAATCTCTTCATGTATGCTCCTAAACATGTTCTGAATGCCCTGGAACATTTCCCTATCAAAGGGGCAAAAATGCGAAAGTGTTTTGTACCCTACCCTATTTTGAATGGCCCCTGGAGCAGGAGCAGGCACACAAATAAACAAAAAAGCGGTCTATTATATTGTATTATGTATACATATATATACAGGGGGAGCTATTGTGGTGTGGTGGTGAAGCTGCAGTGAGGTGGGGAGGGTGTGGGAATAATTGAAATTGTGGGGTATACCATATTGGGTGATGTTTTGGGTGTTGTGGGGTAATTCCCACACTGTGTGATTGAAAAATGCGGAAATGTAATGTGTGGGAATAGTGTGGGGAGGCCTAACATGAGGAGGTGACTGTAAGGCATTACACTGCCAGTTTGGGTGAGAAGGTAATGCAGCCCACACTTAGCACCCCCCATGCATCACTCTCCACTGACACTTAGCCCATTTTAATGCAATAGAATGACAGTATAGCCTGCAGGTCCAGGACTTTTATTTTTTTATTTTCTTATTCTCTCAGATCACGCGTACTGACAACCTTTTCGCAAATACTGTAGAGATACAACACTAGGTTCGTCATGTGCAGCCTGTGACTACGTCACACTCAGTGTCACAGGTTCGAATGTCCATGCGACCTGTGACCATACCCAAATAGATTCGCCCGCGGGTGAACAGTGACCATCGGACATACTGCTTTGTGATTGCAGCAACTTGCTTCAGCTTGTCATGGATTCGCCTCGCATAGCTCTGAATGGTAATGAGTGGACTTGGAGACTCCGTGGTCTTAAAGCCTGCCAGGTGAGTCTATGATCCATTTTCAAGTGCCTGTCATTCTGACATGCTGCTTCGTGATTGCAGCAACTTGCTTCAGCTTGTCATGGATTCGCCTTGCATAGCGCTGAATGGTAGCAAGTGGACTTGGAGACTCCGGTGTAAGGCCGGGGAGAAGTTCAATCTCTCGTTTGCGAGTCTCACAAGTCGGGAGGCATTGCAATATTTACGCGATGTTCAGAAGAACGATCTAGCTGGATGGGCGAGGATTGCTACTGCTCAGTACAAGACTGACAGCATCGACCAGGCAACAGACTCCGAGTCAGAGGACGAGGCCACTAATGCTATCGGAGTTGAATCCCAGTGACGTGCCAATGGATGCACTTCTTGACCATATGGCTTCCAGGGGTGAACATGTCCGTTCTGACTTCCGTATCAATGCAGATGGTGGACTTTCGTGTGCAAACCACTCCGAAGTCTATGATGTGGGTGACATTGCTGCTGAAGATGTGGAAGGTGGCTCGAACAGTGTTCTGAAGGTTGAGTATGGGCGTGGAAAGTGTAGACGCATCGCAAATTCAATGTATGATGATTTCTGGTCCTATTAGTGCACAACCTATGTTTTTTCTTATGTTTTTTTTTTCCATATGTCACAAATTAGCTTCGTCCCGCCAAAATCCATGTGACGGTCACACCAAATAGATTCGATTCGTCAAGGGCTGTGACCTGTGACGAACCTAGTGTCGTATCTCTACAGTAGCTGTAAACAGCGACCACTCTTGACTCAACTCTGCATCGAACAAGACTGTAACGTCATCGCAGTTTCCATCGAGGACCCGTGGCATAATCAAGTATATCCAAGTAAGCGATAGAATTCATTTGCTGGATAAGAGCTGAAATTGTGCTGCGCTCATTAGGTGAAGTCCTCGAGCCAAAATCATGTCTTCAAGAGCCCCTGCGAAGCAAGGGAGATCAGCAATGAAGCCTCACCGAAAGATGCAAGGACACACCAAAACTGTCACTGGTGTCGTACGCCTGCCTGGTCAACGGCGGATCATCACCTGTTCATGGGATGGCTCACTTAGAGTGTGGGATTTGGAAAGTGGAATGCAGGTTGGGGAACCCTGGAAGGATGAAGGAAGTGGACCAGTGCTCTGCATGGCACTATCACCGGACGGCAAGACAATAGCATGCGGGACCCTGAGTCACGATGGCATCATGACAATGGGATTAATATGGTGGGATACCAAAACGGGCAAGGTTATCAAAAAATGGACGGGACACACAGATGATCCAAACTGTGTGAAGTGTATCTGCTGGAGTCCAGACGGAGGGCAAGTCGTGATCGGAGGCTGGGATAACTTCAGTTTCAGAGTATGGGATGTCAAGAGCGGCCACATCATCCTGGCACCAATCGATTCAGAGGAAGGCTGGGATCACCGCACGGATGCGATCAGCTATTCGCCCGATGGTACAATGATTGTGACGGGCACGGCCGACCTACTGAAAATCTCGCCCGAGGATCGTACATTAACGATTATGACGGGCTTGGGCGAACGACTGAAAATCTGGGACGCCAACACAGGCGAACTACTCAAAACAATCAAGGGACGCACTGCGTTCCTGGCATGGTCATTGGACGGAAAGACCCTGTTCGCCGGGTCATATGGATCAATCAGGAAATTCGACACCGCCACTTGGACAGAAACTGTGGTTGTTGACCGACAATATATTGGGGCCATCTCACTATCTCCGAATGAGCGCATCCTCGCATGTACACATTTGACCGAGAAGACAGTGCAACTATGGAACCTAGAAACTAATCAACCCATTGGACTACCCCTTCACCTCGAATACATAGTGCACTATGCGGCCTTTTCTGCAGATGGAAAGTTTCTCGCTACTGGCGGCCCAGCTAAGAATGTATACATATGGGATGTTTCTGCCATCGTCAAAGAGGCTGGCCTAGACCACCTTTTGTCGGGCAATGTAGGTTTGGATTCGTTTTATTCTCAACAATCAATGTGTCTAATCATCCTTTCAGGTCAACACTATCAAGAAGCTGTTTAAGGTGGGTGTATGCTATGCGTTTCTGGACCTTTTGCATGATTTTGAGTATCTATATTTTAGGTTGATGTTACACGACCACAGGCCCGGCAAAGACCAGCCCCGCGAATCGAAGGTACTCGTCGACCACCCCCAGGGTTCTTTGATGATGTACGTGGTCTCCATCTATATTTTAACGGTTCTCTTTACCAATATTTTATCAGCCCTCTACCTCGCGTGGGCGACGCACCACAGCACAGCCTCAGCGCACTCTTCTCAATCACTTACCTTCCTTCTGGCGCCGCTACTCCAATCCACGCGGAGACACTGAGCGCGATATCCGGTTGCGAAACATACCAGTGGTCGACGTCCCATGCGCACCGGGCAAGCCTGTACATTTTTTCCCACTCGGTTCTTCTCCGACACTGACTTGTTTTCATGCAGAGAATCTATCACACGAGAGGGCAGAGCTCTTCTCGACCACCCAATCCACAATACTTACATCGGAACGCCTCAAAGCCCACCATCATTGTCGCAGCCACAACCTACCGCAGATATGATATCCACGACTGGCATCGCGGGCGCAGCGTGTACAACTTCGCCTCCTCATCTCACCATCACAGTTACTGGATGGCGCGCTCATTTGATGTCCTGGGTTTGTTGCAAGCCTGTTCAACACACAGATGGCCAACATTAGGGAAGCAACATGTCATCTTCGGCGCTTCATTGACATTTTCTGTTTTATCTCGTCTGGTAGTTTTTCATCGCTCTCTTGCACTCCATCACTGTACTGTGTCTCTCGTGGTTCCGCTATCCCTTGAAAAATCTTGTTTATTGCCCTATGTAGACTCCTGCCGCATGCAGCAAGTTCCATTGGACATGATCACGCTGATTTCATTGTGTTACAGTGCAAAGTACATGCACTAGGACCAGCGGCGCGCCGTCTATCATTAAGTCGATTGTCAATTGTGCTAAAATGTCCCTACCTCGCAGTCGCACGAGATCGAGCGAGGAGAACTGACCAGGCTGTGTCGTCAAAATCAGCTGTTATTTATTGTGTTGTCATTCGGCTTCTCTACTTGAGCCCGGTGGTGGCTTGGAGGTCGCATTGCAGACTCTGCTCACATTCTTCTCGCAGTAGCTTCAGCACAACTTGGCCAGCCAGAAGTTGACCTTGGCCCCATCCCTGGTGGCGGGGGACTCAATTCTGCCGTGCCCTATGTCTTTCATGTTGCAGCTACTGATGCGGTATGTGACAAGTCTCTCTACTTTTGCAGAGTTTGCATGTGAGGTTTTGAAGGCATGTACAGAGGATATCCACAAGCCGTAGACATCCTCTACATAAGCGGCGCCTGTGAAATACTTCTCAATACCAGCACTGAACGAACCATATCATCAGCGCCTCTTTTATTCTCTTGTGCAGGTAGAAACATGTCTTCCGATTCTCTTTGACACGTACTTTGCTCATACCAGTTCCTAGAGGCAGATTCTGAATTCCTAGCGCTGTTCCGACGAAGCGCTAAAGACATCCCGGTGGAAATTAAAGATACTATTTCCAGATATTCAGCGACATATTGCATGGCTTCGGGACGAGGGGAGATCTGAAAGTTGAGACTGAAAGTCAATGTCCGTCGCTTTTTTCCTCACTGATTTGAAATCTCACAACATTGCCTCTGATAGGATGTGCGAAGGAAGAATGCCGACGTGCAATGATGGAATGGTCCAAGTGGTTTACGAATAGCAAGTTATAGATATCGTCACAAATGACGGTAGATCACGCTTGTCCGCATCGAAGACCTCGTGGGATCCAAACATACGTCTCTGATTCTCCTACCTTGGCTACAACACAGGAGGTGATACCATCCCTCTCCGACGTCGTTTCTTAAACAATCAGGTGAGTCGAACTTATTTCGCGTCTTGCGGTGCGTCCCGTTTTCTCTGATTATAAATCATGAAACGAATGGGCTATCTCATCCTGGGGCCTGATTACTTCTTTGGAAATGCCATACCACCCGCCTAACTACGATTGCCAAACGGGGCTTGCGAATGCGTGGAAACCAGAAATGGGCGCGTTTCCAGCCTGGCTAAACGCTCTGCAAGCGAAATATGGTACGTCCTTGTTCCAGCGCCACAAAGTCGGTTGAGATGTAGTTGTGACACAAATAGAGTGAAAAAACCAAGCACTGCACTATAAAAACACTGAACCCCGGGCCTTCACCAGGTTTCTGCTTCGGAGCACCGTTCGTCATGGAATTGCGTAATAAGGGATCTGTAGTTACTGGTAAGTGACTCAACCGCTCTCAAAGAAGGATAGCCACGCGAGGGCTATCTGAACTATCGCTCACCCATATCCCTGGAAGAAAGCCGCTTAATGGTGAGTTCTCATGCTTGATATATCATCTACTACCAAACGCCACGCCATCAGCCTCTCACCTGCTGCACATACGGCCGTGGCTGACATCACGATCTTTACTTCTAAACCTGCCTTGAAATTTCTCGTTGCCTTTCTCGTTGCCCGCCGCCTCCACCTTTGCCCATATCCTGCCCGCCAACGCCATGTCATCTACTGCAGCTCTACTTATAGCTGCCTAGTATCCTGGGTTGACATGTGACGGACTTCAAAGTTGACAGCTTGGAACTTCCCGACTAGTTGTCCCACAGACTTCACACAGACCGGCCATATCTTACATGTCCTTGAGACTCGAGAGTCAGACAGAGATTCGCAAAGTTCCTGTAGGCTGTGATGGGAAATATAAACCCACCAAATTCCATGGTACTCGTGTTTGACACTTGACCCACACCTCCTGACGGCGCAGTAGCCATCCAACTCACGAGAAACAATGTCATCAGTATTCGAAATTCCTATGTACGCGCGAGTTTTCATTGCTGTTCTCTTGTTGCTGAATCTGTGCCTCAGTTGCGTCCCTGATCTCACTGATCAGATAGTTAAAGACAACCCCACCCCGGTTGCAGCGGGAGATTATGCGGATATTTACAAGTGCAGCTGGAATTCGCCTTCTGAATCTTCTCCAGTATGTCCCCGCTAGCTGGCAATCAACCCTAGCTGATAATTCTAAACATCACCAGGTGGCAGTCCAGGTCGTTAGAGTTCGGCATGACTCTGAGTTTCTCCCTAAAAAAGGCGACGAGTTGAGACAAGAAATCAAAGTCTGGGGACGACTTCAGAACGAACACATTTTGCCTCTGCTTGGGATCGTCCACGGAGATGACCCTTTACCTGGCCTTGTGTCACCTTGGATCAACAATGGAAGCTTAATCGAGTTATTGAAAAGCCATCACGAGACCTTGACACGCCATGAACGTTTTCGCCTGGTGGGTTATTTTGGTTATGATTTCGCCCCATCTAAACACGAATTTGTTCAGCTACAAGATATTGCCTCAGCACTGCAGTATTGTACGTCTTCTCCCATACGATTGTGGGCATTCTTAAGCGGATTGTTTCACTAGTGCACGCTATTGCAGTGGTTCACGGAAATCTAAGTGGTGTAAGTCTTGCTAAAATTTAGACAAGCGAGCACTGATCTCCAACTCGAATATGCCGATGTCAGCATAACATTTTGGTTGACTCAAGTTTACGTGCCTTTGTCAAGGGTAGCGGCCTTTCCACAATGCTCGATGAGATCGCAGAATCAGAATCTTACGAGGCCCGTCAGGGTGATGTTCCCTGGAGAGCTCCCGAGTTGATGAAGGGTAATTCGAGCGGCCTTCCCACGTCCCAAAGCGATGTGTGGTCTTTCGGTTGCAACATGATCCATGTACCAATCCTTATCCATCAACACTGGCACCACGATGTCTAACAACTTTCTTAGGTACTTTCTGGACAGGAACCCCCGGAAATTCCAGCTGCCACTGCAGCAGCCCATCCGTATCAAAGTCGTGTCCCACCATTCCCACAAAACGTCAGCAAGGAAGATTTATCTTTCCTCCAGCAATGCTTCTCTATTCGGCCAGCAGATCGCCCTTCCGCAGATCAAATCCTAGCCTTTGTGCGCGAAGAATGCTTGCGTTGTATGCCCGAGGTGCCACAGACCGCGGAAGCTACGGAGGTCAGTTCGCTTACAAAATCCAACTTTATATTCAAGCTGATTTTGATATCAGCATAGTTCTCCCAATGGCATTCCTGATGTCATGGCTGAGTTCAAACGACGTGTTTTTGATCAGGTTCCATCACATTTGATCTATATCCCAAAAATGAAATTGGTCTCGCGGGAAGAACTCATTACAATACTCCAACCAGAGAAGATCACCGAGGAGGACATACGTAGATGCGGGGGATGGTCGAGGAAGTCTGCTATAGAGTCGAGGTTGGTCCCCAAGATGCTCAAATACGCCATTCTATCACACCGATGGGGAAAATCGGAGCCAACATTCCAAGACCTGAAGTCGGGGAGACACAAACTTGAAGGAGCGGGTTACGAGAAGTTGCAAGAGTTTTGCACGAAAGCAAAGGATCATGGTTGCCGTCTCGCATGGTCTGATACATGCTGCATTAACAAAGAAAGCAGCTCAGAGCTCGACGAAGCCATCCGGTCGATGTACAGATGGTATCATGATGCTTATATATGCATCGTGCATCTGGCTCAATCGCAATCGTTGGAGACGCTAGGAATCGACGAGTGGTTCCTTCGTGGTTGGACGTTGCAGGAGCTCCTTGCCCCCCTCAGGATGAAGTTTTACGGTCCTATGTGGACACCCCTAACGCAGAACGCAAACGACAAGAATGACGCGGCGGTTGTTTCTGCTCTTTCCCGGGTTACCAAAATACCTCCGAATGACCTGTGCAACTTTCGCCCCGGGCCAAATCGTGCCTGGGAGAAGATGACCTGGGCCGCGAGCAGGAAGACAACTCGCCTTGAAGATATTGCCTACTCCCTAACTGGTATCTTCGACATTAGCATGACGATCGCATATGGAGAGGGAGATCGAGCGTTCAAAAGATTTATGGCAGAACTTATTCAGAACTGCAAGGAATGGCAAATTCTTGTATGGGCCGGCGGGCTTCCCGGTTGTCCAACAGAGCCCGGGTGTTATGATACGAAAAACGAGGTGGCACTGGATATGCTCAAGAATCGCCAGATCTCGTGGTGGGGAGAGGGTCGTGGTGATTCCGACTTCTCAATTACGAAGCGTGGCGTGCAGGTCAGACTGCTCATGCTTCCTGCCTCTGTTGACCAGAGCCAATGCCAGTCAACGTTCCTTTCCCGACCCACAGGTCGCCGCTGGGCATCACCGCTCAAGAAGCTGGTCGTGCAATATCACCTCTTTCCACCTGCATCTACGATAGAGTGGTCGATCGGGATCGTTAACTACCATGATCATGACCACGCTGACAAAGGGATATTAAAACAAGGAGAAAGCTACATGTGTTTCCTCTTGAAGAGGTTTCGCCGTCCTGGCATGGACACCGTGCGCAATCACTGGAAGAGGGAGGTCACCAAGGAGATTTTGACTGTTTCTTGCGCAAACGACTTCGAAAAGACGCTAGAGTGCGTTTGGCTATAGGTGATGGAATAATGGTCATGGACTTGAGCGGGAGGGATGACGAACTTAGTTTGTTATACGTATTCACCTCTCCTATTCTAAGAGTAACGCAGCGGTGCATTGCAGATAGAACGAAGTCACTACTACCCGAGCTGTATTGGATCGAGCTGTTAATGGTGCAAGCATCTATAAAAATTCCTGATCCGGGACTTCACTTCTTCAAGACAACTTGATATTTGCGGGACGAAGCTCGTTGTCAAAGCAGATTCGCGTACAAGATACGGACACATGAAAAGATTTGGTAAAGTGTCAGTTCATCACACACAACAAAGGCAAGAAGCTCACTCTTGCTGAACTCTCTCCTTCTGCTTTTGCATAAACCGCTGTAACGATGGGACAACCAACTTTACCACCAGTATTTCTCTCTTCTGGATCCTCTTCTAATACCTTTGTCGTTCTCCAACCTCTTCATAAAAGCGCGTCAACGTCTCCCTCGCTGCCGCTCGTCTTATCTTGTACATAGTCGGCAAGCGCCTGCATGAGGGGTGAGAAGTTAGCATCGAAGTAACCTGCCTTTGCGGTGCGCCATGACGAGGTAAGAAAATTCATTGTGCTTAGACAGTAAGGAAGGCGCGTTGGGGTTCGTGGTGCGCGAGACGAGGTGAGCTACAAGGTATGAGACAATTGTTGAGGAGGAACACAGAACCGAAAGGAGGTCGGTGTTGTGTGCGTGACTGGGTTGGGAGGCTGCTGATCAGAGTGTCGACGTCGACTGCAGATCAAATGAATTGTGTTCGGGAAAGGGAGAGAAAACGCAACCCACAGACAAAGTGCTGAATCAGCACTTCTCGTTTACCTCTACAGAGCTGGACTTGGGAGTTTTCCCTACTTGCTTCCTGTCACCCATTTTCCAGTTCCCGTCCCCGAGCGCAGACAATGCAGACCCGACGGTATCCTGGTCATCAGGTATGCGATTCGGATATCGCACTGTCTATATTTGTTAAGTGGGTGAAAGAAGAGCGAAAGACTGTCGTAACATACCGAAACAGCAATGTCCGCTAAGCTAACACTCAGGTCGCCACCCTTGCCAACAGCAGCAAGTTTCCAACCAGCCAAGAAATCGGGGAAGCTTCTGAGGCGTACGCCATGGATCGCATTAAACCCGTCTCACAGCTCGTTCCCCTTCCTCTTGCCAACACAGATTTCCAGCGACTCTGAGACATCGACAGAGCCGAAAATCCAGAAAGCGCATGTAGCGTGTATTTGTGCAGGGAGCGCTTGATGAGGGATGGCAGAGATGACAGGATATGCAAAAAGAGGGTGAGGAGAGGAGTAAGAAGAGTAGCATAAGTCGATGCGATGAGGGAGTTACTGAATAGCGGGTGACTTCTGTGAGGAGGGTATATTTGGTCTGTTTATCTGTGCTCTCTCGAGAACAACACACTTACGAGTTCGCATAGGAGATCGGCTGTGAGTATTACTGTGCGCTGCATGTTCTCATCTTCGTCTGCGAGGGAAGCCCTAAAGGGGGACTAAAGATGAGTTAGTATCGCCACAATTGGAAAAGAGGGGACAAAACTCACATTAAATGACACTGCCTGCCCCTTCGATGACGTACCTCGACAATCGCATGGAGCACGACGAGTCTTTTGCTCAGCTCCGCACATAATTCCCGAGAAAGTGAAAAAGATGGTGCCAGAGGGGGGTGTGAATAACGAGGGACGTACGAGCAGCGTCCGACTGCGTGCTTTCCTCCTCCTATTTGAGTTCCACGGTGATGTGCACTGAGAATATTCGCGGGAGAGTGGGTTGACGTCGCGGGCTTGTAATGGAGTTCCAATGGGGAAGCGTGTCGTTGACTGGCTTTGCGCCTTCCGTATTTCCATCTTGTTAATCCAAGGACTGCCTCCTTGGTATGAAGAGCAGCCCCGAATTGTGTCCAGTGCACCGGCATGAAGGAGGACGCGCAACCTAATAACGCGAACGAAGGCAACAACTCGGGAGTGGTGGATTTCCCCAGCTTGTCCTTCACGCAAAACCCATTTTCCATGACCCTGTCCACGCACTACATTCAAGAAAAGTCAACGTCTGCATGAGTTGTTGGATGTGCCAGAAGCCCTGGGAGCGCGCAGAGTAGGATCGCTGGAGGAAGTCATCCCTAAGGACGCGTATGTCACACGTTTCATGACTTGTGACATGTCGCGCCTGTGACTTGTTCGATCACCTTCGGATCTACCTTGATCAATGAGCTCGATCAAGCTCAGCCTAGCTCAGCACTGCTGTTTTTACTAGAGAACATGTGCCAACCTATTGGTGGCGTCGCAACAGCGTTCAGCGCTACTCTTGGTCCCCTCCAGAAACAAGTAGCTCAAAAGCCACTCCACTTCTACTGGAAACTCGTCTCTCCCAACTCCCAAGTACGACGAAAACGGGAAACTCAAGCACAAAATGTGTATGTCTTTCCATTCATTCTTCTGCTGACGCGCATGTACTCACCTTCCCCAGAAACACCATCTGAAACAACCTGATAAGACTGATCCCCCAATTCCGGACATACCATTCTTGATATTCCTCCAGCAACAACCGAACGAATACATCCACGATGCTACCCTCCGCTTCCTCTAGAGACGCAAAACTCTTCGAACCAGTCATCCACACCTCCCGCAGCTTCCTCCAGCACTATCATTCCTACATCCGCAAGAACGCTGTATTCGCCATGTACACTATCTACCGCGAATACGAACACCTCATCCCAGACGCCCCTGAGCTCCTGCAGAATCAGATGTGACGTGCAAACGTAGCACATTTGTATTCCTTGCGCAATGTGCGATGCTCAAGGTTGTGGAGTGGTTGATGATCAGTTGACGAGTCTGGATGAGGCGTTGCAGATGAGCATCATAGAGGCTATCAGGTTAGATTGTAAGAATGATGTGACACGTTGGGTGAGTTCCCTTCGCTTGTTGCCTTGCTATCGGACGTCGAGGAAGTCATACTCTTCTTCAAGAAGCAGCTGCGAGAGACACAAGAGCGGGAATTCGAAAGGGTCGGTCTCGTAGTCCCACATATTATCGCAGCTAATCCTATGACAGGCCCCAGAGTACAGCCAACTCCTGATCCAATCTATCCACGTCATAGCAGTCGAGTTTTGTGATGTAGCTGCAACTGTGATCCATGCATTCATGGCATTCCTTGGAGACTCGAAGAATTAACATTGGACACCATCGCTTTCATCCGGTTCGTTCTTCCCTTCCTAGTCCCCGCATCTTATTGGACTAACCGTCACCCACAGCGAAGTACCCACACCTCCGACCGTCTATATGCGACAAACTCACATAGATCAGAATTATCAGATCCGGCAAAGCCGTCCGCGGCATCCCCTGGATCCTGGGCACATGCCAAAGGCCTGTCACACATCGAAACTACATTCCAGGAGATCTGGAAACTGCTTGGATAAATTGCGATTCTTGCAAGCGAGCAACGAGGCTGGCGGAGAGGAGGATAAAGTGGAGGATAAGAAGGTTGAGGGGAGTGGGCGACCGAAGGTGCTTGCTGACAGAACAAATGCGACGGAGATGGCCTGCACGAGTGCTGGGTCAGCGAGATTGGAAGCCATCAATGCCGTGTCTAAGCCGTCGTTGAGAGGTGTGTTGTGTGTGTGTTCATCGTGTTTGAAGTCCTTGATGATGTAATTTCAGCACTCATTGGGAGGCGACTTCTTCACGGGTGCGGTGCTCGCTTCGACGTTGATGAAGCTTGTGCTGCGGTTTTGTTGAGGTCTCTAGCATTGACTAATGCACACCCAGTCTACGTTGATTGCGACCTCCATTATCCGAGTCGGCCAGTCAACAGAAAAAGACAGCAGAGTCGAGTCAGAAAGCACACAGGAACATGTCGTACAAGTGGATGACTTGCTTACTTTCAGGCAATTCTCGAATACATCGGCGGATGATCCCATTGATGTAAGTTTGTGAAATTTTGGTTAGTTGGTTCTGCGTCACTCCATATTTTTTCTCAGTACGTTGAGGACTTGGGCAAGGCGACGGGAACTGCTGAAGTCAGGCAAGACCTCAGTAGTACATTCCAGCTCACAGGTAGGTCTTGGCCATGTATCTCGTGCACTGGGTCTCAAGGTACATAGCCAAATTAGCAGATCTCTGTGATATGACTGACGCGCTTCATAGTCCAAGATACTCATCATCGACATGGTAACTGTCCCGAACGTAGACGCGACTGCTACAACAAGTGTTGAATCGTTCTTAATAGATTCACGCCAAATGCCGCGACTACAGTATTCCATCGCACTTTGAGTGAGTATCTAAATTAGTGACTTAGTCAATGCATATGCTGAGCATCATGAACGGTTGCGAGACGTCTTTGGTACGTACAGAACAAAGTTTGCCTGTGTGTGCGGGGTCCACATCACAAACATTTACTCCCTGCGAGATCACTCTATCATTATTGAATGTGTACTTGACACGGTCATGAAAGAGAAGAGAAGGTTGTGTGGTATTGTAACAACTCCAGGGCATGTATTTCAAGCCCGCCGAAGTCTAGATATGTTTTCGTTCGAGGAATGTTTCAGTTTCGATATCAGAACCTGATTTTGCATTGCTATGGTGCTCAACTGTTAGGGACGAGGCTAGGCAGTGTAATTCTTATCGTCGATGGGCACTATAATAAGTGTTCAAACAGAAGCCCTTGTGTAATGATATCACGTTCTGACGCGGTTCGCATGTACTCTTTGCCCTGCCACTGCGCTAGCAAAAATGCCTGGAAAGGGTGTGCGAGACGAAAGACCAGTTGTAACGCTCTCGAGTAAGACTCTGAGTCTGGATGAACACTCTGACTCTGAGCTCATGGTGCTGCGCGAGGATCTGAGAAGCGCATCCCTGCTTGATGGTTGGATCGTCAAGGTACGAATGCCAATGATCGGCTTTCAACCGAGGGATTATCATACGGGAACGGCTTTCCGAGATATCCTTCGTAAGATGCACGGTGATGCCACGGCTGATGACGCGATGGACGTGATATGTATCGCTGGTGATGGAGGGAGGGACCAGTGGGGAATGCGGGCTCGTTTAATGGCAGGACTACCAGATATAATGCTGAAATCTCAATGCCGAAATTCCCGAAAACGAGGCTTGGGCGCTTGATCTGCACAGCCCGCTCATGCTGTAAAGCAAACACAAGGATAAAGACGCACCTGTAGAGGACTTCAACAGTAACCACTCTCTTGACTTAACCCTGCGTTGAACAATACTTTAACGCCACTGCAGTTTCTATCGAGGAGCCGTGGCATAATCAAGTACCTCCGAGTAAGTGATAGGATTCGTTCGCTGGATAAGAGCTGAAATCGTGCTGCACTCATTAGGTGAAGTCCTCGAGCCAAAATCATGCCTTCAATAATAGCCCCTGCGAAGCAAGGGATATCAGCGATGAAGCCTCGCCGAAAGATGCAAGGACACACCAGGACTGTCACTGACGTCGTACGCCTGCCCGATCAACGGCGGATCATTACAAGCTCATGGGATGGCTCACTTAGAGTGTGGAATTTGGAAAGTGGAATGCAGGTCGGGGAACCCTGGAAGGATGAAGGAAGTGGAGGAGTGCTCCGCATGGCACTATCACCAGACGGCAAGACAATAGCATGCGGGACCTGGAGTTACGATGGCCGAGTCATGACAATGGGATTAATATGGTGGGATACCAAAACGGGCAAGGTTATCAAAAAATGGACGGGGCACACAGATACTCCAAACTGTGTGAAGTGTATGTGCTGGAGTCCAGACGGAGGGCGAGTCGTGATCGGAGGATACGATAAATTGAGTTTCAGAGTATGGGATGTCGAGAGCGGCAAGATCATCCTGGCACCGATCGATTCAGAGGAAGGCCGGGATCACTACACGGGCGCGATTAGCCACTCGCCCGATGGTACAATGATTGCGACGGGCACGGCCGAACGACTGAAAATCTGGGACGCCAACACAGGCAAACTACTTAAAACAATCCACAAAGAATTCACTGTGTCACTGACATGGTCATCAGATGGAAAGACCCTTTTCGCCGGGTTATACCGTTCAGGATCCATTAGGAAATTCGACACCGCCACTTGGACAGAAACCGCTGTTTTTGACACACATTATGGTTGGGAGGCCATTTTACTATCTCCAAATGAGCGCATCCTCGCAAGCGCATCAAGTTCGACCAAGACAGTGCAACTATGGAACCTAGAAACTAATCAACCCATCGGACTACCCCTTCAACTTGAATATGCAGCAGACCGTGTGGCCTTTTCTGCAGATGGAAAGTTCCTCGCTACCATTGGCGGCCAGAGCCATGACATATACATATGGGATGTTTCTGCCATCGTCAAAGAGGCTGGCCTAGACCACCTTTTGTCGGACAATGTAAGCTTGGGTTTGTTTCATTCTCAATAATGAATCTGTCTAATCATCCTTTCAGGTCAACACTATCAAGAAGCCGTTTAACGTGGATGTATGCTATGCATTTCTTGACCATTTGCATGATTTTGAGTATCTACATCCTAGGGTGATGCTACACGACCACGGGCTCCGCAAAGACCAGTTCCGCGAATAGAAGGTGCTCGTCGACTACCCCCAGGGTTCTTTGATGATGTACGTGGTCTCCATCTATATTTTAATGGTTCTCTTTACCAATATTTTATCAGCTCTCTACCTCGCGTGGGCGACGCACCATAGCACAGCCTCAACGCACTCTTCTCAATCACTTACCTTCCTTCTGGCACCGCCGCTCCAATCCACGCGGAGACACTGAGCGCGATATCCGGTTGCGAAACTTACCAGTGGTTGACGTCCCATGCGTACCGGGCAAGCCTGTACATTTTTACCCACTCGGTTCTTCTCCAACACTGACTTGTTTTCATGCAGAGAATCTATCACACGAGAGGGAAGAGCTCTTCTCGACCACCCAATCCACAATACATCGGAACGCCTCAAAGCCCACCATCATTGTCGCAGCCACAACCTACTGCAGATATGACATCCACGACTGGCACCGCGGGTGCAGCGTGTACAACTTTGCCTCCTCATCTCACCATCACAGTTACTGGATGGCGCGCTCATTTGATGTCCTGGGTTTGTTGCAAGCCTGTTCAACACACAGATGGCCAACATTAGGGAAGCAACATGTTATCTTTAGCACTTCATTGACATTTTCTGTTTATCTCGTCTGGTAGTTTTCCATCACTCTCTTGCACTCCATCACTGTACTGTGTCTCTCGTGGTTCCGCTATCCCTTGAAAAATCTTGTTTATTGCCCTATGTAGACTCCTGCCGCATGCAGCAAGTTCCATTGGACATGATTACCCTGATTTCATTGTGTTACAGTGCAAAGTACATGCACTAGGACCAGCGGCGCGCCATCTATCACCAAGTTGATTGTCAATTGTGCTAAAATGTCCCTACCTCGCAGTCGCACGAGATCGAGCGATGAGAACTGACCGGGCTGTATCCTCAAAATCAGCTGTTATTTATTGTGTTGTCATTCGGCTTCTCTACTTGAGCTCGGTGGTGGCTTGGAGGTCCCATTGCAGACTCTGCTCACATTCTTCTCGCAGTAGCTTCAGCACAACTTGGCCAGCTAGAAGTTGACCTTGGCCCCATCCCTGGTGGTGGAGGACTCAATTCTGCCATGCCCTATGTCTTTCATGTTGCAGCTACTGATGTGGTATGTGACAAGTCTCTCTACTTTGGCAGAGTTTGCATGTGAGGTTTTGAAGGCATGTACAGAGGATATCCACAAGCCGTAGACATCCTCTACATAAGCGGCGCCTGTGAAATACTTCTCAATACCAGCACTGAACGAACCATATCATCAGCGCCTCTTTATTCTCTTGTGCAGGTAGAAACATGTCTTCCGATTCTCTTTGACACGTGCTTTGCTCATACCAGTCCCTAGAGGCAGATTCTGAATTCCTAGCGCTGTTCCGACGAAGTGTTAAAGACATCCCGGTAGAAATTAAAGATACTATTTCCAGATATTCAGCGACATATTGCATGGCTTCGGGATGAGGGGAGATCTGAAAGTTGAGACTGGAAGTCAATGTCCGTCGCTTTTTTCCTCACTGATTTGAAATCTCACAACCTTGCCGCTGACAGGATGTGCGAAGGAAGAATTCCGACATGCAATGATGGAATGGTCCAAGTGGTTTACGAATAGCAAGTTATAGATATCATCACAAATGATGGTAGATCACGCTTGTCCGCATCGAAGACCTCGTGGGATCCAAACATACATCTCTGATTCTCCTACCTTGGCTACAACACAGGAGGTGATACCATCCCTCTCCGACGTCTTTTCTTGAATAATCAGGTGAGTCGAACTTATTTCGCGTCTTGCAGTGCGTCCCGTTTTGTCTGATTATAAATCATGAAACGGATGGGCTATCTCGTCCTGGGGACTGATTACTTCTTTGGAAATGCCATACCACCTGCCTGACTACGATCGCCAGACGTGGCTTGCGAATGCGCGGAAACCAGAAATGGGCGCGTTTCCAGCCTGGCTAAACGCTCTGCGAGCGAAATATGGTACGTCCTTGTTCCAGCGTCACAAAGTCGGTTGAGATGTAGTTGTGACATAAATAAAGTGAAAAAACCAAGCACCGAACTTCTAATCGATACGTAGAGACTATTAACTCACATCTCAGTCTCTTGAAAGAAGCTGAGATGCGGTCGTGCTACTGCTGGCGTTCTTATACTAAACTGGATAGAAACGAAATATATCAAACAAATAGGTAAGTTATTGCAGGACACGAGCCGACGTCAACACGTCGCTCGTCAATGTCCTTTTTGGCTTGGGCTCGGACCACCTGTCACTCTCCCTCCTCAACCATTTCGGATCTGTCGGTCTTCTTCGTCTCTGATCGCTCTGATCGTTCAGATTCCAACATTCCCCTCCCTCTTGCTAACACATATTCCCAACGACTCTGAGACATCAACAGAGCCGAAAACCCAGAAAGCGCATGGAACGTGTATTTGTGCAGGGAGCGCTTGATGAGGGATGGAAGAGATGATAGGGTATACGTGAAGAGGGTGAGGAGAGGAGTAAGAATGGTAGCATAAGTCGATGCGATGAGGGAGTTACTGGATAGCGGGGAGACTTCTGCGACGAGGGTATATTTGGTCTGTTTATCCGTGCTCTTTCGAGAACAACACACTTACGAGTTCGTATAGGAGATCGGCTGTGACACCTACTGTGCGCTGCATGTTCTCGTTCCTGTCTGCGAGGGAAGCCCAGAGGGGGACTAAAGATGAGTTAGTATCGGCGCAAAGGTTTTGAACAGCACAATTGGAAAAGGGGGGACAAGACCCACATTCAATGTCATCACCTGTCCCGTCGATGGCGTACCTGGACAATATCTTCGAACGCCTCGACAATCGCATGGAGCACAACGAGTCTTTTGCTCAGGTACGCACATAATTCCCGAGAAAGTGAAAAAGATAGTGCGGGAGAGGGGGTGTGAATAACGAGGGACGTATAAGCAGCGTCCAACTGCGTGCTTTCCTCCTCCTATTTGAGTTCCATAGTGATGTGCACTTGAGAATATTCGCGGGAGAATGGGTTGACGTCGCGAGCTGTAATGGAGTTCCAATGGGGAAGCGTGTCGTCGACCGGCTTTACGTCTTACGTATTTCTACCCTGTTAAGCCAAGTACTGCCTCCTTAGTATGAAGAGCAGCTCTAAATTGTGTCCATGCACCGGCATGAAGGAGGACGCACAACCTAATAACGCGAACAAAGGCAACAATTCGGGAGTGGTGGGTTTCCCCAGCTTGTCCTCCGCGTAAAACACACTTTCCAGGAAAGAGTCAGAAAGCACACAGGAGCATGTCGTACAAGTGGATGACTTGCTTACTTTCAGACAATTCTCGAACACATCGGCGGATGATCCTATTGATGTAAGCTTGTGAAATTTTGGTTGGTTGGTTCTGCGTCACTCCATATTTTTTCTCAGTACGTCGAGGACTTGGGCAAGGCGACGGGGCCGCTGAAGTCAGGCAAGACCTCAGTAGTATATTCCAGCTCACAGGTAGGTCTTGGCTATGTATCTCGTGCACTGGGTTCCATATAGCCAAATTACCAGATCTCTGTGATATGACTGACGCTTTCATAGTCCAAGATATTCATCATCGACATGGTGACTGTCCAGAACGTGGATGCGACTGCTGCAACTAGCATCGAATCGTTCTTGATGGGTCGACGCCAAACACCGCGACTACAGTATTCCATCGCACTTTGAGTGAACATCTAAATTAGTGACTTACTCAATGCACATGCTGAGCATCATGAACGGTTGCGAGACATCTTTGGGACATACATAACAAAGTTTGCTTGTGCGTGTGGGCTCCACATCACGAACACTTACTCCCTCCGAGATCACTCTGCCATTATTGGACGTGTACTTGACACGGCCACGAAAGAGAAGAGAAAGTTGTGTGTGGTATTGTAACAACTCCAGGGCATGTATTTCAAGCCCGCCGAAGTCTAGATATGTTTTCGTTCGAGGAATGCTTTAGTTTTGATATCAGAACCTGATTTTGCATTACTATGGTGCTCAACTATTAAGGACGAGGCTAGGCAGTGTAATTCTTATCGTCGATGGGCATCATAATAATGAATGTTTAAACAGAAGCCCTTGTGTAATGATATCACGTTTTGGCGCGATTCGCGTGTAGTCTTTGCCCTACCGCTGCGCTAGAAAAAATGCCTCGAAAGGCTGTGCGAGACGAAAGACCACTTGTAATGCTCTCGAGTAAGACTCCGAGTCTGGGTGAACACTCTGATTCTGAGTTCACGGTGCTGCGCGAGGATCTGAGAAGCGCATTCCTGCTTGATGGTTGGATCGTCAAGGTACGAATGCCAATGATCGGCTTTCAACCGAGGGATTATCATATGGAAACGGCTTGCCGAGGTACCCTTCGTAAGATGCACGGTGATGCCACGGCTGATGACGCGATGGACGTGATATGTATCGCTGGTGATGGAGGGAGGGACCAGTGAGAAATGCGGGCTCGTTTAATGGCAGGACTACCAGATATAATGCTGAAATCTCAATGCCGAAACTCCCGAAAACGAGGCTTAGGCGCTTGATCTGCACAGCCCGCTCATGCTGTGAAGCAAACACGGAGATAAAGCAAGGAAGACGCACCTGTGGAGGACTTAAACAGCGACCACTCTCTCGACTCAACTCTGCGTCGAACAAGACTTTAACGACATTGCAGTTTCCATCGAGGACCCGTGCATAATCAAGTACCTTCGAGTAAGTGATAGGATTCGTTTGCTGGATAAGAGCTGAAATTGTGCTGTGCTCATTAGGTGAAGTCCTCGAGCCAAAACCATGTCTTTAACCGCCCCTGCAAAGCAAGAGAGATCATTGGCGAAGCCTCACAAAACGATGCAAGGACACACCGACAATGTCAGTGGCGTCGTACGCCTGCCCGATCAACGGCGGATCGTCACCTGTTCATGGGATGGCTCACTTAGAGTGTGGGATTTGGAAAGTGGAATGCAGGTCGGGGAACCCTGGAAGGATGAAGGAAGTGGAAGAGTGCTCCTCATGGCACTATCACCAGACGGCAAGACAATAGCATGCGGGACCCAGAGAGACGATGGCCGAGTCATGACAATGGGATTAATATGGTGGGATACCAAAATGGGGAAGGTTATCAAAAAATGGACGGGGCACACAGATAATCCAAACTGTGTGAGGTGTATCTGCTGGAGTCCAGACGGAGGGCGAGTCGTGATCGGAGGCTCGGATAACTTGAGTTTCAGAGTATGGGATGTCAAGAGCGGCAAGATCATCCTGGCACCAATCGATTCAGAGGAAGGCCGGAATCACGACACGGACGCGATTAGCTACTCGCCCGATGGTACAACGATTGCGACGGGCGTGGTCGACCATCTGGAAATCTCGCCCGATGGTACAATTATTGCGACAGGCCCGGCCGAACGACTGAACATCTGGGACCCCAACACAGGCAAACTACTCAAAACAATCGAGGGACACACTATGTCCCTGGCATATTCATCGGATGGAAAGACCACCTGGGTGGCACCATTAATATTACTAATTAGTAATAGTACTGCGTACCTGTACGTGTTACTAATTCGTAAGGAATATATATCTACCATGCTACCAGCAATAATACCAGCACTCAGGCCTCACTTAGGTGATTTCTACTGCCCTAGTCGCCTGCTATAACGGGAAGACTCTATCGGGTAAGTCCGAGCTTCTCGTCACTGCCCGGCAAATGCCTTACTGCCTAAAATAGCCTTTGATGCTGTCAATTCCCACTGCTACGCTTATTGTAAGCTTCTGCTCATCGTCTACCATGATGAGCTCATTCCTTTCCTTCTCCTACCCTTATTTTTCATCCGTTTTTAGGTGAAGCTCACGCAGTGCATAGCCACTGGCCTGCTGAACGTTCTCACCATGCCTCTCACGCTTTTGGACCCACGGTCATCGTGCTGCTCAGCCCCAACAGTGAGCTCACTTGCCAGCCTCTCCAGCCCTTGTTTGCTGTCCGATCTTTGGCGGGCCTTTTGTATCATGCGGGCAATAGCCTTTTGAGTACATCCACTGTCTCTGCCACGTTGTTGGACCCATCATTGACGTGCTGCTCAGCCCCAACAGTGAGCTGCTTCCCTACCCTCTGCTGCCCTCGTTTATCATCCGTTTCACCGCGTTGTTGGACCCATCATTGATGCACTGCTCAGCCCCAACAGTGAGCTGCTTCCCTACCCTCTGCCGCTCTCGTTTCTCATCCGTTTCACCATGTTGTTGGACCTGTCATTGATGTGCTGCTCAGCCCCAACAGTGAGCTCCTTCTCTACCCTCTGCCGCCCTCGTTTCTAATCTGTTTTTGACGTGTCTTTTGCATTCGAGTAGTATATATGTAAAGCAATACAACACAAGTGCTATTTACTCAGCCCCACCTAATATGCCGCTTGAACCCCCCTACTCCATATCAACTGAACCTTCAAGACTGTTCGTGTTGCTTCCATCCTGTTCGTTGTGGTTGTCTTCCTCGCCGTCTTCGAGGTTGCTGTCACTGATTATTTGAGCGCTCTTAGCGCTGTCAGCTTTATGTCGTCGTGCGGCTTTACGGGGTTTGTAAACTTGTTCGCCACTCGCTTGGTGCTTGCAGTTGTTGCTGATGCGTTCTGATACCTCGTCATCATTCAATGTAACCCAGGAGCATGTGCCTGTGACCAGCGCATCTAGCAATTTGATTAGGTGTTCTCGGCGACCAATTTTCCCAGGGTTGCAGACACTCTTCTCGTAAGTCCACCCGTCGATTGCAATTGCGTAGACTTCGACAATCCTCTTCTCATAGTTGTTGTAATTCATTGGGATCTTCTTTGAAGCCAACTTGTTCTTCTGCAAAATATTGTCTGCACAACATGTCAGCCCATATTGCAGTACAACACCTCAGTAAGATCACACCTAAGCCATCTTGAATATTTTGTCTGCACAAACTGACGAGTTTCGACAATGGAAGCCGCTGTGTCGTGGACATCGACGACTCTGTGCCTGTAATGCACACCTCATCAGCACGTGACCTCTGAAACATCTGAAATTGTTCCCGCACCGAAATTCCCAACAACCCACGACTCAAACTTGAGTGCCAGAAGTTTCGGTTCAAAATGCAGCACATCCTTAATGAAGGACTTAGCCTTGGCGGTAAGGAATAGTTTAGCTTCATGGTAATGCTCTAAATCCCCTCGAACAGCAATATAAAAACCTTCCATTGAGGTACGCGCATTGATGGCAGTCCACTATGTGACAATGAGCTAAGGGATTCCATGGTAAGTGGTTGACAGACCTCTTTTTCCATGGTGTTAAAGGTCGAGTTGACATCTTTCAGAAGAGCTTTTGGATTTGATCGCACAATGTTTACCCGCATTGTGCACAGGTCATCAATACCAAGCCGTAATTTTTTTTTCTCCGGTTCTGACAAACGTCTGTAAGTCCGTTGAAGTTCAGTGTGATGTGCAGAAATGAACGCCGGGAGCCTATAATGTTGCCCAGGTCCACAAGCTACAAAATTTAAGTATTCGATGAATACTTTGTGAACTGCAGTACGTACTCTCATTGGCTTCATTGAGCTTCCCCCTCACAAAAGCATTCCAGGCGCTTGCTTTTCGACGTTGTCGAGTCAATCGGCTGCCATTCAATTCAGCACGGGTCCATTTTAAAGACCTGTCAATGGAGGTGGGTACATCAGATCACCTTCGTCTCATTAAATATATAGACTTACCTCCCGTGGTCTTGAGCTATAGAACGTGCTTCCTCCTGGTATGAATCCCGTGCTGTGTTTATGGCATCCGTAAGCTTTGTATATTTTTGACGACATTCTGCTTTCTGCTCAGTGGTGAGCTTTGCGCGCGCACATTTCTGAGCGGAGAGCATGGGGATAGAAAAAAACGCTAACGGGGGGACTGGGGACCAATATTTAAGCAATTAAATATTTTAGCTGAAGTGGTGGTTTTCTGACGAGGACTACTTACCACACGGCGATCACACTCAGGCTAGAACGTTAACTTTAAAAAAAAATGTTCATGTTAATTTGTTGAAATGCAATGATTTCAGCTCATTCTACTGAGTCCCACTGCCCTTGGAGTTCCTGATAAAATGTGCTAGGGTCATAATCTACATCAATCTACTGAGTCCCACTGCCCTCGGAGTTTCTGATGCTAGACTCGTATGCAGGAGGTGGACTATTGGTTAGACTTGAAGGGTGTGGAATTATTATGACATGGGTATGAGGTTGGTCACAAGCCCGACAACTCAGGGTCACTGGAGGCTGAGCATTAGACCCATGAGGCGCTAGCAACAGTCTGTCTTCGGCTTCCTGCAAACATGCTATATAAGTTTGTGTGTCCAATCATCATTATTGTAAGGTCCAAACAAGATTCCTCACCTTGGGTGACAACGACGAATCAGTGTCAGTGTCAGACTCTACCAGAACTATTGGAGACCTCGTTGTTACTGATGGTAGTGGTGTTGGCCGAATATGCAAAGGAGGGGGCACCATCGGAATGTTAGGTGTTGATGTAGACACCTCTGAGTCAGATGCTACGTCAAAATGAACATGCCGGGACTGACGGCCTGCCTGCATAGTTTGGTGGTGGGGTGTGGAATATTGTTGGTTACCAGTTCGTCAAGATAAACCAAGTGCTTCGGGTGGATTGAGAGGGTTGCGCTATTGAGAGAGCTGAGAGGGTTGGCGATGGGGTCGCGATGCACGACGAGTTTGGTTGGGAGTTGTAGTAGGTGCAGACTGTGTCCGGTTGGGAGTTGTATGTGCAGACTGTGTCTGGTTGATGGTAGGTACTGAGCGAGGGGCCTGCTGGCTTGTGCTCAAGTGCAATGGACGTGCGGGTAGATCGAACGCTACTGACGCCCGGCTGCCCTGCTGAAACATGTTGTTATCCTCTAAAACACCATGTCAACGCCAGAGCTGTAAAGCCATATGAAAAATAAAACTTACCAACAATCCAGCCACCTCCTGCGTTAGAGGACGAGACTTTACTAGGTGCGTTCTTCCAGTCCGTGTTGAATGATTTCTTGCATGCGGGGACTACAATCTGCTCTGCGAAGATATCCTTGATGAGATTGACAGCATTGTTGATTTGATCATCTGTGAGCTTGCAGGAATCACCCTCACTTAGATTCTTCGACCTTGTTAAGTTCAGAGCGATAATGGGGGGTCGGCGAAATGTTCCTGTGTTGCGCTGCCAGCGAGCCAGCCAGATGTGTGCTTCGATGTTGAGGGTGAACGTCAACTAGATAGTGCCAGGGTTAAAATTGAAGAAATGAGTTTGAAAATCAAACAATCATATTCGCAAAACTTACAGCATCAGTTCCATCGCGTGCAAGATCCAGCCAATGAAGACTTGATAGCGCAGAGGCACTCATCAGAGTGAGGTTCCTTGAACAATTGAGAACTTGAATGTCGAAGGCGTCCATCATGATTTGAAGAGTAAGTTGTATGAGTCTAAGTTAATTAAAAGTCACGCGAGGAAAGGGAAAGTGTTAGTATGAGTTTGGTGTGTCACTGAGTTTGCACTGAGTACTGAGTACTGATCAGTGATAAAGTTGAACATTGAACTTCTGTATTATGTTGGCCACTGCACACCGGTGCTATAATTGTTGGCTACACGCCATACATGTAAACCTGAACCACTAACAATAGTCCTACCTGTCTTGCTGACACTAGTAACACATTCACGTTTATCGCGGCTTGAGTACTGTCTCGCTGACACTAGTAACGCATTCATGTTCATCGTGGCTTGAGTACAATGAACTCTCAGATTGGACTAACACTTTCACTTGTATCATTGCTTGAGTACAATAGAATTGTCCACAGTATACTAAATCATACAGGCTTGCAAATGGTCAGCTTCGTCACAAAGCGCATCATCTTCATCAACCTCAATACTCCTAGTACCCCTTAAATCTTCCATCATCTCATTTGCGTCCCCACCTCTATCATTGACAATACCTCTTGTCTCCACACCCCTTGATCCAGAGTAACCAGGGAGCTCAGAAATAGCATGAATTCTTCTCCGATGCACGTCATTCACTCGTCTGCGCTCCTCATACATGCAAGAGATCTCGTGCGAGAGTGTTGGATCTGATTTGACCAATGATTCGATTGTTGCTTTGAAGTGGGCATCTTCGTGATCTACCCAAGCAGATAGTCGCGCGACTTCAACATTGAGACGTCGAACTTCTTCATGAGCACGTTGAATCTTGAAGAAATTGTTCGCAACCTCGCAATTTCCTTTGGACGCCCACGGCTTCTCAAGTATACGATGACGCGAATGCTTGAGCAGGTCAAACTTGCCTAGCCAAGCATATGATGCAATTTCACTGAATTCTAAGACTTCTCGCAGCGGCATTTGAACAATGGCAAGCTGATTGTATTTTTCAAGGGCTGTTCGGATGGCTGCTGACCGGCGACTGATAGCGTTTGAGATGTGTTGACAGAGTTTGTAACCTTCATGTCTTTGTTAGAATAGTGTCAAGTAAATGGAAATTACACACCTGTGCCGGCGATGTTCGCTTTGGCCAACTCAAAGAGCCTCTGGATGACGAGGCCCTGCAACTGCTCAATGGAACGAATAAATCGCCGGTTGGTAAGATATGCTAAACCCTCCTGATATTTAGCGTCCTGTGGTTGCCATCTTGCCGTAATTCCCATGTGGTGCTCGATGTCGTCAACGACGTTCATTTCAAGAACCAATTTGCGATGAGCTGCATGGCATTCAGCTTCTCGAGCCCTCGCAAAGACCTGTTGGTTTTTTTGGAGATCATGGGAAGGGGTGAAATCTGCAGGAGTGTAAGTCAGAAATTGTGCCATCATAACGCTACCATATGCAGCTCTGAAATAACACAGGTGTCAGTGCAATTTGAAATTTGACCGATGCGACTTACTCTGCTCTGGTGAGTGATTGTAATGCGTCCACATAAGTCATAGTGTCAATGTCCTCCTCCATTTCCTCCATCAGGCTCTCCAGAAATTCTAGCTCTTCCATATTCCAGCGCTCAAAGTCTCCATCCGAAATCTTCAGTGCTAACTTTAATTCCTCAACTGCAGGGCTTAGGTCATCAATGATCGCGAGGGCTTGCTGGTAGTTGTTATACAAGAATGTACCTAGAATTGAGTCAAACACTAATTCATGAATGCCAACGACTTAATAAAAACCATACTTAGCTCCAGGTACCTATCGGAATCCCATTGCTGAAAATGAAGGTCGATGAACTGAAGCCAGTGAAAGTAAGATGTGTGTCGGATAACAGGAGCTACAGCATTTGATCCGGAGAATATGCGCTCGCACATTTCAAGGTCTTCAAGACCGAGTCCATGTTGATATAGAGGATGGAATTGAAGTTGACACCGGCGGTTGTGTGCGTGTCCATGAAACAAATTGACAATGAAGCGATGATGGTTGGAGTGTGCCTTGGCGGAGATAGAGCCGGCATCAACAGTCTTCTGATAGGAACATCCAATGTCATATCCCGTTACTCCATCCAGACCATAAACATCGAGAACTTTATTTGTTGTCGCGAGAGCATATTTGGCACTATAAAGTTAAATCAGAATATGAAAGAGGGCTAGAACTTCGAAGACTCACAGTTCCCCACTTCGCCGCATCTCAGCCAAGGTCTGGATCATGCCATGTCGACAAGCACTTATGAAAATACCTGTTTGCTCAAAAACTTTGACAGTGTTGTCAGAAATCGTGTTCGTGGTCTTCCAATTGTCGGTGCAAGCAGACTCTGAAACACCAGCTGGAGTGGTGCCTCCCGCTGTGTCAGTAATGGCTGTGCCACGTGTTCCTGGCCGCAGTCGCACATCATCCTTGAATGTGTCGACTTCGTCAGGAGAAATCAAATAGGATGTTTCGAAGACACGGTCGTCAGCGTGTCCAGAGCCATCAACCCGTTTCAATGAGCTATTGCCGTCCATACTGTCCATCCTCGCAGGGATCAATGTTGGCTCATTCTCTTGCTGTAGCATGGTTCAGTTTTTGTCCATCGTGTAATAATAAATGTACCTTGTAATCACATGCAGGGCACAAGTGAAGCATGCGCCAATGAGGACCATCACATTTCAATGCAATGTTGACTAATTCTTGAATGTGCCGTAAAATGTCGAGATATGCATCAAAAGCAATTGCGAATTGATCCCGCAGCGCTTGAAAATATGAGCGCTAGAATGTAATATTAGAAATACACTTAGGTATACATTACAAAAAATGTACATTGTGAAGGGCACATAATACTTTGACCATGGCCTGTACACTGAAGGATGGTTTGCGCCGGCGGATCTGATGATATAATTCGAGGCATTGGAGGGACACAGCGATGTTAGGCTGAATGGGAGAACAGCCAAGGAGTCCGACGTTGATGAGTGACACATTGGCCAGCTCATCAGCAGCTTGCGGGACTGACATCAAAGGTGTGGACACTGCAATTTATAAGTCTAGCACTATAATCATACATGTTAAATCATACCTAGAATATCAACTGTGCTGACATCGAACTTGAACATTCCAGCTTCAACATTGGGTATGGGTATGGCTTCGCAATGCTTCCAGTGCAAGTAGCCTGCGACGAGGGCTGGCATTTGCGATGTCCATGCACTGTGACATTGCCGGTTACGCTGAAGTTGACTGCATGGTGGCCGGCGGCAGCGATGTCTACCTTGAAAACTGCACTAACCATTACATATTAAAACCCCCCCAAAAAAAGGAAATTTACCAATATATGACATGAGCTCGTGCAGCATCAACTGCTGAGCCCTCATATCCACCATTGCCTTCTGATGCTCTCTCGTCTTCCTCCTCCTGTGGCCCATCCTCCTCGTCTACGTAGTCTTCTTCTTGATCCATATTAAAGTCCATGTCAGCGTAGTCCGGGTACTGGGTGTCAGCACTTGCATTGTTCACAGTGCCCGCCTCAAGCGCTGCCTCAGCAAGGAGCTGTCTTGCAGTAGCATTGTCAGCTGTTTATCGGTCAGGGAAATAATAAAATGGTAAAAGAGTAGAAGAAACCTACCTAGCTGACTCTAGACCTGCTCCCTCTCAAACGCAATGCGATCAGCTCGCAACTTTGTAAGGTTGAAGTGCAGAGTCTTGAGATTACCACTGGATTGCACGACGGCCTCCTTGACTTTGCTGACAGTAGAGAGTTTAGAACGCTTGCGACCCATGTTGAAGCTTGAGCGTGGGAGCAAGTATACCAGTGATGGCGCTGATAAGCAAACAAAAAACCTGGAGGGTCCAAAAGCGTGAGAGGTGTGGTGAGAACGTTCAGCAGGCAGGTGGCTATGCACTGCGCAAGCTTCGCCTAAAAACGAATGAAAAATAAGGGTAGGAGAAGGAAAGGAATGAGCTCATTGTGGTGGACGATGAGCAGAAGCTTACAATAAGCGTAGCAGTGGGAATTGACAGCATCAAAGGCTATTTTAGGCAGTAAGGCATTTGCCGGGCAGTGACGAGAAGCTCGGACTTACCCGATAGAGTCTTCCCGTTATAGCAGGCGACTAGGGCAGTAGAAATCACCTAAGTGAGGCCTGAGTGCTGGTATTATTGCTGGTAGCATGGTAGATATATATTCCTTACGAATTAGTAACACGTACAGGTACGCAGTACTATTACTAATTAGTAATATTAATGGTGCCACCCAGGTGGGAAAGACCCTGTTCGCCGGGTCATACGGATCAATCAGGAAATTCGACACCGCCACTTGGACAGAAACTGCTGTTCTTGACTCACCTGGAATAGAGTTCGACATCATTTCACTATCTCCAAATGAGCGCATCCTCGCAAGTTTGGATGTGTTCGAGGATACAGTGCAACTATGGAACCTAGAAACTAATCAACCCATCGGACTACCCATTCACTCTGAATATGCAGCATGGCATGCGACCTTTTCTGCAGATGGAAAGTTCCTCGCTACCGTCGGCGGCCCAAGCCACGGCGTATACATATGGGATGTTTCTACCATCATCAAAGAGGCTGGCCTAGACCACCTTTTGTCGGACAATGTAAGCTTGGGTTTATTTCATTCTCAATAACGAATGTGTCTAATCATCCTTTCAGGTCAACACCATTAAGAAGCCGTTTAACGTGGGTGTATTCTATGCATTTCTCGACCTTTTGAGTATCTATATCCTAGGCTGATGCTACACGACCACAGGCCCCGCAAAGACCAGTTCCGCGAATAGAAGGTGCTCGTCGACTACCCCCCCAGGGTTCTTTGATGATGTACGTGGTCTCCATCTATATTTTAAAAGTTCTCTTTACCAATATTTTATCAGTCCTCTACCTCGCGCGGGCGACGCACCACAGCGCACCCTCAACGCCCCTTTCTCGATCATTTGCCTTCCTTCTGGCGCCGCCGCTCCAATCCACGCGGAGAACCTGAGCGCGATATCCGGTTGCGAAACATACCAGTGGTCGACGTCCCGTGCACAGCGGGCAAGCCTGTACGTTTTTTTTTCCTTCTCGGTTCTTCTACACCATTGATCCATTTTCATGCAGAGAAACTATCACGCGAGAGGAAAGAAAACTGCCAGCTCCTCTAGACCACCCAAGCCATCTACCTCGCAACATGTCGGAGCCACCCAGAACCAACCATCATCCTCGCAGCCACAACCTACTGCAGCCATGCCATCCACGACTGTCACCGCAGGCGCACCAGGTACAACTCTACATCCTCATCTTATGGTGAGCGGATGGCGCGCTCGTTTCATAGCCTGGGTTTGCTGCATGTCTATCCAGAACACAGATGGTCAACATTAGGGAAGCATCCTCGGTGCTTCATCGTCATTTTCTGTTACCTCCTCTAGTAGTTTTCCTGGCTCTTCTGCACTCCATCACTGTACTGTATTTCCTCGTGGTTCCGCTGTCGCTTTAACTTGTTTATTGCCCTAGGTAGATGCTGCATACTTATGTTGCACTAAGTACGTGCGCTAAATGTGCCCTATGTTATGATTTTTCGGTCGTGGTCACACCAGGCTCATACAGGGGTGTACCCGTTTTGGACACTCATAATCCTCTTTTTGACACGGCAACGGATTGAAATTGACGATGAACGCCTTGCAAGCTTCTGAGTTGGCCTCACTCTTGTTTTTCAACAATATGTCGTGGTTGCTGCAGGCTGGCCCATCGGCAACTCCTCGGTCCTGGGACTTCAACTTTCAGAGTTCGCTGCATTGCAGTTCCATATGTACGTCGTCTGTGGTATTGGCTCGATTGCGTAGGAAATCCAATAGCAGGCCATGTAGGTTTCTTCCATCCTCTAGCTCCGTTTTCTCAACTCGAACTCCTTCTCTTGTACCAATATTTTTGCCATATGCCAGGACTGCGTTTACTGAGAAATATAGGGCAGAGTGGTTGCACTCAGAAGGGGGCGTTCGATGCTACGGCTGACGACGTGATGAACGTCTCAGAGATTATTTTTTTCTCGCTGGTGATGGAGAGGCGCCAGTGAAGAAACACAGGAACGCGGACTCATTTGATAGCAAGACCACGTACCAGATGCAATGCTGAGATGTCGATGCCGAAATTCCAGAAAACGGGGCTTGGGCGCTTGATCTGCACAGTTCGTGCTGAAGCGAACGCAGGATAAAGTGAGGAAGACGCACCTGTAGATGACTCAATCGGCGACCACTCTCTTGACTCAACTCTGCGTAGGACAAAGCTTTTTATCATGTCAGTGTTTTCATCCTTGATGCCTACTGCTACGCTGTTCAATACTGCTGAACCTGAAAGGCCGCAACTAGAAATCAAACATTATTTTGACACTGTCTAGAATGCCTCTAGGCTCATCCAGAATTTGAAGAGATGTGGCAGCATTGATCTACTTTTGTTCTGCATTCGCGCCGAAAGACTCACTACTACGGTTAGGAGCAGTTACCGGCTCTTTCATGACTTCTTCTGCGAGAAGAAGGTTTCCATTGTTCTCGCAATCGATCACGGACATCGAAGAAGAATAAATCATGAAGGATTTGTGGACGAGAAACTGTGGGACCTTCCGTCGAAACAATATCCATGTCTGGTCATGCGTGCGTCACTGCCGTTAATTAAACAGAGACTCCAAGATCCGCGCCTTCATGAAGAAACGTGCGTAACGATCTGAAACCTTGTTGAGCAACACCCTGCTAACAGTCAGAAACAAGCATGAACCGGAGGGGGGATCTATTTGCGTCATTGACGCGTAAGTTGAAGGAACTACTTGTAAGTTGTAGGGAATTTGCATTCGAGAAGGAATGATCTTGTCCTTCGTCTCACGATTCACGAAGCGTTGCGGTATGTCTCGAGAAGCCGCAAAACGGTTGGCTGATATTGTGATTAAGCGACACGCAGTGGATGCTACTTGACTTCCCGTTTATGTTCACTCTACTGTGGGTAGTAGGCCCTAGGAATTTTATTAGGTGAACTCAACGCCAGATTCCGTGAACATTATAGGAGGAAGTAGGATACTATGTCAAGAAAGCCTAACCGCTTGATTGTAGACGAAAATGACAGCACCCGCCAAGAATGCTCGAATGCTCGACACAGTTTCAATTGCTGTCGAATCACTCAACCTCAGTGCTGCGATCGCATGTTCCAGTGGTGCATCAGCCAGTATCACCATCTCATGCCATTCTCTCCGTGGCCCGTCCTCTCTTTCACCAAGCTAGGCCCACTGCACTGTCTCCTCGTTCGTCCTGTGCGTTACTGCCACAGCCTGCATCAGACTCCTGCACCGAACAGATCTCGCGTCCGCGTCAAAAAAAGACGCAACCCATCAAATGAATTGCATGATTATATCGTGATTTCGAGTCTTATTTTTCGACGTTGCACTCAGCTATGATATCTCAAGCGTCTTGGCATTCATCTTGTTATGAACAGAGGTCACGTCTTTCACTTGTGCAATGATATCACGATCACGATATGATGCGATTCTCATATCCTGCTTGCTCTGCCGCTGCGCTAGCAAAAATGCCCCGAAAGGCTGTCCAAGGCGAACAACAAACTGTTAACACTCTCGGGTGAGACTCCTAGTCCGAATTAAATGAACACACCCTGAGCTCATGGTGCTGCGCTCATACCTGATTCGCGAGGAGAATGGATGCTCGAGGATCCGAGTAGTGCGTTCCTGCTTGATGGTTTGATCATCAAGGTATGAATTGCCAATGATTGGCTTTCAACTGAGAGATGTAAAGATATGGGAACGGCTTTCCGAGACATCCTTTGTAAGACGCACGGTGATATCACGGCTGATGACGCGATGGACGTGATATGTCTCGCTGGTGATGGAGAGAGGGACCCGTGAGGAATGCGGGCTCGACTACCAGATGGGATGCTGAGATGTTGATGTCGAAACTCCAGAAAACGAGACTTGGGCGCTTGATCTGCACAGCCCATTCTCAAGCTGTGAAGCGATCACGAGGATGAAGCAAGGAAGACGCATCTATAGAGGATTTAAACAGCGATCACTCTCTTGACTCGACTCTGCGTCAAACAAAACGTTCACTCCACTGCAGTTTTCATCGAGCACTCATTCGTTCTGTGTATAATCAAGTACTTCTGAGTAAGTGATGGGATTCGTTTGCTGGATAAGCGCTGAAATTGTGCCGCGCGCATTAGGTGAAGTCCTCGAGCCAAAACCATGTCTTCAACAGCCCCTGCAAAGCAAGAGAGATCATTGGCGAAGCCTCACAAAACGATGCAAGGACACACTGACTGTGTTTGTGATGTCCTAGGCCTGCCCGATAAACGGCGGATCGTCACCTGTTCATGGGATGGCTCACTTAGAGTGTGGGATTTGGAAAGTGGAATGCAGGTCGGGGAACCCTGGAAGGATGGAGGAAGTGGAGGAGTGCTCCGCATGGCACTATCACCAGACGGCAAGACAATAGCATGCGGGACCTGGAGTGACGATGGCCCAGTCAGGACAATGGGATTAATATGGTGGGATGCCAAAACGGCCAAGGTTATCAAAAAATGGACGGGGCACACAGATACTAGAAACTGTGTGAAGTGTATCTGCTGGAGTCCAGATGGAGGGCGAGTCGTGATCGGAGGCTGGGACAACTTGAGTTTCAGAGTATGGGATGTCAAGAGCGGCAAGATCATCCTGGCACCAATCGATTCAGAGAAAGGCCGGAATCACCACACGAACGCGATTAGCTACTCGCCCGATGGTACAATGATTGCGACGGGCGCGGCCGAACGACTGAAAATCTGGGACGCCAACACAGGGAAACTACTCAAAACAATCGAGGGACGCACTGAGTGCCTGGCATGGACATCGGATGGAAAGACACTGTTCGCTGGGTCATACTGATCAATCAGGAAATTCAACACCGCCACTTGGACAGAAACCGCTGTTCTTGACTCACCTGGATGGATCCACACCATTTCACTATCTCCGAATGAGCGCATCCTCGCAGGCGTATCAAATTGGATCGAGAAGACAGTGCAACTATGGAACCTAGAAACCAATCAACCCATTGGACTACCCATTCACCTTGAATACATAGTGCGCTGTGTGGCCTTTTCTGCAGATGCAAAGTTCCTCGCCACTGGCTGCGACGACAACCATGTATACATATGGGATGTTTCTGCCATCATCAAAGAGGCTGGCCTAGACCACCTTTTGTCGGACAATGTAAGCTTGGGTTTGTTTCATTCTCAATAATGAATGTGTCTAATCATTCTTTCAGGTCAACAGTATCACGAAGCCATTTAATGTGGGTGTATGCTATGCATTTCTTGACCTTTTGCGTGATTTTGAGTATCTATATCCCAGGCTGATGCTACACGACCACGGGCCCCGCAAAGACTAGCTCCGAACATCAAAGGTGCTCGTCGACTACCCCCAGGGTTTTTCGATGATGTACGTGGTCTCCATATCTAATGTTTCTTTTTACCAATATTTTATCAGTCCTCTACCTCGCACAGGCGACGCACCACAGCACAGCCTCAACGCACTCTTCTCGATCACTTACCTTCCTTCTGGCGCCGCCGCCCCAATCTACGCAGAGAAATTGAGCATGACATCCGGTTGCGAAACCTACCAGTGGTCGACGTCCCATGCGCACCGGGAAAGCCTGTACGTTTTTTCCTTCTTGGTTCTTCTCCAACATTGACTTGTTTTCATGCAGAGAAACTATCATGCGAGAGGGAAGAGCTTTTCTCGACCACCCAATCCACCATACATCGGAACACCTCAAAGTCCACCATCGTTGTCGCAGTCACAACCTACTGCAGATATGACATCCACGACTGGCACCGCGGGCGCAGCGGGTACAACTTTGCCTCCTCATCTCACCATCACAGTTACTGGATGGCGCGCTCATCTGATGTCCTGGGTTTGTTGCAAGCCTATTCAACACACAGATGGGCAACATTAGGGAAGCAACATGTCATCTTCGGTTCTTTATTGTTATTTTCTGTTTTATCTCGTCTAGTAGTTTTCCATCACTCTCTTGCACTCCATCACTGTACTGTATTCCTTGTGGTTCCGCTATCCCTTGAAGAATCTTGTTTATTGTCCTATGCAAACTCCTGTCGCCTGCAGCAAGTTCCATCGGACATGATCACGCTGATTTCATTGTGTTACAGTGCAAAGTACATGCACTAGGACCATTGGCGCGCCATCCATCACCAAGTCGATTGTCAACTGTGCTCAAATCTCCCTGCCTCGCAGGCACACGAGATCGAGCGATGAGAACTGACCAGGCTGTGTCCTCAAAATCAGCTGTTATTTATTGTGTTGTCATTCGGCTTCTCTACTTGAGCTCGGTGGTGGCTTGGAGGTCGCATTGCAGACTCTACTGACATCCTTCTTGCAGTAGCTTCAGCACAACTTGGCCAGATAGAAGTTTCGATGCGATGAGGGAGTTACTGAATAGCGGGTGACTTTTGTGAGGAGGGTATATTTGGTCTGTTTATCCGTGCTCTTTCGAGAACAACACACTTACGAGGTCGCATAGGAGATCGGCTGTGAGTATTACTGTGCGCTGCATGTTCCCGTCTCCGTCTGCGAGGGAAGTCCAGAGGGGGACTAAAGATGAGTTAGTATCGGCACAATTGGCAAAGGGAGGACAAAACTCACATTGAATGTCATTGCCTGCCCCGTCGATAACGTACCTGGACAATATCTTTGAACACTTCGACAATCGCATGGAGCACCACGAGTCTTTTGCTCAGCTGCGCACATAATTCCCGAGAAAGTGAAAAAGATGGTGCCGGAGAGGGGGTGTGAATAACGAGGGATGTATAAGCAGCGTCCGACTGCGTGATTTCCTCCGCCTATTTGAGTTCCACGGTGATGTGCACTTGAGAATATTCGCGGGAGAGTGGGTTGACGTCGCGGGCTGTAATGGCGTTCCAACGGGGAAGCGTGTCGTCGGCTGGCTTAACGTCTTACGTATTTCCATCTCGTTAAGCCAAGTACTGCCTCCTTGGTATGAAGAGCAGCCCCGAATTGTGTCCATGCACCGGCATGAAGGAGGACGCGCAACCTAATAACGCGAATGAAGGCAAAAATTCGGGAGTGGTGGGTTTCCCCAGCTTGTCCTCCGCGCAAAACCCATTTTCCATGACCTGTCCATGCACTACATTCAAGAAAAACCAACGTCTCAATGAGTTGTTGGATGTGCTAGAAGCCCTGGGAGCGCGCAGAGTAGGTTCGCTGAAGGAAGCTATCCCTAAGGACGCGTCTGTCACACGTTTCATGACTTGTGACATGTCGCGCCTGTGACTTGTTCGGATCAGCTTGATCTACTATTCAACGAGCTCAATCAAGCTCAGCCTAGCTCAGCACTGCTGTTTTTACAAGAGAACATGTGCTAGCCTATCGGTGGTATCTCAACAGCGTTCATCGCTACCCTTGGCCCCCTCCAGAAACAAGTAGCTCAAAAAGCCACTCCACTTCTACTGGGAGCTCGTCTCTTCCCACTTCCCAAGTACGACGAGAACGGGAAACTCAAACACGAAATGTGTATGTGTTTCCATTCATTCTTCTGCTGATGCGCATATACTCACCTTGCTCAGAAACACCATCTGAAACAACCTGGTAAGACTGATCCCCCAATTCCGGACATACCGTTCTTGATATTCCTCCAGCAACAACCAAACGAATACATCCACGGCGCTACCCCCCTCCGCTTCCTCCAGAGACGCAGGACTCTTCGAACCAGTCACTCCCCCTAAACCTCCCGCAGCTGTCTCGAGCATCGTCATTCCTACATCCGCAAGAACGCCGTATTCGCCATGTACACTATCTACCGCGAATACAAACACCTTGTCCCAGACACCCTTGATTTCATGCAGACTTTCATCGCCGCAGAGTCTGACGCGACGTGCAAATGTAATACATTTTCATTCCTTGCGCAACGTGCGATGCCCAAGGTTGTGGAGTGGTTGATGATCAGCTGACGAGTATGGATGAGCTGTTGCAGATGAGCGTTGTAGAGGTCCTTATGTTGGATTCTAATAACGATAAGACGCACCGAGTTAGTGCTTTTTTGTTTGGTATCTTGCTACTCCTCATGTCTCTTGTCTTGCAACCGCAATATATCAGATCCATGTTTGAAACTCTGAGCTCATCATTACATGCAGTGAAGTACGATGCTGCTACGACACTCACGCAGAACGCTGTGCAGGGTATGTTGACGACTGATCCCGTGCACATGTCTGCTCAGCTTGCTTTTTAGCGTCCGTGCTTCATCAACCTCATCATCAAACAATTCGACAACAACGTCAAGCTGATCGTCCTGTATCGCCTGGACACCCTTCGTTCCAAGCACGGACACATTCTGGATGGACTGATCCTGCATATCTTACAGGTTTTGTCGAGGTGCGAATGGTGCTCCAGTACTTTTGTAACAATTACTGAGTACTTTCGTCTCAGCGCTGACATCGAGGTCGGAAGGAAAGCCATGAGCATTGTGCTTAGCATTACTTCGACTCGGACGTCGTACTCTTCTTCAAGAAGCAGCTGCAACGGACACGAGCGGGGATTCGAAAAGGTCGGTCTCGTAGTCCTGCATACTATTGTAGCTAATCCTATGACAGGCCCCAGAGTACAGCCAACTCCTGATCCAATCTATCCACGTCTTAGCGGCCAAGTGTTCCAAAGTAGCTGCAAGTGTTATCCACGCACTCATGGAATTCCTCGGAGACTCGAATGACCCCTCTGCGTTGGACGTCGTCGCTTTCGTCTGGTTCGTTCCTCCCTTCCTAGTCCCCACATCTCATTGGACTAACCGTCACCCACAGCAAAGCAAATGAGAAATTCTTACGCCTCCGGCAATGTATATGCGATCGGCTCGCTCAAACACTCACAAAGATGAAACCTTCCGCTGCGTCCTCTGGATCCTAGGCGACTCTGTCGAAGGCCTGTCAGACATCGAAACTACATTCCAGGAGATCCGGAAACTGCTTGGATAGATCCAGATTCTTGCAAGCGAGCAACGAGGCTGGCGGAGAGGAGGATAAAGAGGAGGATAAGAAGGTTGAGGGGAGTGGGCGACCGAAGGTGCTTGCTGACAGAACATATGCGACGGAGACGGCCTGCACGAGTACTGGGTGAGCGAGATTGGAAGCCATCAATGCCATGTCTAAGCCGTCGTTGAGAGGTGTGGTGTATGTGTGTTCATCGTGTTTGAAGTTCTTCATGATGTAATTTCAGCACTCATTTGGAGGTGACTTCTTCACGGGTGTGGTGCTCGGTTCGACGTTGATGAAGCTTGTGCTGCGGTTTTGTTGAGGTCTCTAGCATTGACCGATGCACACCCAGTCTACATTGATTGCGACTTCCATTATCCGAGTCGGTCAGTCAACAGAAAAAGACAGCAAAGAAGAGTCAGAAAGCACACAGGAACATCTCGTACAAGTGGATGACTTGCTTACTTTCAGGCAATTCTCGAACACATCGGCGGATGATCCTATTGATGTAAGCTTGTGAAAATTTGGTTGGTTGGTTCTGCGTCACTCCAATTTTTTTCTCAGTACGTTGAGGACTTGGGCAAGGCGATGGGGCCGCTGAAGTCAGGCAAGACCTCAGTAGTATATTCCAGCTCACAGGTAGGTCTTGGCCATGTATCTCGTGCACTGGGTTCCATATAGCCAAATTAGCAGATCTCTGTGATATGACTGACGCGTTTCATAGTCCAGGATGCTCATCATCGACATGGTAACTGTCCCGAACGTAGATGCGACTCCTGCAAACTAGCGTCGAATCGTTCTTGATGGGTCGACGCCAAACACCGCGACTACAGTATTCCTTCACACTTTGAGTGAGTATCTAAACTAGTGACTTACTCAATGCACATGCTGATCATCATGAACGGTTGCGAGACGTCTTTGGTACGTATAGAACAGAGTTTGCCTGTACGTGCGGGCTTCGCATCACAAACATTTACTCCCTGCGAGATCACTCTGCCATTATTGAATGTGTACTTGACACGGTCATGAAAGAGAAGAGAAAGTTGTGTGGTATTGTAACAACTCCAGGGCATGTATTTCAAGCCCGCCGAAGTCTAGATGTGTTTTCGTTCAAGGAATGTTTCAGTTTCGATATCAGAACCTGATTTTGCATTACTATGGTGCTCAATTGTTAAGGAACGAGGCAGTGTAATTCTTATCGTCGATGGGCACTATAATAAGTGTTCAAACAGAAGCCCTTGTGTAATGATATCACGTTCTGACGCGATTCGCATGTACTCTTTGCCCTGCCACTGCGCTAGCAAAAATGCCTCGAAAGGCTGTGCGAGACGAAAGACCAGTTGTAACGCTCTCGAGTAAGACTCCAAGTCCGGATGAACACTCTGACTCTGAGTTCACGGTGCTGCGCGAGGATCTGATAAGCGCATTCCTGCTTGATGGTTGGATCGTCAAGGTACGAATGCCAATGATCGACTTTCAACCGAGGGATTATCATACGGGAATGGCTTTCCGAGGTACCCTTCGTAAGATGCACGGTGATTCCACGGATGATGACGCGATGGACGTGATATGTCTCGCTGGTGATGGGGGGAGGAACCAGCGAGGAATGCGGGCTCGTTTAATAGCAGGACTACCAGATATAATGCTGAGATGTCGATGCCGAAACTCCCGAAAACGAGGCTTGGGCGCTTGATCTACACAGCCCGCTCATGCTGTAAAGCAAACACGAGGATAAAGACGCACCTGTAGAGGACTTCAACAGCAACCACTCTCTTGACTCAACTCTGCATCGAACAAGACTTTAACGTCATTGCAGTTTCCATCGAGGACCCGTGCATAATCAAGTACCTTCGAGTAAGTGATAGGATTCGTTTGCTGGATAAGAGCTGAAATTGTGCTGTGCTCATTAGGTGAAGTCCTCGAGCCAAAACCATGTCTTTAACCGCCCCTGCAAAGCAAGAGAGATCATTGGCGAAGCCTCACAAAACGATGCAAGGACACACCGACAGTGTCAGTGGCGTCGTACGCCTGCCCGATCAACGGCGGATCGTCACCTGTTCACGGGATGGCTCACTTAGAGTGTGGGATTTGGAAAGTGGAATGCAGGTCGGGGAACCCTGGAAGGATGAAGGAAGTGGGGAAGTGCACGGCATGGCACTATCACCGGACGGCAAGACAATAGCATGCGGGACCCAGAGAGACGATGGCCGAGTCATGACAATGGGATTAATATGGTGGGATACCAAAATGGGGAAGGTTATCAAAAAATGGACGGGGCACACAGATACTCCAAACCGTGTGGACTGTATCTGCTGGAGTCCAGACGGAGGGCGAGTCGCGATCGGAGGCTCGGATAACTTGAGTTTCAGAGTATGGGATGTCAAGAGCGGCAAGATCATCCTGGCACCAATCTATTCAGAGGAAGGCCGGAATCACGACACGGACGCGATTAGCTACTCGCCCGATGGTACAACGATTGCGACGGGCGTGGTCGACCATCTGGAAATCTCGCCCGATGGTACAATTATTGTGACAGGCCTGGCCGAACTACTGAAAATCTGGGACCCCAACACAGGCAAACTACTCAAAACAATCGAGGGACGCACTACGTCCCTGGCATATTCATCAGATGGGAAGACCCTGTTCGGCGGGTCACTCGGATCAATCAGGAAATTCGACACCGCCACTTGGACAGTAACTGCTGTTCTTGACTCACCTGGAATAGAGCTCGACATCATTTCACTATCTCCAAATGAGCGCATCCTCGCAAGTTTGGATGTGATCGAGAATACAGTGCAACTATGGAACCTAGAAACTAATCAACCCATCGGACTACCCATTCACTCTGAATATGCAACATGGCATGCGACCTTTTCTGCAGATGGAAAGTTCCTCGCTACCGTCGGCGGCCAAAGCCACGGCGTATACATATGGGATGTTTCTACCATCATCAAAGAGGCTGGCCTAGACCACCTTTTGTCGGACAATGTAAGCTTGGGTTTATTTCATTCTCAATAACGAATGTGTCTAATCATCCTTTCAGGTCAACACCATTAAGAAGCCGTTTAACGTGGGTGTATGCTATGCATTTCTCGACCTTTTGAGTATCTATATCCTAGGCTGATGCTACACGACCACAGGCCCCGCAAAGACCAGTTCCGCGAATAGAAGGTGCTCGTCGACTACCCCCAGGGTTCTTTGATGATGTACGTGGTCTCCATCTATATTTTAAAAGTTCTCTTTACCAATATTTTATCAGTCCTCTACCTCGCGCGGGCGACGCACCACAGCGCACCCTCAACGCCCCTTTCTCGATCATTTGCCTTCCTTCTGGCGCCGCCGCTCCAATCCACGCGGAGAACCTGAGCGCGATATCCGGTTGCGAAACATACCAGTGGTCGACGTCCCGTGCACAGCGGGCAAGCCTGTACGTTTTTTTTCCTTCTCGGTTCTTCTACACCATTGATCCATTTTCATGCAGAGAGACTATCATGCGAGAGGGAAGAAAACTGCCAGCTCCTCTAGACCACCCAAGCCTTCTACCTTGCAACAACATGTCGGAGCCACCCAGAGCCAACCATCATCCTCGCAGCCACAACCTACTGCAGACATGACATCTATGACTGGCACCGCGGGCGCAGCAGGAACAACTCTACATCCTCATCTTATGGTGAGCGGATGGCGCGCTCGTTTCATAGCCTGGGTTTGCTGCATGTCTATCCAGAACACAGACGGTCAAAATTAGGGAAGTATCCTCAGTGCCTCATCGTCGTTTTCTGTTACCTCCTCTAGTAGTTTTCTGCACTCCATCACTGTACTGTATTTCCTCGTGGTTCCGCTGTCGCTTTAACTTGTTTATTGCCCTAGGTAGATGCTGCATACTTATGTTGCACTAAGTACGTGCGCTAAATGTGCCCTATGTTATGATTTTTCGGTCGTGGTCACACCAGGCTCATACAGGGGTGTACCCGTTTTGGACACTCATAATCCTCTTTTTGACACGGCAACGGATTGAAATTGACATTGAAGTTCTGAACGCCTTGCAAGCTTCTGAGTTGGCCTCTCACTCTTGTTTTTCAACAATATGTCATGGTTGCTGGCCCATCGGCAACTCCTCGGTCCTGGGACTTCAACTTTCAGAGGTCGTTGCATTGCAGTTCCATACGTCGCCTGTGGTATTGGCTCAATTGCGTAGGACATCCAATAGCAAGCCATGTAGGTCTCTTCCATCCTCTAGTTCCGTTTTCTCAACTCAAACTCGTTCTCTTTCACTAGTCTCACGCCCACGCACCCGCCTTGCAAAATCGCTCTAGCCCATAGAGAAAGCCAAGAGGCTGGGCAAACTCGAGATAGTACCAGCACGTCCCCAGTTCAAACGAGATACTGTCCCACATGAAGCCCTCACGCCGCGGCAGTGAGAGAGCCCACCTAGGTGCAGAACGACTCCACAATCAAGACCCAACCTAAAAAGTTGGACATCAAACAGCGACACGGATGCTGAGACTCGTCGCAAGCAGTAGGCTATCAAAGCACACTCTGACCGTGTCGACAAGCGCAAGGCTATAGCACGTCAACTGCAGACGTCTCAAATTAATCCCCTCGAGGAAGAATTTGATTTGTCTGCAACGGCTGCTTCCTCAAGCAAAGACCTTCCCACTCGGTTCTCCTCTCCACCCTTAATGCCCGGGTTGCTGCAAAGTTTACAAGAGATGCTAGGAAAGGAGGTCAGGCTGACAGCCATTCAAGCCACGTCAATGAAGCGTCTGTTCAAGGGACCCGTAGAAGGAGAAGAGAGGTAAAAGGAGTTCCTTCTTGCTAGCGAGACAGCATCAGGAAAGTCGATAGCAAACCTCGTGCTTCAGGATCTCAGATGCACAGAGCACGACCAGTCCAACACCATGTCCCTCCATTCATCTCTCAAGCCTCGCAACCCACGTGCACTCGTACTTCCGCCTACACATGAACTCAATCACCAACTTGCAAGTTTCGCGAAGAGCTTGTCGCATGTACCTCAGAGCTTCTTCGCACCTTCAAGGCTTTTATCCGGTTCACAATGTCGTTCTTCGCATTCTCCTGTTCGATACATCGCCAAGTCAGCAGCAGCACACATCTCTTCTCCACCAGCTTGCACGCCTAGCGTGAATACGTCAATGTCCTTGTCTTTCGGCCCGGCCCACTGGTCTTTCACTTGTGCAATGATATCACGATCTGACGCGATTCTTGTGTACACTTCGCCCTGCGCTAATAAAAATGCCCCGAAAGGCTGTCCAAGGCGAACGATCAATTGGAACGTTCTTGGATGAGTCTCCGAGTCCAAGTGGACACCCTGAGCTCATGGTGCGCGTACATACCTGATTTGCGAGAAGGACAGATGCTTGAGGATCCGAGCAGCGCGTTCCTGCTTGATGGTTGAATCGTCGAGGTATGAACACTAACGAATGCTGTACAACCGAGGGATGTTGGCAAAGATACGGGAACGGCATGTGGAGGCATACTTTGTAAGATGCATGGCAATGCCGTGGCTGACGACGCGATGAACGTCTCAGAGATTATATTTTTCTCGCTGGTGATGGAGAGGCGCCAGCGAAGAAACATAGGAATGCGGACCGGTTTGATACCGTCGTTTGATCTGCACAGCCCGTGCTTACACTATGAAACGAAGTGATAAGGCAAGGAAGACGCAAGCTGTAGAAGACTTGAACAGCGACTTCTCTCTTGACTCAACTCTGCGTCGAATAAAACGTTCACTCCGTTACAGTATTCATCGGAACTCATTCATTCTGTGTATAACCAAGTAAGCGATGGCGTTCGTTTGCTGGGCGAGAGCTGAAATTGTGCCGCACCAATTAGGTGAACCCCAAGCCAAACTGATGTCTTCAACTACCCCTGCGAAGCAAGGGATATCAGCGATGAAACCTCTCAAAAAGATGCAAGGACACACCAGGGCTGTCACTGGCGTCGTACGCCTGCCCGATCAACGTCGGATCGTCACCTGTTCATCGGATGGCTCACTTAGAGTGTGGGACTTGGAAAGTGGAATGCAGGTCGGGGAACCCTGGAAGGATGAAGGAAGTGGAGCAGTGCGCCGCATGGCACTATCACCGGACGGCAAGACAATAGCATGCGGGACCTGGAGTCTACGATGGCCGAGTTATGACAATGGGATTAATATGGTGGGATACCAAAACGGGCAAGGTTATCAAAAAATGGACGGGGCACACAGATACTCTCTCCTGTGTAAACTGTATCTGCTGGAGTCCAGACGGAGGGCGAGTCGTGGTCGGAGGCTGGGATAACTTGAGTTTCAGAGTATGGGATGTCAAGAGCGGCAAGATCATCCTGGCACCAATCGATTCAGAGGAAGGTCGGAATCACCACACGCACGCGATTAGCTACTCCCCTGATGGTACAATGATTGCGACGGGCGCGGCCGAACGGCTGAAAGTCTGGGACGCCAACACAGGCGAACTACTCAAAACAATCAATCGACGCACTGAGTGCTTGACATGGACCTCAGATGGAAAGACCCTTTTCACTGTGGGTGCGATCGAGGTCATGACATGGGGAATCATGACATTCGACACTGCCACCTGGACAGTAACCGCTGTTATTGTGGGGTACACCCAGGTCATTTCACTATCTCCGAATGAGCGCATCCTCGCAGATGTATCTATCCTCGCAAATGCATCAAACACATTGCAACTATGGAACCTAGAAACCAATCAACCCATTGGACTACTCCTTCACCTTGAACACTCGACGGAGGGTGCTGACCTTTTCTGCAGATGGAAAGTTCCTCGCTACCGTCTGCAGCCAAAGCCACGAACATATACATATGGGATGTTTCTGCCATCGTCAAAGAGGCTGGCCTACACCACCTTTTGTCAGACAATGTAGGCTTGGATTCGTTTTATTATCAATAATAAATGTGTCTAATCATATTTTCAGGTCAACACTATCAAGAAGCCATTTAATGTGGATGTATGTTATGCGTTTCTTGACCTTTTGCATAATTCTAAGTATCTATATCCTAGGCTGATGCTACACGACCACGGGCCCCGCAAAGACCAGTCACACGAATAGAAGGTGCTCGTCGACTACCCCCAGGGTTCTTTGATGATGTACGTGGTCTCCATCTATATTTTAATAGTTCTCTTTACCAATATTTTATCAGTCCTCTACCTCGCGCGGGCGACGCCCCACAGCGCAGCCTCAACGCACTCTTCTCGATCACTTACCTTCCTTCTGGCGCCGCCGCTCCGATCCACGCGGAGACACTGAGCGCGATATCCGGTTGCGAGAGCTACCAGTGGTCGACGTCCCGTGCACAGCGGGCAAGCCTGTACATTTTTTCCTTCTTGGTTTCTCTCCACCACTGACTCATTTTCATGCAGAGGAACTATCACGCGAGAGGGAAGAGAACTGCCAGCTCCTCTAAACCCGCGCAGCAACACATCCGAACGACCCAACCGTCATCGTCGCAGCCACAACCTACTGCAGTCATGACATCCACGGCTGGCACCGCAGGCGCAGCGGGTGCAACTTCGCCTCCCCATCTCACCATCAGAGTTATTGGATGGCGCGCTCATTTGATATCCTGGGTCTGTTCGCATCCCTATTCAACACATTGATGGCCAACATTAGGGAAGCAACATGTCATCTTCGGTGCTTTATTGATATCTCCATTTTATCTTGTCTAATGGTTTTCCATCACTCTCATGCACTCCATCACTGCCGTATTATATTTACTGGTGATTTCACTATCGCTTTAGAAGTTATCGTCCTATGTAGATGCGGCATGAGACATCTTTCATTGTATTGCAGTATGAAGTACATGTGCTAGGACTATGGGCGTGCCATCCATCACCGAGTCGATTGTCAACTATGCTCAAATGTTCTTGCCTCCAGTCGCATGAGATCGGGAGCTGACCAGGCTGTGTCCTCATTAATAGTGGTAAATCGCGTGCCATGGAACTTCTCGTCCTTACGGGACGAGGTTTGAGAACCGGTTGTCCCATGCTTTGTTTGGATAGTTGGGTATCTTTTCTGTATTGTCGGATTCGTGTATGTACTGAATGTGACCGGCATGAACGAGGGAATCAGATCGGGCTGGTGAACCCCTGCTCTTGCCATGTCGAAGTCTCTAAATAAAATACTGCACATACGCTCGCTCATTGACGTTTCCAACCGGTGATAATACTTTGACCGGATGAGGAGTGGTTTTCCAAGAAATAGAAAACAGATGCACCACTCTATCAAGACCGACACCCTTCACACAGATATCCCCAGTCACAGTCCGGGTATCGTCTCTAGTCTCACCCAAACACATGAGCTCCAGCTGTTTGCGCACGACCAGTCTGATGCATTCTGGTGAGTTCAACCGCCTCACTTTCCGATTGTCCACTTGGTATCGAAGGGCTCCGATATGCCGTTCTTCGGGAGAACAGCTGCAACGCCCTCATCCGACTGCTCAAACGAGCGGAGTTCAGTGTTCATCTCGACAGAGCACGAGAACTTCTCTAAATGGCGTCGTGCTAGAAAATAAAAAGTATCACCATGAAAACTTGAGAAGACGGCGGGTTTGCCTACGAATGATGTGCGAATACAAAACCAAGGACCTAGCTGACCAATATCAATGAAGACCTTATGATGATGATACAATGACACGAACCCTTGATCGGGAGAGTTCCATGTCCATGGACAGTCTTGTCCACACGGGTGACGGAGTCTTCATTCGTCGATGCGAAATATGCGTTTGAGTTGAGGGAGGGGTCAGTAGAGTGCAGTAGCGAAGGTTTTGCAGTACGTGGAATCGTCCATCTACTGGGCTGTACCTTGCTATAGAAATGAAGCCGCGTCGGCAGAGAATGACCAAGAGAACGAAGGCAAGCCAGTAAGGCTGTCCTGTGGTAGTTCAACACAATGACGGTCGAGTCTTTGTAGCTCTCGTCCAAGAGTATTAAACTCAGCGCTTGTCGCCAATGGCAGAATCTACGAGATAACGGCGGCGGCGATCGGATACATGGTCAGCGATATAACCTGCGTGATGTGTGAATGACTGGAATGGGAGATAGTGACGGACGTGCCACAAAATAATTGCCTTTGGCTCCGTCTCTCTCTGCTGGGACTGTCTTTGCGTTGGTCCGGCACACACTTTTTTGTTTGTTTTTGAATCTAGTTGATTGTCGTCTTGGGGCAACGCCTGATGTCGACAGTACATGCAATATAACCGGCACCCGCTCTTGTAGCGTTGGCCGCTATAGACCTGTAGATGGACTGCAGGAGAAGGGAGGAAGGGATTAGCGCGCCGTCAAACACGGAGAAGGAGCTTAGTGGTTTTGTTCAACGGCGGTCACAGTCTGGATGAAGTAAAGGCAGGAAGCACAACAAGTATCAGGAGTGCTGAGAATGAGACGACACAAAGTCACAAGTATGCAACCTTCATTTCCGACCTGCTCTCCATTCTCCAGTCGCAAACAGAGCCTGCTTACCGGCGAATACGGTGGGAATGGCAAAGATACCCCTGTTCAGAACCGCTTGAAATCTACCCCAAGTAGCACTTCAAAGCCACCAAGGAGGGCGGTGAAAGGCACGATGCTAGGAGCGAAGAGGTTGTAAACCCTGAAGTTAATTTTGCTCCACTGATATAGCGCAATTCGTCAGCCAACAAGTGATGTTCCAGCACGGAAACGCATCAGTCTAATCAACGAGGCAAGGCTACAGTACAGCCGCTGCGAACACGGCAGAGATCAACCGAGGAGGTGATCTTTGGTCGGGGCGGAAGGTATGCTTGATGACAGGGAGGATGTGGAATGAGGCTTCATCCGAGTGTTCAGTGGGAGTTTGGGATGTTGGTATGGAGAGGTCGAAGAGATCGTATTTTTCAGGTGCATGCACGAAGGAGCCCAGCATGAACGAGACCTCAAGAGAATCAGTGCGTAGTTGTGGGGATGGATGCAGGTCACAGGTGGGCAGACTATGTTGATTAAGTCGAGGGCGTTTCACAGCAGCGGAACTAATGAAAAACACCAGTTCAAACTTGGCCTTTCCTCCAGGAGTTACCCTGACAGGCTGGATGCCCTCCTTGCCTGACACTGTCATAGAATCAGAGGAACGTTTGCTGCGGTTGGACACCTTACCGTTGTCGTTCTCCGTAATTTGGAACGTAAATTTCAGGGTATCCGTTGCACCAAGAGTCAGAGGCTCTGGTTTTTTGGTGAACCTGTGTGGTATGAGTGCTACCACGACAGCAAGTGGATACACAACAGCTGGGTCACATCTGACGCGCTAATCATGAAACGAGGCGAATGAAGAGGCAGAGAGGCAGCTTGGACAGTTATCATCTATCTATAAATAAGTACATGATGAACGAAAGAAAGAAAACCGACAGAACTCATCAAATGAATCACGTGATTAAAGTGTGTTTTTCAATGGTGCACTCAGCGAACTGCAATATCTCCAATGTCCAGCTGACGTCCATCATAGTATGAACAGAATTCACGTCATTCACTTGTGCCATGATATGACGATCCGACACGATTATCGTGTACTTTTCCCCCTACCACTGTGCTAGAAAAATGCTCGAAAGTGTCATTTCTTCTTCTTGATGATCGTTCTTTTTCACAACTACGTACTGAAGCACAAGCCCAAGTACTTATAGCTGTTTGTAGTACCAAAGGCACGCGCCCTTTATGAGAAGTTCAGTGTAGCAGCTCAAATTGTATTCTTGTCCCATTCTCTTGATTCTCTCGATTCAGAATCAGCGTGACAAATTTCAGAACACAGAGGATGTCGCAGACTCCTGCCCAACGGGGGGATTGAATATGAAAATTCAATGTGCTACAAGGCGCGTAGTATAAAATTGAAAGCTTCAGATCGGTATGCAAGTGGAATCTATGTTAAGGTGAAACATTGCAGAAAGTAGATTGAGACGTATGATCAACAACCTGAAGAAAATAAAACTGCATCACGGTTTGACAAGCTGCGTAGTGTAAAATTGAGAAGCCCTTTTAAAATTAGTATGCAAGAGAAAGCATTACACAAAGCAGATTGAGATGTATGATCAATAACCAAGAAAATGAAACTGCATCACGGTTTTCCAAGACAGATCTTTTCGTGCTTCGTCTTCCCGTCTTTTCGCGTGAGGCTTTTGCCACAGTACGAGCATTGGAAACGTGCCCTGACGTGAAGCGTGATAATATGACGCGGAATGCTCGCGGCTTGCATGTAACTGCAGCATCCGGGCCACAGACAATTGATAACGTCGAGGCGCTTGGCACGTAGCGCGTGGCTGCTGCGCAGATGCGTCGTGATGGAGGCTTCATTACAAGGAATCGATGCATCGCAGCACGTTCCATCGCTAGACAGCAGCGGGCAACGATAAATCTCATCGGGCGTCATATGTTCGTCATGAAGATCTCGGCCATCGAAAGAAAGGGGGACATGAGTTTGTAGGGGCACTGATGGAGGTGGGAAGGCCCGGGACGAACGGCGTGGGCGGATGCCAGTGAGCATCAACTGGGGTTGTCGTCCACCCGCTTTGAGATCCGTGTATGGGGTCTCCCACTATAGGTAGATCGGAATCAGGGTATTCACGGCCTGCGTGCATCAGAAAGCTGTACTGCTCATGATCGGATGCTAAATGTGAGCTACAGGGGAAGCCCTCCGAGGGCTGGTTTGACAAGGTTTCCCAAGCCCGGACGTCGATCAGGGGTGGCTCGTTGAAATTATCCTGCGAACTTCCATGACCGTACGCCATATCCCTGGAACACACATGAGCACGAAGGTCACTGACTCGCGAGCAACACGCACATGGGCGGAGGATAATAGAACCCCGGAGGAGTTAAATCACCAGTGCTTGCGAACAGCCCGTCATAAGGACTGGATACAGACATGAGGGCTAGATTCGGAGAAATGACAGTCTTCTCACCTAACGTCAACATCTGGATCCCCCTGCTCCCAGAGGTATGACGATGAAAACCCCGGGGGTTGAGTCAATGTATCCATATCTGAGACAAAGGCGGTGGAGGCTTCCTTGAATATGGCGGTTTTTGGACATCGGACATGTCTTTATACTACCGAAGGCCACCAATTGGCGACCTCTTCCTGACGAAACCGAGTTAGGCAGGGCCCGCAGTTCCCTTAAAATGTTCTTCGAACCATACATATCCGAACATGTAAAGAGTTCGTGACGTACAGCTCTGGATGGGCCAATGAGAATGGCTGCCAGCCAGCCAGGTGGCGATGGGGAGGAGTAATATGGGGTGCGGTACATATATATACGCGTAAGCCTCCACGAGGTAGAGTATGTCAATAGAAGACCGTCGGGCTAGATGTCCGTAGCGAGAAACCAAGGAGTTCGTAACTGGGAGGAAAGGGACGCGATACTTATTGCGGACAGGTGGGAATGTATTCGGCAATCACAAGGGGGGAAGACAGTAGATAGTTAGGCTTCTCGCTTCTCGATCTCGATTTTTTTTGATATGTTATTCAGGGAGATGAAGAGCCAGGGTAGTGCTTGAGTAAACGACACCCAAGTTGATACCGGCGGCCCCGATACTTATTGTAGGTTCCAGATACAGATTAAACTTCAACTGCAAACAACGTAAATTCGGGCATCATGTCGGAACACTGCGTACGCACGCTGCAGGTGACCGAGTTCATTTTCAAATCAAAGATGAAAATATAGACTGCGCACCGAGAAACGCGGCGGGTGCACGACTGTTACGATAGTTTGACAATAGCGGCGGCGCCATTCCCGTACAATTGGGATCGTGAGTATATGCACATTTCGCGTGAGTAGGTTGAAGGAAATACTAACACACCCACTGACTCCGAGTCGTGATTGATATGATCAGGGATCCAAATGCATGCGACAGCACCACACGTGGTCGCGAAATGAAATGCCTGCGAGACAAAAGGATCACAAGTAAGTGTACGGCGACCTCGTACTTCGGCTCTGTAGTTGACAAGCTCTTACCGTGTCTGTCTTGGCACAAATGCATGTAAGACAATATTCAACCGGGAGACTGCATAATACCAGATCAAATGCGCCGAGGGTGTGAGGCTTGGACTTCGGCTTGGGTCGCTCAGCCTGACACATACGACATGGTAACCATTGGCAGTAGTTAGGGCCCAGACCTGATAGGCTCAGAAAGTTACTTACTTTCTCCAGAGTGCTTTTCAGGGATAGTGCATTAAAGAAACGTGCCGCTCCTGACTACTGTATTCTTCCCACCACAGAGTGCTGTGGGCATCGAAACACCTAACAGGTCCCAGGTCCCAGGAAAGAGTATCAATGAGAAGCTGACTAGCTTAAAAGCTAATGCTCAGGCACGTAGTATGCAGTAAAGACCTCCGTGTTCACAGGCGATATTTTTGTGCTTAGGCGTTTTCGCCACACAACGCGGAGAATCGCGGTCGCGATAAAATATATGAAGTTGATCGCAACGAGTCATGCTATTAGCTCGGAGACGGTGAACGTTTATCTAGTTCGAACCTTTCAGACCGCGCAGCCTGCCGCATGCCACGCGAGCTGAGATTCACATGTACTCCGAGATCGATCATGATCAGTGGCAGAGTCCGAGTCGTCATTAATTGTACCTTAGACTAATCAGCGTAACATGACAGCTCATGACAGCTCTCCGGAACGCGACATATCAAAAATTAGCATACGTCCAGTTTACCGCTGTTCACCGACCCTAAGTTGTTTCGCGAAGACCAGGGCAGGGACTCAGAAATATGATATGTTAGAATCAAACGAGCGGGAAAATCTACCACTTGGCCCGTCCTCGTGTTGATATTTCGTGATGAACAACTCATTCTGGAAGAACTCTCGAAAATTCTCACTGTCGCTTGTCCAACCTAGTCTCCCGTAGTCAGACCTTGAAACAAGGAAGACAGTCGTTAACCCTTCCTAAGACGTCTCAACACAGAGATGGCGAAGTTTAAAGAGGAGCTTTGCGTCTATTTTGCATTCAGCGGAAATATGAACTATTTCAAGATCCATAAACTTGGCGGCGCCAAGAATTACCTTCTGCGACGAAGGGAGATACGGGCTGTCAATGGGAGCCCTGATGAGGATGTGTAAAGTGACCGTGAATATGAATAAACTCACGAAATATTTCGGGTGTGTTGTGTTGGAGGGGCTAGTCAGTGCTGCGCAGCTGCAGGGTGCAAATATTTTAAGGAAGGATACTCACGGTTTATGGACATGACGCAACTACTCTCACCGCGCTCTCGAGCAGCAAATTCTTCGTGTATTTTTTTCACCTGCGCAGACTTCTGTAGCAACCAGGTTAGCTCTGCGTATGTGTGATGGTCTGCCCCCACAAAAAAAGGAACAGTATGCAAAAACCGTGAGTAGGGATTATTAGACGCCTATTGATTATACACATCACATAATATCAGTTGAAGTGGTCGTACCAATCTAAAACGACCCACCACCACCGACACTGTCTACCCAACCAAAGCCCTGACCCTCTGCTTAACCTCCTCTGCCCGCCCACTACCCCTCCCCTTCGACCTCCCAAACACCACCACCTTGCCCGCCTCGCCCGCCCGTCCAGCCCGCCCAGCACGGTGCAAGAAATCAATCATATTCCTAGGTTCATCGACGATAAACACATGCTTGATCATTGGCGAAAAGTCGAGCCCGCGGGAAAGAAGCGACGTAGTGACAAGCACATGCGGCGTCTGTGCCGGATCAGACAACCCCGGACCAGACGGTGCAGGCCCATCCTTCTTGAGGAATCCGTCGAGGTGATGGTTTGAGCCTCTCTTGCGCGCTTCTGCACCACCGGTGAGCGCGACGCATTTGATGCCACGCCCGTCGAGGAAGGCGGCGAGTTGCTCAACTTTGCTGCGCTTGTTGCAGAAGACGAGTACTTTGGAGAGCTTGACGGGCCCAGGGCCTGTTGCGCTCTTTGCATGCACGAGAGCGTCTTCGGCCCATACGCGACGGATGCGGCGCTCGATGTCTGCGGCCTTGTTTCCGCCAGTCCATGAGGTGTGTTCTGTGCGAAGGGTCTGGGGGAGGTGATGCAGCCGCGGAGATGCAAGGCGAGTGAGGGATGGGTGGTAGTTTGAAAGATACGTAGAAAGAGATGTAGGAATTGTCGCGCTGGTGAGAATGAAGTTGAAGGGGTACGAGATTTCCTGTGCAGATGTGGGCGTTGCATCTGAATCCAGAGTTGGTGATATGGCCGAGGAAGGGACCACCGGGACAGGCTGCCCACGTGCTGCTGCGATATCCGCAAGAAGCATACGAGTGGATTCTTGGAAGTCCGGATCTGCAGGATGTCAGTAAACGTGTGTATAGCTCAAGTCGAATACGCACCAAACAGGACGTCCGCCTCGTCTACAACTACCCACTGCACGTTCTCCAGGCCCATCTCGGGTTCATCAACCCAGAATTCTCGCGGTGGTTCTTTGTTACCCCCACCTTCTTCCTTTATGTCCTCGTGCTCTTCGGCCTTCCCTATCCTCATTGCTCGCTCTCGCGCCCGTTCCTCCCAGTTCCAGCCTCTTCCACGTTCCATCTCAAGAAGTTTCATTGGCGTGCCCACCAGTAGATCTACCGGTCTCGAGCCGCGGGAAGATTTCGAGATGACGAACTCAGCGTCGCTCGGAGCACCAACTTCCTCGAATTTTCCTTTCATCTTCGAAGCAGTCCCACTCGACTTGGCTGTACTAGGTGTATTGGCCTTGCTGGCGCACATGACGCGCAACTTAATGACATGCGACAAGTTTTTCGCGAAACTTGCAAGTTGGCGAGTGAGTTCATGCGTAGGCGCAAGTACGAGCGCACGTGGGTTGAGAGGCTTGCGAGATGAATGTGACGTAACGGTGTTGGATTCCGTGCGTTTGAGATCCTGAAGCACAGGAAGGAGGTATGCTATCGACTTTCCTGATCCTGTCTCGCTGGCAAGAAGGAACTCCTTGTACTTGTCTCCCTCTACGGGTTCCTTGAAAAGATGCTTCATTGACGATGCTTGAATGGCTGTTGGCCTGGCTTCATTCCCTAGCGCCTCTTGTAAACTTTGGAGCAACCCGGGCATCAAGGGTGGAGAAGAGAACCGAGTGGGAAGGTCTTTACTTGAGGAAGCAGCCGATGCAGATAGATCGAATTCCTCCTCCAGGAAATTGACTTGAGACGTCGGCGGTTGACGTGCTACAGCCTTGCGCTTGTCGACACGCTCAGAGTGTGCTTTGATAGCCCACTGCTTGAGTTGAACCTCAGCATCCGCGTCGTCGTTTGGAGCCCGGCTTTTTGCGCTGGGTCTTGGTTCTGAAGTCGTCCTTCGCCTAGGCGGGCTCTCTCGCTGCCGCGGCGTGAGGCCTTCATGTGGGACAGCATCACGCTTGAATTCTGGACGTGCTGGTGCTATCTCAAGTTTGCCCAGCCTTTTGGCTTTCCCTGTGGGCTCGAGCGATTTTGCAAGGCGTGTGCGTGGTGGTGAAGCTAGTGAAAGAAAAGGAGTTCATGAAATCCTGGAGAATCCGGAACTGGAGGATGTAAGAGACTTACATGGCTTGCTACTCGACTTTTTGGATTTCCTACGCAATTGAGCCAGTACCACAGACGACGTGTGGAATCGCGAAGCAGCGACCTCTGAACTCCCAGGACCAAGAAGTTGCCGAAGCACCAGCAACGATGTAGCCATATGGTTGAGAATTAAGAGTGCAATAGGCCAACTCAGGTGTTTTAACGTTTCAATTCCTAGACTTTGGAAAAAGTTTCGATCACGTGCACATAATGCACGTAAGTAGTCCCCCTATTTGACGATTCGTATCAATCTGGCTAGTAGACACCTCGTCTTGACAATCACAAGGTTGCTCGCTCAAGGGGACAAGAGATCTTTGCAGGCTCCGTAGTAACAGCTTATTCGTCCCTATCCAGGATAATCTACTACTAATCCTGTAGCGCCAGTCGCTTCCGACTCCGTAAATTTGATGGTATGCATGCGATGTCGGAAGCCATTTCGAGGAGGAGATATAGCCCATCTGTCATCCCATACAGCAATCACGGAAGCGGCAGGGTGAGACACTGAATAAATCCTGATAACGAGCACACCACCAGTGCCTTATCGCTTGTCGCGAACAAAACCAGAAGGTGCCCCAATACACTTCATTATGCCGACGTTCACTGTATTTTGGTTTGCAAGAGTGACAGAAACGCTAGACCGCAACTCACCTGGCCGTCTTTCCCATCCTCGTGCTTTTGCTTTGGCAGAGCCCAGGCGACCTTTAATAGCAAGACTTTGATTAATAAACCTGCGTATTTTTTGTGGTGGGATCGTGTGCGCTGTTGAATGGATCTTGGATCCAAGTGGATTGGATAGGGTGCGGATAGTACGAGTTCTGTAAATGATTGGTTAGGAAGGGTACAACGAAGCGACTGAGTTGCGTACCCGACAAGAAGGTCTTTGGCGCGCGCAAGTGGTCGTCGTTGCCGTTTTCTCGATGGTTGTGCTTTTTGTAGTGACCTGGTTGCAGTCGTATCTGCCGTTGCATGCGCACTTTGCGAAGCAAATGCAGACGCGAAAAGCTCATCGTCCAGATATTGTGCCTTGGTCGACGATTTCGTTGAGGGAGTTGGCTGGTCTTCGTCTGCTGATTCGTCCTCACTTCCATCCGTCATCTCCCCATCCTCTTCTAGTCCGCCTTCAGCATCGAACTCTGCCATCTCCTCATCCATGTCACTGTCCCCTGACCCTCCATCCATTTCTTCGTCCATTACATCTTCTAGATCGTCATCGCCGCTCTCATCATCATCTCCGCCATCCATTTCGCCAGCAGCATCCTCCATTGCACGTCGCATCCGCATTTCCAACGCGGTATCCTCAATCGTCTCATCGTCTTCAGCAGAGGACCCATCACTTTCGACAATAGATTCCCTTGAAGCTTTCCCCTTTCCCTTGCGCACTGCATCACCTGGAAGTTTCCCCAGACGCGTAACAACCGCCCGCTCCTTCAATTTCCGATCTCTCTCTCGATTGTGCGCCTTCTTCCGTGCGTTTTCTTCTGCTTTGAAGTCACGAAGGGTTTTCTCCACCTGCTTGGCGTTCCGTTTGGAGATAGAGTGAGAGACTGCTTCTGGGGCGTCGTCGTCGCTTGAAAGAGGATCACTGGGAGGTGGACGGGCCATTGCAAGTTGCAGCTACGATCTGTATAGAAATAATTAGTCTATATTTTTTAGCTTTAGAAATTTAAAACTCCGCGATACTATCTTGATCCTACAAAGTGACTCGGTGAGCTGTTTAGAATTCTTCTCCGAGTCCTCTCCAAGAAAATGTTTGCGCTTCGATCGCGTTGCGCGTCCCGCACCGCCAATTCGCGTCTTTTCTCAACTTCGACGCGCCTCCTTGCTCCAAACGATGCACCAAAACCACCTCGGTCAATCGACGACTCGACTTCTGCACTGGACTACAAAAGAGCACAGCGGATACGTCCACCGCCTCTTCCTGCTATGGACCTTCCAAGATCTCGTAGTGCAGAAGAGGCTGTCACGAACATCCTCTATAATACCCCTCCTCCGAGTTTGCAGCCTTTTAAAAAGTGTGTTTTGTTCGCAAACCCAACACCTTGTTATTTTTTTGCTAATTAATGGAATTTAACTAGACATATCCTCAATTGCTTGGTACAAAACGAACCTGGTGTTTTATCCCGCGTTTCTGGTATTCTTGCTGGACGCGGGTTTAATATCGACTCTTTGGTGGTGTGCCGGACTGAAATTCGGGACTTAAGTCGGATGTCCATCGTCATTAGCGGACAGGATGGAGTTGTGGAGCAGGCAAGGAGACAACTAGAAGACCTCGTGAGCTATCTCGTACCACCCTCCCTCTCACATTTCTCAATGCAGGACAGGTACCTGTATGGGCTGTTCTCGACTATACAGACACCCGCGTCATCACGCGTGAATTGCTCCTCGTCAAAGTGTCCATCCTCGGTCCCGAGTATCTGGAGGATCAACTCGTAGGTGGACCATCGCATGAACCGAGGCGGGGTCCCCTCCCACCTCACCGCGAGACCAAGCTCGAGAAAGAGACCACGCTTGCCCACAATTTCGAGCGTGGTGCTCACCCCAACTCCCATACAGAGACACCACCCCCATTGACGCCCTCCGAGGCCCTCCGTCATAAACACCAGCACCTTCAATCCATCTCTGTCTTAGCCGACCAGTTCGGAGCAAAGATCGTAGACGTGAGCGAGAACAGCGTCATCGTCGAACTCACAGCAAAAACGAACCGCGTCGTCGCGTTTTTGAGCTTACTTAAGCCATTTGGAATTCTGGAGTCTGCTCGGACTGGTGAGTCTCGTTGTTCTGCCTGTGCAAGTGAAGTTAATACTGTGTAGGTCTCATGGCAATGCCGCGGACACCTATCACGCGTTCATCCGATGATTCTGACGACGCGGTGGACGAGATTGGTTCTGTAGACGCTAGTCTGCTTCCCCCTGGTTAGATGGCGATTGCACTCTCATTCGTCGATCTCGTGATATGTATTGTTTAAGATATATCATGCCAGCAAATCTATCTAACAAGGAATTCGGAGGATCTATCGATTCATAACTCTTATCTTGTAATCTTCTGATAAGCATAGAGTCACTTGCTATGACGCCACCCATGAGGACACAGATGCTTCTGATATGATATGGTCACTCTGGTGAGATCTGGCTTAGTCTCCTGCCGTAGGCAGACCCAAAAGGCTTCGTTAGATCTAATGTCTGGCCGGAACTCGAGCCACGAGAAAAGCACCACTATATTCACGTATATTGATTATCGACCTCGTTCGTAGCCTACAAGTTCGTCGTACACAAAGATGACATAGTATACGAGACCAAGACTGTATGATGACTGCAATTTGCAACTGTTGTCAACTGTTCCTCGATGTGCTTGAGCTTGGCTGCTGCTGCAGTTTGGACGGAATATATATTATCCAGATTAGAAGGAGGAAGATGTTTGAGGGTTAGGGAATCCGCTTAAAGTTCGAATGCGATGTTCAACATAGTGTAACAGATAGGGGTATTTCCTGTACGAGGGAACCGTGTGTAGCTGTTGGCTCGGACTACCTGGCAGCTTCTCTTCGATCCCCTATCCTCGTGTGTGTACTTCCGGCTCCTTTGTTAGTTTTTGTGTTATACTACTTATCCGCGCTCCTTCGTGCCTTCCATTTTCTCATTAATGTGTTCTCTCGCTTCTGTGCGCCATTGTAATTACATAATTGCCTGTTTCTGCCAATTCCCTTCGTTAAAGTGAAAGAGCTCTCTCTCTTGTTCTAGTGCGTCAGTACTTATCTTGTACCTCGCTCGGGGCTGGAGCCATTACCCCCGAAATCACCTATTTGGCTTTCAAGGCCTTGTAATTGCTACGAGGATGTCATTGGTATGAGCTACCTCTTGTATGAGACCGGTTTGGCAACTTTGGCTGGACTTGCAACGACATTGTCATGAGCACCATATATCCACGAACACATATATTGATCATCAGCCTCCTCGTCGTAGCCTACATACATAACGATGACATAGTATACGAGACCACGCACCAGGAATCATAAGATCAATACCAATACCACATCAAAGTCATCTGAGAACCAGCTAAAACAGTAGCACGACAATCCCCAGACCCAGACCCCAAAATAAACAGTTCCTATACTACAACTATACATTCGCGCATACCAATACCAATACAATCCTTGTCCCCAAGTGCGCGTGCGTGTAGATTTGCCCAGGTTGAAATGGAACATTCGAAAGAAGCGTTGGATATCATCCCATCTCGTCCGTCATGCCTGAGTCCGTGTCTGGGGTGCACGTGCGAGAGCCGCATTGATCTTCTCCACCCACATCGCAGAAACAGCTCTCGTTTCAGCAGCATAAGTCTGTGACTTCCTAGACTGTACCACGCCCCATAATCAGCACCGTAAACGCCCAAAAATGGACAACGAAGGGGACTAACGGTCAAAATCACAAACTCTCGTTCACCTTTCGGCTCCGCACACTCGATCACGTCTTTCCCTTCCTTGCATGTGTCTCGCTCCTTCTCCTTGCCTTCTCTAGGTTTCTCCCGATCCTTCCCCTTCTCAACCGCGCCCACACCCAACCCAAGCTCACTCTTCAAACTCAATTGACCGCCCACTTTCTGCTTCACGCATAAGAGCCGCATGTTCGTAAGCACCAGCTGCCTCGTCTTCGTCTTCGTGAGGCTCGTGCTAATGGGAAGACGGAGTCTGCTACCACGGCGTTTGGGTGATCGAGCTTCGACACGTGTGTAGAAGAGGACGAGTTCGGAGGGTAGGAGGAGGCATGACCTAGTGACAAAGGAATGATTAGGATTGTCTCGTTAGCTGAAGCATAGAGCAACGCACCAATCTGCGTTCGAACATGGTCCGTTACCCTGTACAGGAGTCTGCGCGCGATTTCGTCCGCGCGATAGACTTGGTTTCAGCTTCGCCTCGACATCGGTGCCAATCCTCATCTTGACGTTGAGGTCTACTGCTACCCTATCGACAGGGCTCCCGTCTGATGAGCTAGAACCAGAGCCTGGTCCGTCTGCTCTGGGGATAGTCAAGGATATAGCTGCAGGCAAGATCACAGCAGGCACAAGGGTGACTTCTGACGGGGGCTGAGGTTCCGTGGCGGCCTGTGGTAGTGGTAGTGGTAGTGGAGGAGGGGTCTGTATTTCTGGCACAGCGTCATGCTCGCCAACGACAGTCTGCGTCTCCTCTATATCCTCCTCCAGCCCTGGCATCACCCTCCCCCCATTCCTCGATTTCCACGCAAGGTAATCGGGCATCTCTCCCATGGGACCCTCTTCCGCGTACCTACCACCTGCATGCCGTGCCTTGAACGAATGCAACTTCGTCCCCTCGCTGTCCTCAGCCCACACTATCCCGTCCCCACTTCCCTCACAGCCCTCCCCATCCCCGCTCACACTGAAACTAACGCCAGCATTCCCACCCACCAATCGATCCCACATCTCCCCAACATCATCCCACTGCCCCCCCTCAACCTCATCCGCAACCACCACCTCCTTCTTCACCAATCCCGCCTCCAACACCGGCGCAGGATCACTCCACAGCGTATCCCACGAAACATCCGCGAAAAATGGGTGTGCCCTCAACGCCGCGTACGAATATGCAGAATCTGGCCCGCCAGCACCAAGACGCTGCGCCGGATCGCGTACGAAGAGACGCCGCACGAGATCCTTGGCATCTTCGTCGAATCCGTCTGGGAAGGTGTAGTCGAGGGATTTGATCTTTTGCCAGGTGAGGTATTCGCTTAAGCCTTGGAATGCGAAGCGGCCGGAGATCATTTGGTAGATTATACAGCCGAGGGCCCAGAGGTCCGAGCTGTGGAATGTGTTAGCGTCTTGTAGCGGCGGAGATAAATGGGGGATGTTCGTGATGCCAGGAATGATAGTAGTGAGGGAATGGAATGTACGAATGCAACGTCTCTCGAGGAAGGAGGAAAAAAGTGGATATATGCGGTGGATAAACGCACCTCTTACTCGTCTCGTTCCTCTCTAGCAACTCTGGCGCGACGTATTGCGCAGTACCCACAAATGTGTTGGCTCTCTCCGCTTCGGGACATGTGAGAAGCGCGTATATACGCCAAGAAATAGCTTACCTCCGTTCTCTAATATCTTTCCGGTACCAAAATCGGTAATCTTTATTCGAAACTCTGCATCTAGAAGGAGGTTCTCGGGTTTGAGGTCTCTGCAGTGATGTCAGCGACTCGTCGGGCGTAAAGATGGTGGAGTTACGCACCTATGTATGACGTCTTTCCCATGCATATACTCTAGTGCGTCAACGATCTGTGCTGCGTAATATTTCGAACAGGCAAGGCTTAGAGAGCCAAGCCGTGATATACGAGATTGCATCTCCCCATTGGGTGCCAAGTCAAGGACAAAGACTAGGGAAGAGTCAATGACGAAGGTTCAACGCATATGAGTGACCTGTGCATCCGATCACGAGGCCAGGCGCGGCAGTGTAAAGCACTAGCTGCCCGGAGGAACAGCCAGGCAAGGAACAGGATCGGATGCACATCCACAGCATATAGAGAGAAAGATGGTACTGACATAAGCTCCACTCGTCTTGGAAGGTCCAGTGTAGATGTATGATTCCGGGGTGACCGGCGCCCAGTTTGACGAGGACATTCTTCTCTGCGAGTGCAACAAGCATCTTTTCCTTTCGAATGAGATGGTTCTTGTCGAGGATCTTGATAGCATATTCCTGTCCTGTCCTTATGTACTGTGCACGCATTACCTGGCAAGGCATGAGTAGGCGTGGTGGGTGATAAGTGCTGTACACACCGTGGAATAAGATCCTTCTCCAAGCGTATCTCCAAACGAAAATTCTTGTGCTCCCAATCTACCATTTGCACTCCTGGCCCTACTTGCCTCTCGTGATCTCTTCCTACTCTTGCTCCTCTCCTTGGTCTGCTGTGCGGGTTCTGGCGGTGCATGGTTGGATACTCCGAGTTCACGAGTGAGATAATTTGGAGGTCGGGGGGGAGCAGCAGTTGGGGCCTGTGGACTTCGCGAACGTGGTGAGGAGAATGCGCGAGCTGGTCTTGGGCGTGGAGTCTTGAGTACTTCAGACGGGATGGTTTCGGCGTCAGTGTCGGAAGATGAGGAGATGACAGATGCATTTCTGCTCAGATCGGCGAGGGTTGGCGGGAAAGTTGGCGCAGTCACTTGCACCATTCAAAGAGCTCGAAAAGAAATAAAAACGATGAATAAACAATATAAATGATTTCAAGACGTATGCAACGTAACCGGCCTCCGCACCGCAGTAACCTCTCAACACAGCCACTCCACAATCCTGTAAAACCTTAGATCATAGTTAGTAGCCTATGCCTAGCCCTTGAGCTAAAAAAGAACGCCTCGTCTGTAGCGCTGCAGCTAGTACGGTATCGTGTTTCCTCGCCATCACACTAAAGAGCCCTCAATAAAGTTGCCTCCAGATTCTAGGCACCATAATAACCGTAATCTTCAACTTCTTGGAGTGTTAGAAGTCCGAACGTTCGCATCAGTACAGCAAGCCAGTTTACAATAAATGCAGACTCATAGACAGCAATGTGAGGAGAATAGATTATATACTCCCAGCTTTCTGAAATCGTCATGAGTTCGTCATCCCTCAGATTCGGAGCTCGCGAGATATGAACAACCCAAACTAGTTTTGGCAGGCATACTTGTGAGCGCTGGAACCTGATCCGCTTCTTTCCTGTAGTTCGTTCGCGAAACTCTTGAAATGTATTCATGGCATGAACAATCTCCACGTCTGATTGTGATGCAGAGATTGAATGACGCCATGGTGCGTTAACGCAACGAACACCGGAAATATCAAAAAAAACATGGCAGGCTCTTGTTTGAGTGACTCGGAAAGCTGGCGGCAAAGCCTTGGAAGGCAATTCTGGAATGATTAGTGGTTGCTCGAGGTTGCTCATTGCTTCGTCAAATACACCCAAAGAGGGCCAAAAAAACACTGTATTATTTTACTCATATATCCACCTGCAACCTTTTCGACTTTTGGACGCGCTACATTTTCGCATCAGCACAGCAAGTCATTTTAAATTACAATGAATGGGTATAACTCACAGACGACAATATGGAGATAGTTACCATCTGGTTGGTTTCGAAACACTTCCGAGAGAGGGGACCAGGCGCCCAACTCAACCTCAAAAAGCTCGAGGTACGGAAGCAAAGACCTCAATTCGTGGTCGTTCAAATCAATGTCGCGGACAACCTTCGATCCTATCATTTGCAATACAAGAACAATGCAGGAATTTGAAATTGCTCACCTTGCAGACGCTGAGAGCAGTCAGCATCGATAGTTTTGGAGTTGAGACTTCTTAGTTTTGACGAGTTCTTGCAAGTCAGCGACAATCTGGGTCCTTTCGATTCTGATAACGAAGATATGTCTGGGGTCGTCTTCGATAAACCAGCAATTAAGTTGGAGTGTGTTGGACTGGGACATGGTGTACTAGAAGTCAAGGAGGGTGGCCCAAGTGCCCAGTACCCTGGACTGGAGGCACGCGTTTACTACTTATGTCATGCCAAACTTCAAAGCTTCAAAACTGGTGAGACACAGCCATTCCACATGCGTGTAAAAATCTCCTAATCCTCCTACAGGCTCCGCACAGCAGCAAACCTAGATCTTGACACAGCCACTCCACAATGCCTAGATTGCATAGGGCCGTCAGACAAAAGCCTGCAGCTTATAGTACGATATCGTGTTTCCTCGCCACAAGTGCCATTATACTAAAGAGTCCTTTACAAAGTTGCCTCCGCATCCTAATAGTCAATCAAAATAACCGTAATCTTCATCTTTTGCCGGAAGTTCTATTGTAGCTATTTTCGCATCAGTACAGCAAGCCAGTTTACAATGAATGCAGACTCACAGACGACAATGTGGAGCTGGTTAACGTTTGGTTGGGTATTGAACACTTCCGACAGGGGGAACCAGGCATGCAACCTCCGGACCTCATGTTGTTGGAGGTGGCGAGGCTCAGGCCTCGTAATGTCGTTCATCAAATCAATTTTGCGGGCGACCTTTGGTTATATTATCGAAATGCAAGAACGATCATCAGGAAACTGCTCACCTTGGAAACAATGAGAGCATCAGCATCTATGTTTCGGAATTGTGACTTCTTGCTTTTGATGAGTTCCTGCAGGTCACCAACAGCTTGCGTTCCTTTGATTCTGACTATGAAGATGCGACTGGGCTCATCCTCTACAAACCAGCAGTTGAGTTGGAGTGTGTTGGACACGGACATAGTGTAGAAGTCGAGGAGGGCTACAGTGGCACAGTACATTAAATAAGTCTTAATATAATTGTGGGAAAAGCCCCCAAATAGTCGGCTACTATGCAAGACCACCAACGATACCGTGCTCTCTGGAGTCTCTTTCGTCATCAAGCGGAAAGAGGAAAATGCGAGCAGGGAGTGGGATCATGGGATATCGTGTACTTGAGAGAGGCTGCAGTTTAAAGGGTCGGAAACATAGTCACGAACATATGAATGATACATGTTCACGAGAAAACTACCGTCGGTAGGGATATCCATGACAGACCGTAGCCGCATGAGCACTGTCTCAACATCCTTGCCCAGGCCAGGGCCAAGGGTAGCAACAATGGATAAGTGCAGGGATGCCCGCTTGGGATCAGCACACGTGGAGAGGATACAGTCGTACAACTTGCAAACCTCTGTCCCTGGTAGCAGCGCACTCGTCAGCTCGAGCATCAGTCGTAGCCGATCGTGGGGATCGTTTTCTCCATCATCGATAATCTACCCGCTCGGCTTTCAAGCCGCTCGAGCTGATTTCTCGATGGCCGCAGAAAATCGGGATGGCGACATTCAAGCTCTCTAAAAGAATGCAAAAAATATAGATGTCTTTGTCGACATCCGTGCCTGTCCAACGAGATGATGGCCTCGATGCCCTCCCCAGAAGTTTCCACTGTATTTCGCACACCAGCGAGCGCTGCAGATACGTGATTCTGAGCGACTCGTGAGCAGAGGGTGGATCACAGGTATATCAGGTTCACGAAGAGCCCGTGCAAGAAAAAGGATGAGATCAACAAGCTCGGTTTCCGATGTGCATTCATCAAGGACATCGACAACAAACGACAAAGGCAGACACCCCCGCAGTCTGGATCGAAGCCAACTGTACGGAGAGGTTGGACAAATAGCACCTCCATCTGGTCGCGAAGATACTTGTTGGGGTCTAGAAGGGCCGGATTCTCGCGGATAGTTTTGTTCACGTCCTCCTGGATGCTGGGAAAATTTCTAGTAAGCTGGTAGGCAAGCATCGCAAAAGCAAAAAAAAAAGTCCAGTCGTACGGCGTTCGGTGTGCTTGCGCGAAAAAAAGAACATTCCCGCGAGCCGCTTCTCGATGTTCGTCTGCTCTGTCACTTTTATACCTCTCATCCTTTCAGCTGCAACGAACGCAACGGCCGACTTTCCGACGCCCGCCGTGCTGTGCAGCCAATGAATCGACTCTTCTCTCCGCTGTCTAGTAATGTGTAGATGTGCTTGAGAACGTTCACCCGGGTCCCTTCCAAACATTTCAGATGGGACTTGGCGTTCACGGGAGTCGTATTCAGCACCATTGACAGTGACCTGGGACAGCCTCTCCCAAGTTCCATAAGACGATTGAGGAACTGTTAATGAGGTCAGAGAGTGAAAGAGAGATGGGGGATGGAAACCCTGACATTGATCCTAACTCATTCAAGGAAGTCATGACACAAATTGTGTGGTGGAACGGGAAAACTCAGGGGAGTACGAGTTGGGTTCGCATCTGGTGACGGTTATAATTATTCGGGGCGGCGACGTACGGAGATTCGCACCCAATGATCGACATCTAAGTTGTTCCGATCTATTGAAGCTGATGCAAGTCGTGGGGTTATGTAGGACGAAACGATGAGGCTACTTTCAACAATACGCTTGTAGCTGTCTATTTGGCAACAGCTTCCATTCTTAACAAGACCAAATATTGATCCAGTCAACTTCGAAGTCTCAACGGCGTGCGTCGGGCTCAGGGCATTGTTCATTGACATGGTATGGATCCAGGCATAGCGAGTTGAACACATGCCACGTCAATTAACAATACCCATATCGATCTGTTCAGTAAGTTCAGCACTTTGGACCAAAATTCTCTTATCGATTTAAAGTGTCCCATTCATACATCTAGTACGACCGCCCGGACATGCTTGCACACATTTTGTCACGACTTCGGTATTACGGTAGCCGTGAAATGCTCCCCACGGTGTCCCATCGACCAATCCTCAGTTTCATTCAACAATGTCAGCTACCTGTTTCATTGCGTAATACACAGTAATACGTGTGTTAGTTCAGTGCAATGCTCTCGCTGGAGCTTTGTGCTTAATTCCCCTCCTAAATCCCGCTTTCAGTACTAGTGGAGGCCCCATTTTTCCGTGCTCCTTTCTGTACTGGGAGACCCCTCTTGACACACTACCAGCGCATTCCTCAGCTGCGAAAATGTTGGGTTCAAGCCGAGCAGAACTGTTGAGTGGCTATTGTTGCATCGTCCCTAGCCATATAACGTTCCATGATGAAGTGGAAGCGAACCCTTCTGAAGACAAATGAGCACTATTCCAAATCGGGAGACCGCAGGACGATGAGGTTTGAGAGACAGTTGGTCCACACCTTCCTCCGCTGTACGCCCACTACCTGAAGGTAGTAGCGATAATGAACTCCAAACTTATGGGCATGTCAAACCTGCCATTGCTTTATACTAACAAATGCACGAAGCTGACGAGGAGTATATTTGTCTTTCCTAAGGGGAAGCCCACAAGGCACGTGGAAGTTTCTTCAAAGTTACTAATTTGCTTAGAACCAAAACCAATATCGTCACGTCAGCAAAACATTAACCGTCTAGTTGGCATCAAAGCTGCATCAGCGTCCGCGCAGCCGTCCAGTCAACGTCATGAAGTATTTCATTTTGACAAATCATCTGATCCGGGACTGCTGGGATTTGTAATGTTGGCAAGTTATTTTTGTGAGGATGTGACTGATACGCGTTTCAACGATAACGGCACATGGCGCGCTTTGATTGGCTTTGCCCCTGTATTATAACGACCCGATTTCCCTCTATGCTGATCCAAAAACGGCTGGACTCACCATTATTTTACACATGAGCTACACTAACCATCCTGTGCTAATCGTAAGTGACTTGCCCATTGCAAGTTGGCCCTCAGCTGAATTCCTCGTTCTTAGGTAGGCGCTGGACCAGCGGGTCTGGTAGTAGCGTTGACTCTCCTCCAAAACGGTATACCAGTTCGCATCATCGATAAGGACCCCAACCCTCGCATCGGACAGCGTGGTTCTGGAATATGGGTTTGTTTGTCATACACCCACTCTCGGATACCCTGTGATCTCATTGAATGCACAATCTAGCCACGCTCCCTCGAGCTCTTCAACTTCCTGAATGTCCCGGAAGTTAACAATCTAGCGAAACCAATACCTCTCGTCCGTTTATACAAGCCCGGGACGTTAGAACCTCTGAAAGACTCTTCGTTGGCATCGCATATGGAACTTACACCAACGGTACCATTCGTGTGTACCACCGTTGTCTGTTCAAGACTTCATGCTAATTATTTTGGTTTCTAGCACATCCCAAAGATGATAGGGCAACAGCTCCTAGATGTGGTTCTGCGACGCCACCTAGGGAAGCTCTCTTGTTCTGTCGAGATGGGCTCCGAACTGCGCTCGTTCAAGCAGTCCGAGGAGGGCGTCACAGCTGTTCTGGAAAAGAACGGCATATTAGAGACTTTCGATACCAAATGGATGATCGGCGCCGATGGTGCTAAAAGTGAGTGAGATGTAGTCGAATGCACGGGGATGAAGGACACTGAAGGTTTTGTAGGCGTCGTGCGCAAACAGCTTGGGCTCACATTTTTAGGCGAGACTAGAGACGACTACTGTGTTGTCACTGGAGATATTCGTTTAAAGGGAGTTGGTCTTGATAGAATAGTGAGTCCGTTTTCTACTTATTCGATGGAAAGCTATCCTGATCTAGTATTGAAGCATTTTCACGTATTTGGAAACTTTGGTGAACGATCGTATGTGCAATTTTTGTTCTTGAGGCTTGAAAATGTCTTCATGATCCGCAGGCTCTCATTGCGTCCAACGGACGAAATCGGCGAGGATGGCTGGCAATTCTTCATCTCCGATCGCGAACTAGAGTTGACGAAGATCATTCAGAGCGAGGAGCTTATCTTCGAGACCATCGCGTCGCTCGTCCCCACTGAGATTACGTTCAACAAGCTGGTTTGGGTGAGCGAGTTCCGGTGCGTTCTTGTCTTTTTAGTATCTGTCGACGCGCGTTCATCAATTTGTTGTATGTAGGGCTAATATCCGTATGGTGAATAAGTTTAGCGAGGGTCGAGTGTTCGTTGTAGGTGGTATGTGATTCTATCCTAGGTGTGTGTACCTGTGCTGACGGAAGTCGTCATAGATGCTGCTCAGTGTGTATATATTTGAGTGCCCTTTGGCCAAACATTTGCTGACGTGTATTCAGTGTTCACAGTCCTACCGGTGGTCAGGTATGGTGTTCTGATCAAATGCCGATGCTTGCTCATTTTTCTATGAACAGGGACTTAATTCAGGTGTACAAGATGCCGTGAGTATAGCAAATTAAATGCAATATGTACGGGATGGCTGACGCCACACCAGTTCAATCTAGGATGGAAACTTGCGCTTGTCGAAAAAGGACTTGCCGATAAGTCTCTTCTCGAGACATACAGCGCCGAGCGTCTGCCTGTCATCTCCGAGATGCTCGAGATGACCACTTCGATTCTCAACCAGGCAATAATAACAGGAGACGTGACGATCCAACGCAGCCCCAAGCTTTCCATGCTCGGTATCAACTGTCGGTTCAGCAGCATCGTTCTCGATGAATTTGTAACTCCAGTCGAGGGGAAGCCTATCAACGCATACGGGGTATTTGACGAGGGGCATTTAGAGGCTGGGGACAGGGCCCCTGATGCACCAAACGTGCTCCAGGTGGGACGTGGAGAATCTGACATGAAGACGCTTTTTTGCCTCTACAAACCTTGGTATCACACGGTACTTGTGTTCGTACCGAGTCTCGCAGACGCTATCCCGATTTTGGGTGCGCTGGAGGCATGCGACAAAGGTGTTGTGCGCAAGGCTGTCGTTTTGCCGTCATCGGCACCAGCGGCGCCCGTCGCATCTCCTTGCGATGATGTCGTTCTTGTTGATCAGGAGGGTTATGCTTATTCGGCTTATCTTGTCGAAGTTAACCAGACGAAAGTGTTTGTGATACGGCCGGACGGGGTGATTGGGGCGATCGTTCATGGTGCAGAAGGCGTGAGGAAGTATTTCTCGAAAATATTTTTGGACCTGTCGTAGTCTATTCATTTTTTTACTCACTCACGACTTTTACATTCACAACTCATCCATATATATATATAGGCGATTTGAGATAGGCAAGGCGGGCAAGTGGATTCGTTTTGTCGTCCACGCTGAGCATGGAAAGCTCTTTAGAGTGGTATTGTATCGTACTGCTACGTTATATGGCTACGGCTTTGGAGCTTGAATGAAGTTGTTTGGCAAAAGTCTTACATAAAAGACATCGCACGAATTCGTAGTCGCTGCTTGCCCAGCTGGTGATACTCCGTCTTGCTACAAACCAAGTTGCATAATGATTGCAACTTCACGACACCGCCTGGCCGGCTGCCTGCAACTCGTAGACGACCTTGTCCTTGATATCATGCAACAACGGCTCCTTCCCTTCCCACCTATGCGAAAGTGACACAACGAAAGTATGTCGCAACTGCTTCTTCGATGGGCTCCGCTTGGAGGTCCTGCATGCTTCATGATTGACAAGAGAAGCACACTGTACTCTGTTCTTTTTGAAGATACTTATCTGCGCTTCTCAGGTCACATAGGAGTCCGGTTGTGGCGTTAAGTAGACGAAGCGGGGCAATGTCGAGTTGAACATCGATGACCTTTCGAATGGCGTGTTCTGCTTCGGAGGGGCTGACATATTGCTTGCGCAGCTCTGAAGAAAAAGTTGAGCATCTCGACAACATGGGTTGCTTACTGCTCACTTCGCATTTGCATGTTAGAAGAACTGTCCAATTTTGACAGCATCGTTTGGAGGGTCTCGATAGCTTCATCGTAGCGTTGTGCACCATGAAGTGCTGCATGCTTTAGTTTGTATCCAACACGAGACGAAGGGTCGAGTTCGGTGACCTATGCGTTGCTGAAATGAGGATTGCCAAAACAATGGTAACTTCAATTCCCGTCTACGTAAATCAAGCTAACATATCCATAGATTATATTGTTATCAGGTACTAGACTACTTACATACAGTCCTTTACTCGAGACTGAGATATTATATTCTTATCAGCTCCTCCCGTTCGCGTTCGTTCGGCTCGAATAACCACACACCTCTCATTGTTAAACTGGATCACATTCTTGCAGCCCTGAAGGTGTACATCAGGAAAAATACCCTTGACTACATGGAGCTATACAGTCAGTTTAGTACCTGTAGCCCAATGTGTCAAGTACCTACTACACAACTACATAATCACACGGTTAGCTATATAGTGCTACAGCAACTCCTGTAGTAACCAGCTACAGGTGCTACAGACTACTACAGGCTACTACAGGTGCTACATAGTACAACAGGAGTAGCTTTATTCAAGCTACAGTCAGCTACACACTGCTACTATAGCTCTCACCAATCACACCAGAACCACAAAACAATGAAATTGAATGTATTCAAGGTGCACAAGCATGCATACACTCGTGAAAATCCAGTGGCCTCCTAAAGTGTCAATCATCACCAACTTCTACACCTTCACCATCCTCCTCTCGCATCATACTCTCAGATTGCATTGATGAATACATCATCTGTGAAGCCGTCAACAGTCACTCCTGTGCTGAGTGGATTGACACCAGCATGGAACCTTCTGATCAATGTTAGTTAGTATCATGATCCACGCAAGTACCTAGACACTAACCAAGCAATGTTGAGGAGATTGTCACTAATTCTACCCAGTAGTTTGTAAGCAGCAGTCCACTCCTCAAACCGCCACAAGGAGTCAAGCTGCACCAGGTAGACTGGAGAATAAGTGACCGACACAAATTTAATGTCTTCCCTCACTCCTGTGGCCCACTTGTTGATACAACATTCTATCTGTTAGAATTCAGCCGTGGTGCTAAATCTAAGATGGCTCAAAGACACTAACCACTGTGAGTACAAGTGCCATCATCTTCACAGGCAAAGGGTCGAAGTATTTAGCATAGACTATACCTTCATCAAGGCGGTTCACAAACCACATATCATTTATCCCTGACTGGATTAAATCGGATTTGTATATGCTGAATTTCATTTCCCAATCCTTTTACTCGCCTGGTCAGACAACGACTAACAAAGGTCAAGCAGACATACCTTGAAAACGAAGGACACTCCTTCCTTGAGTGCCTCAGCCAAGTCACAGTTTGCTTTAAGGGCCGCAATAGAACAGCTTGTGCGGAAGCCAAAAAAGGAGGCTGTGAGACCACGCATCTTGGTTTTGAGCTCCCCACGCACATGTGAGGTGTGCCTCATCATCTACACAGTAAACATAACATCAACCAGGGTCACATAACATGCTGACTACTCACCATTTTGACCAATGAAGGCGTAAGTTGGACTGTAAGTCCAGCCACATCAGAAGCCTCACACCAGGCATGCTTTGCTAGCTTAGTCTCGATGAAGAGTGACTCAGGAAAAGGTGTCTGAAGACTGAGTGATGATTAGACAGTGGTAAATAGATGTGGCAGTGGTGAGCACATCCTTTGTGACCTCGTCAAAATCACTGGCCCTTAATCGCTGGTGTCCTCCATTTAAACCTTTGATGATCTTTGGTATAGTTTCTTCGTCAATGTCCTCCAGCTGGTGTTTGGACCTGACATGCTCTTCTGAAGTGGCACTGACCACTTTGGCATTGTCATTGATGGTGTCATGACCCCCCCGGATGTTACAATGGCGCTATATTTTCTTTTCTCTTTCTTTCTTTACTTACTCATCGAGTCTCATGACTGCTTATCAACACGTCCAACACGTGAATGCTTACCTATATGCTTACTCATTATGCTTACACAGATGATTACTCATACTGTTCCCTGATTGGTTGATCCAACATTGTACCATTTCTCATCTCCTTTTCTGATTGGTTGATATTGTCTTCCTATTCTCGCTTACCTTTCTTGATAGGGTCATCTACCTACAGACTGGCCCTAAACTACCTTCTTGTTACATATATATATCACGTTTCCTGTACTTGTATTCCTTAACTTGAATCTACTAGGTTCTCTCCTGATACTTTGAGTTCACTGATCTAGCTGCCTTTCAGCAGACTAGCCTGAATACTTGATCTAGCGAGCCCTTGACACTCGACTAGCCAGAACCCTTGATCTTAGAACTCACGATACGCTTCAGCTGTTACGTGTAACCTCTCGGATGAGATCCAGCGGCGCTAAACCCATAAAGGGTGTTTGAAGCGTGGCCTACGGCACTAGCCCAGCAAGGAGCTTGCCTGCGCTAAGTCTGAGTAAGGGTTGGGACCCTTACTTGCGTAGAGTCGATTAGAGTTTCTCAAGGATACGATCCAAGAGACAGAGTTCAACTCAAGAGAATTGTCTCAAGAGAAGATGGTTCTTTGTACAGAGGGAGTTCTCTTAGGCAAGAGAAGTTCAGACCCAACGACAAGATCAGATGAGAACCGAGTAGATTCAAGTTAGAGAATCTATCTACTGTACAAATGGGATATATATACGTAAGGGTGATATACCGGTGGAACGGTAAGGGTACAGGGTATGCGGAGGCAATACCGAAGTAGTGGTAAGGGCGAAGGGTTGTATGAGTCATAAGTATAGATAGGTAAGAAGTACCGGTTGAGCGGTAAGGGCAAAGGGCATGGGGAATCCCCATCAATGAGAGAACCGAAACAAGGGAACGGGCATAGGGTTGGGGAGAAGTGAGAGCTTCTCGCATTTCAGAATAATGGGATCAAAAGAAGGAATGAAAATAGAATAGTCCGGGTCTGGACGAGCCTGAAGAATGAAATGACGTGTAACGTTCATGTTACTGTAACATCACCTCCCATTCTACGTCTGAGCTGTCACCGACAACTCACATCGTACCCTCATAACGCGGTGGTTGAACCGGGCAATCCTCGGGTAAGTGCCCAGGAGCACACACGTGGCAGGAATGGCACATGAGGAGAGTGCAGTTGAGGGAGTGGAAGCCACTGGTCTGGCTGCAGATGATGCAACGTTCTAAGGGTTCGGGAGTGTTTGGCTTGGTGGGGATAAATATGCGGGTAGCTTCATATGTTAATAAGACAGTGATGAAATCACTTTCGTCAAGTGTGGTCATGATGTATTTGGCTTGGGTATGAAGGGCAAGGACAACGTTGTCCTGAAGCCAAGGAGACGTGACTCCTTCGTCTGCGGCAATCATTGTGCAGATTCTGGCATTCTGGATGTATGCGCTCCAAAGAGCATTGAGGAGGGGAGAATCGTGAAGGGTTGTGGTAAGAGCAGCACGGGCATCTGGGTCGAGCAAGTAACGGTGGTAGGTTTCGTGGATGTAAGGGGTGATATGCGTAGTGAAGGGAATGTTGCTCATGTGTCTGTTGTTCATGGTGGTGCTTTAGTTTGTGACTCTGAGGATTCGAGAGATATGCATTCTCTTCTTATATTCCTTCAGGGTGTTGATGGCGTTCTCCAGTTCCTTCTCGGGAAGCCAAGAGTTCTCGGAACTAGGGTATCCGTGCCAAGTCACCAGGTATTTTCGTTTCCCTTGTTGTCCCTTATGAGCGACGATCGCTTCGATCTCGTACTCTTCTTCTCCATTGATCAGGTCAGGAGGTGGTTCCGCATAGTTTGGCCCATGGATTGCCGTTTCCCGATAGGTTGAGAGTTCTGTTGCATGAAACACGGGGTGAACTCTCCATGTTGCTGGGAGTTTCAGCTTGAACGTGATGGGGGAGATGACTTTCTCTACTTCGAATGGTCCGTATCGTTTCGGAGCGAGCTTCTTTGATGGTAAATGCATCAGCAGGTGGGCTGCGGAGAGCCAGACTTTGTCTCCTTGTTTCCAAGGTGTGTATTTCTGTCCATACAAGTGTTCTGCCATTCGTTGCATGGCGATATTATGACATGCCAGTGCTTCTTCTCTCATCTTCTGCAGGTATTTGATATGATCTTCTGCTGCGGGAATTGATGAGTGTGGGATGATGTGGGGAATACCGCGTGGTTCATATCCCATCATGAGAAAGAATGGGGATGCGTTCCGGGATTCGTGTCTTCTATGATTGTGCACGAATTCTGCCATTGGCAGGTGTTTTACCCAGTCGGTTGGTGTCGTCCAACAGTATATCCGAAGATATGTCTCCAGTTCTTGGTTCAATCGCTCGGTTTGTCCGTCTGTCTGCGGGTGATATGCGGTGGAGAGGGCAATCTCATACCCTAAGAGCTGTCCTAGTTCTTTAGCGAACTTGGACGTGAATTGTGGACTGCGGTCTGAGATGATTTTGTCGTAAAGTCTGAATCGCATGAAGACTTTCTTGAAGAAGAGTTGCGCTACTCCTTCAGTGGTGATAGTTTTCTTGCAAGGACAGATAATTGCCCCCTTCATAAGGCCATGGTCGACCACGACCATGATGGAATCGTAACCAAGGCATGCTGGGAGATCAGTGATCAAGTCAATGGAGAGTTGAGCGAAGGGTCGGGTGCAGGTGGATGGAATAGGGGACAAGGGAGGGGTCACTGGGTGGGTGTCAGATTTCATCTGCTGGCACAAGGCGCAGCCATCCACATATCGCCGAATATACGCTCCCATGCCGGGCCACCAGTGGTCACGCTTGACTAACTCTTCAGTTTTGAACCGGCCAGGGTGCCCAGCAGTAGGGTGATCATGGTACAGTTTAAGGACTGTAGGACGGAGGGAGTCGGGGGTATAGGCACGATTCTTGAAAAACAAGATGCCGTCGGTGTATGTCCAGTCGGACAAGGCAGACTTCATAGGAGGGGCGCAGACGCCGTTCAGTGCTTCAAGCGCGGTATGGACGACAGGGTCAGAATCGGGAGTACTAGCCTGTTGGAATTCGTCCATCAGGGAAGTGTCAACAAGTTTGACGAACAGATCATGGGGCAGAAGGGTGACGTGGTCATTGTCGGGATCATCAACATGATGGTCAGGGCAGCGGGATAGAGCATTGGGGGCAGCAAGCTTGGTACCAGGGACATGGTGGAATTCAAGATCAAACGAGGTGAGCGTCAGCTGCCACCGGGCTTGTCGTCTTGTCAGCTTCTGCTCGGAACGGAAATAGAGCAGATTTTTGTGATCAGTGAAGATGATGACCGGATGTGGGTTTCCTTCAAGATAATGTTGCCACCCTTGAAGTGCGCGAATAACTGCAAGGAGTTCGCGGTCATAGACCTGATAATTTCGTTCGGCTGTGTTAAGCGATTGTGATAGATATCTGCATGGGTGGTAGTTCCCGTTACTGTCTGTCTGCAAGAGGATTCCTCCCGTTGTGCATCCGGATGCGTCCGTGGCAAGGGCAAATTGCCTGGTTGGGTCGGGGTTTCTGAGTACCGGTTTTGAAAGGAAGCATTGCTTCAGCTTTCGGAACACTGTGTCACATAGTGGTGACCATTCGAATATTCTCGTTTTCTGCGTTAAGTCGATCATAGGACGTGCAATGTCAGAGTAGTGAGCGATGAAGTGGCAATAGAAGTTGCAAAATCCGAGGAAGGATCTTACTTCTTTGACCGATGTGGGGGTTCTCCAGTCGTTAATTCCAGCTAGTTTGGCTGGGTCCATCGCTACTTGTCCAGGTCGGATGATCATCCCTAAGTATTCAACTTCTTGGGTGTCGAACATGCATTTCTCTGGTTTGAGGAAGAGTGTCTCATTCCTGAGGATTTCCAGTATCTTCCTGGTTCGTGCTTGGTGCTCTTCAAGTGAGTTGGAAAATATCAAGATATCGTCCATATAGACAATCATCCATCCTTCGTTGATCTGTTGTCTGAACGTCTGATTCATGTAGGCTTGGAAGGTAGCGGGAGAGTTGCATAAACCAAAGAACATGACCTTTGGTTCAAAGAGCCCAAAGGAGGTTGAAAATGCTGCTTTCCAGCGATCATCGGGGTGGATGAGGATATTATTATATCCTGATCGGACGTCCATCTTGGTGAAGTACTTTGCATTGCGAAGTGCGGAAATCAGAGGTGGGATCAGGGGAAGTGGATAAGTGTTTTTAACTGTCCATTCATTGAGGTATCTATAATCTTGACAGGGTCGAAGGGAACCTCCTTTTTTTCCTACAAAGAAGAAACTGCTTGCTTGGGGTGACTTTGATGGTTGTATGAAGTCTTTGGCAATATGTTCGTCAATAAATGTTTTGACGGCTTCGGTTTCTACTGGCGAAAGGGGATAGGTTCTTGCAGACTTTGGTATGAAGCCTGGTTTTGTTTTGATCCTGTGATCAACTCCTGGTCTTGACGGGGGAAGTTGGTTAAGGCCGTCTTTAGCAAAGGTATCCGCATAGTCATGCAGGTATTCGGGGACTAGTTCTTCAAAGGTTTTCTTCTTCTTTTCTTGAGTTTCCTTCATCACAAATTCTTGTGCTTTGTTGCTGATCTTCTGTATTTCT